AGTTGCTATGGCTTCTGCTGTAGCATCGCTATCATCGCCTCCGGCGATGGGCGTCCAATGGTCCAATGGTGTGCGTGCGTGTATGTGTGTGTGTGCATGTGCGTCCATGCATGTGCGTGTGTGTGTGTGTGTGTGTGTGTGTGTGTGTGTGTGTGTGTGTGTGTGTGTGTGTGTATGTTAATCATTAATTTTAACTCTTGTGTAATCAATGGTGCTGGTGAAGCTTTTATCAGATCTACTCTGATTTAGCCACCCACACTAGGAGCAAGTAGTACCTTCACTGGGGGGCAGGGGTAACTGCAGTTGGATCCCGGGACGGATACCCTGATGCCGTCAATCCTTTTTCTGCATCTTATCCTCACCCACTTACTGAGGTGTGGTGAGCCCATAAGTGGGATCCTTTTCAAGTCCACCCAGAGTTTTGGGGATTTCAGGGGGTGTCGGCCGTTGGGCGGTTCAGTAGCCAATTGAGTCATCTTTCCAAGATTCCTTTTGAGTCTCTCTCCCCTCTCCCGTGGAGACCCACGTGACCAATTTTGGCAGTGAGCAACAAGTACAAGTGTGTGTGTGTGTGTGTGTGTGTGTGTGTGTATGTGTGTGTGTATGTGCGTGTGTGTGTGTGTGTGTGTGTGCGTGTGTGTGTGCGTGTGTGTGTGTGCGTGCGTGCGCTGTTCTGGCCCCAGCTTGCTGTCAGTGCAGCACTGATGCCGTTCGCCAAGGTTGGAATTGAGCAGTTCACATACTGGGCTCCGGTAATCAACGCATTCTACCATTTCATGTAAGCAGTCAAAGCGGTAGTGTGCAGAAACCCAGCTTAAATGCAACGTGATACATTATAAATGTAGCTGGCGCGCAATCTATGATTGCTATGTACAAACGCCTGTACTCTCCTATCTCGCTCATCCTGGCGGTCCGGAACCGGGCACTCCCCGTAACTTGGAAATGGCTGTAAACCTGCAGCGCATCATTGAATATGTGGAACATAATTATGTTCCAATGGAGAAGTGCTAGAGATGTGGGCATATGACGTCACTTTTCCCAACACAAATTGGCAAAGAGTAGTAATAATATCATATGTCCACTAAAACTCACAGCATGCCCGGGAATTTCCTGAATTTCGATGCTAATTTTCTCACCACATACAATAAATAATTTCTGTAAATATACAAATTATCGGCAGCTATTGAATTTCGGCTATATTCGGCACCGACCCAAAACGCCTAAATTAAAACGCCGATGAAATTTTTCACAGCATCTGTCGCACTATACCATGCCCTCTACCCGGTACCCCACGCCGAAAATAAATCGCCGCCGAAATGTCAAAAATCGTGAAGTGCCGAAATTTTGCAGCGCCGAAATTTTGTATATTTACAGTATCTGGAAACTCAACCTCATATATTATAATTATCTGGCCACCCATTGACCATGATGCTATATGAAGAGACAATAAAGATGACGTTTTTCCCAATGATACCATTTTTTCCATGTTTAATGCTCCATGTTACTGAAGTATTTGCTTTGATCTTTGGTTTTCTAGAGCCCCATTCTCTAGGAGATATCTACATTCTGCTCTGTTTCAATGTCCAGCATAAGCGAACGTGTGGATCAAGCGTAACTGCTTGGTTGACGCTGCCGCGGGAATGTGTATAATAATAATACAATAGATATGCTGTCGAGCTTCGACTCATCTACATTTTTCCTGTGACTCTTCTTACAGTATTGGCTTCATGGAGGGTATTGGCTTCAACGCGTCCATTGATCGCGTGAAAGAAAGGTGGCTCCCGACTATGAAAGCTAACTACACGATCTGGCCAGCTGTCCAGGTGAGTTTTGACTTTTGAGAATATGGTATTGTCTGATTTTCCAGTGTTTGGTATTGTCTGATTTTCCAGTGTATGGTATTGTCTGATTTTCCAGTGTATGGTATATGTTCGGTTAATGTTGGAGTTAACCGTTGTTAACAGTCACATACCATTGCTTCGCTGTTGGCCTTTATAACGGGTTGCATAACCCTCCTTACGTGTATGCACAATCTTGCTCTCTCTACATACTGCTGTGTATCATAGACATCACATGCCCACGCTCTGCGCATGCGCAGATTTCCTGCGCGCACAACAGAGCTTGCTGTCTTTCCAGTTTCCTTGCCTGCAGTCAGCTTTCAAATGATTTGCTGGCATATCAGGCCACTATTCTGGATGCAAATAACTCGTATCAGGCGGACGCATGGCTAAGTTATGACAGGCGTTTCCGGCGCGCCATAGCCTCCCAACCACTGTCGTACGACTGGGCTATCATCGACTCTAATTTGTGGCAGTCGTCATTCACCAGCCGTGGTCGCCCGCCATGTTCGCGCTGTTCTCTGGTGCACCCAGTGGCCCAGGCCCGGTGTCCCTTTAGACCAGGGCCTCCATCCGTCGGCGCTGGGAGTGGAGGTCCGCCGCAGTCCAGCGCGCCAACCCATCTTGGGAAGCCTATCTGCCGCAACTTCAACAAGGACCAATGCAACAACTCATTCTGCTATCGTGCCCATGTGTGCCTTCAATGCCGCGGGAAGCACCCAGAAGTCAAATGTGGCAGGGGACAGTCCGCCACCTCAGCGTCTGCTCCGTAAACATTCTGTGGAGACCCCCATCAATGTACGCCGATTAGCCGGGCTCCTTAACCGTCATTCTGATCACTCCTTCTCTCACTTTGTGCTGCATGGGTTGTGTCATGGTTTCACGATAGGCCATTCTGCTGCTATATCTGGTGTTCATAGTTCTCCCAATCACCTGTCGGCTATTCGTAATATGCAGTATGTTTCTTCCTATTTGACCGAATGTTGTGAAGCTGGGCAAACAGCAGGTCCATTTCCGGAGCCACCCTTTCTGTGCATGCAGACATCTGGTCTGGGTGTTGTGCCGAAGTCCAATGGAAAACTTCGTGTGATACATGACCTGTCGTCTCCCGATGGCAGCAGTGTCAACGATGCTATACCACGCGGGCAGTTCAGCCTGCATTACGACTCCGTGGACACCGCAATTGCCGCCATTATGCGCCTCGGCAAGGGCTCCCTCTTGACAAAGGTAGATATCCGTAATGCATTTCGCCTGTGTCCCGTCGCCCCCTCGGACTGGCATCTTCTCGGGATCCGTTGGAACGGCATGTACTATTACGAGAAGGTCCTTCCATTTGGTCTCCGCTCCTCACCATTCATCTTCAACCAGCTGGCAACGGCTATCAACTGGGTCCTTGTCCATGTCGGCTCCTTGCCCGACGTAATGCACTACCTCGATGACTTCCTCGACATCTGCCCACCAAGCTCCTCCCTGGCGGCCAAGCACAAGGCCATCATCTTGGACTTGTTCCAGTTCTTGAACATACCTGTCGCCACAGAGAAAGTTGAGGGCCCTTCCACTGTCCTCACCTTCCTCGGTTTGGAACTGGACACCGATCGCTTGGAAGTGCGTCTGCCTCAGTCCAAGCTTCTGGCCCTACGTCGTTTAGTCTCTACCACCCTCGACCAGGGTTGCGTTCTCAAACGCGAACTCGCCTCCCTCCTGGGCCACCTCTCGTTCGCTTCCAGAGCAATTCCTGCCGGCCGTACATTCTTACGCCGCCTGTATGACCTCGACAAGGCCACATCTGAGATGTCATCTCACCGAATGCTGCACCTCTCAGCCTCAGCCAAGGGCGACCTGAGCTGGTGGCACCAGACTCTGTCAACATGGAACGGAAAGTCATTTTTCCTGCTAGAGAAGTGGATGCCCAGCGCTGACCTCCAGTTGCAAACCGACGCAAGTGGCACCATTGGATTTGGAGCCTTCTTCAATGGTCGCTGGTTCAGAGGTGACTGGTCTCCGCAGCAACTGGAACTAAGCATTACCTACAAGGAGCTCTTCGCCATTGTCGCGGCCTGCGCCACATGGGGGATCGAGTGGCTGCGGCTGCGTGTGGAGTTTCAGTGCGACAACCAAGCTGTCGTGGAGTGCCTGAAGACGGGCACGAGCCGGTCCCCTGCAGTCATGGCACTCTTCCGCACCCTGTACTCAATCTGTGTGAAGCACAATTTCCTGATCCGAGCATCGCACCTGCCAGGAATTTCCAATACCATCGCTGATGCCCTGTCCCGGAACAAGATGGATGCCTTCAGGACCTTTGCTCCTACAGCTGCGGAGCGGCCTGACACCATGGTCCAGCCGATCACCGAGTAAGTGCAAAGACATTCACTTAGGATGCAGATAGCGTTCTTTGTCGATCCTACTCCACAATATCAGTCTGACTTTATGCCTCTAGAACAACGCTCTTGTGCAATACATACTTACCATCTATATTGGCTGTTATCACCCGCTATCTCCTCTGGCCCTAATGGGAATGTCGGCATGGGCACTCCTCCGTAACTGGCCTCTCGCGCACTACTATTAAACTCGCATGGGTCATAAACCGCTCCTGCTCAACGCAGGCCGACCCACCAACTCGCATGGGTCACAAACCGCTCCTGCTCAGCGCAGGCCGACCCACTTGGTCATATACAGCTCCTGCCCTCGGTAGGCCGACCACACGATTCGTTAACGCGCACTCAATTGAGGCCAGCTACTCTGCCCGACATTCCCATTCTTCCAAACTCACTCTCTTGTCTTTTGGTGTGTCGCGTCCTGCACGCGTGTGTGTCTACTCTATACTCTAGCATGGGGAGTAGAATGTTAAATGTTCGGTTAATGTTGGAGTTAACCGTTGTTAACAGTCACATACCATTGCTTCGCTGTTGGCCTTTATAACGGGTTGCATAACCCTCCTTACGTGTATGCACAATCTTGCTCTCTCTACATACTGCTGTGTATCATAGACATCACATGCCCACGCTCTGCGCATGCGCAGATTTCCTGCGCGCACAACAGAGCTTGCTGTCTTTCCAGTTTCCTTGCCTGCAGTCAGCTTTCAAATTCTGACCCACCCTCCTCATCCCATTTCTTACTCTTGCACTCCACTCCATATATTTTGAAACACATGGATGCGGGCACTCCTCCGTAACTGGCCTCTCGCGCACTACTATTAAACTCGCATGGGTCATAAACCGCTCCTGCTCAACGCAGGCCGACCCACCAACTCGCATGGGTCACAAACCGCTCCTGCTCAGCGCAGGCCGACCCACTTGGTCATATACAGCTCCTGCCCTCGGTAGGCCGACCACACGATTCGTTAACGCGCACTCAATTGAGGCCAGCTACTCTGCCCGACATTCCCATTCTTCCAAACTCACTCTCTTGTCTTTTGGTGTGTCGCGTCCTGCACGCGTGTGTGTCTACTCTATACTCTAGCATGGGGAGTAGAATGTTAATTTGTATTTTAAAGTACACACAGAACGTTTGGTTACGTTCAGAATGGATGTTTGTGCTAATTGATGCCTGCTGCTACTCGTACTAACCGATCTCTCTCTCTCTCTCTCTCTCTCTCTCTCTCTCTCTCTCTCTCTCTCTCTTTCTCTCTCTCTCTCCTCTCCCTTCTGCAGTTGTTAAACTTTAAACTGGTGCCAATTGCCCACCAGCTGAACTTTGTCCTAGTTGTCAGCTTAGGCTGGGCTGTGTACCTGAGCTCTTTGGGAGGCGCCAAAGCAGCAGAATCGGCGGAGTCGGTAGAGGCGGAGAAAGCCGATGCGTGAGTAACATCTGCTGTGGCTACACTTGACGTTGTGCCAAATGCTGGCGAATTTGGCATATTAGAAAATGTGAAATTTGAAATTGCGAGAACTCTGCATATTTTATTTCTTCTTCTTTTTTTGTCGATGTTTGTGTTCTGGTAACATGAACATTTTGATTTTAGTTCTGTCGCAAAACAGATTTCTTCTCTAGAAAATTATTAGACAATGGTAGAGTTTGGCCATCTCTAGACCCCTCTGGGTGCCAACATGCCAACGATGTACATGAAAGTATCTCACTTGAGCCCATCTCTCTGTGTGCAAACACGTTTCTGCCACTTGGGCTCACTCACTATGCAGATATTTGATGCCATTTGCAGCCTCCGAACCGTATAAGGTTTTTTTTACCGTTGAGCTCTCGTTTTCATTTTTGACAGAGCCGGCTATCGTAACAACCTGTCTCACTGAGTTATTCTTTGCAAGCAAAATCTTCATACCTTTTTTACATGTGGGAATTTCCAAAAAAACTTATGCAATAAAAGATCAATGTCGCCTTGTGAGCCGTACCTGATCATTTCAAATGAAACGTTTCTGATTATTGGTCCCATTCGAGCACTCTACAAACGTGCAGAAAACTAAATAACGTCAAAGAAGGCAAAGAGCCGACACAGCAGGTGCACAACGGCAATATCACCATACGAAATATATACTCTAGAATTCGGGAGGGAAAACGGGTAAAAAATAGCACTACGGGGAAATATTTTGAAACAAAGTCATATGATCGCTTATCAATTCTACCGTGAAATTAGCCTGTTTAGAATATGTTCGAAGCGTGTAAAATTCTAGAAAATTGACGCGGCAAAATCAGAACAGCTACAACATGCACAAATAGCACAAATCCTATCATGATTATGTATGAATGGGGATGAACGGGGACTGTTTTGTGATTCCGGTTGTTCGTATCAGTGTCAAAATGATCGGTCTAGTAGTAATAGCTGGTTGGTAAGACACATTCCTGCTTGAATCCGTCATTGTAGCTGCTGCCGTTCCTACGAAGAGAACACCGAGTTGGTGAAGGACTTGTAGTCGTAGGCGTCCTTGACGTCCGGGTACGGCTGCATGTTGCGCATGCAGTACTCGGCTTGCTCCTTGGGTAGGGCCTGTGTAAACAGTGCAATGAAACCAAGATGCCCAGTTAGTCATCATGAATGTGTGTTCAAACAACAATCCAGTGCCCAGTTAGTCATCATGAATGTGGGTTCAAACAAGAATCCAGTGCCCAGTTAGTCATCATGAATGTGTGTTCAAACAAGAATCCAGTGCCCAGTTAGTCATCATGAATGTGTGTTCAAACAAGAATCCAGTGCCCAGTTAGTCATCATGAATGTGTGTTCAAACAAGAATCCAGTGCCCAGTTAGTCATCATGAATGTGTGTTCAAACAAGAATCCAGTGCCCAGTTAGTCATCATGAATGTGTGTTCAAACAAGAATCCAGTGCCCAGTTAGTCATCATGAATGTGTGTTCAAACAAGAATCCAGTGCCCAGTTAGTCATCATGAATGTGTGTTCAAACAAGAATCCAGTGCCCAGTTAGTCATCATGAATGTGTGTTCAAACAAGAATCCAGTGCCCAGTTAGTCATCATGAATGTGTGTTCAAACAAGAATCCAGTGCTCAGTTAGTCATCATGAATGTGTGTTCAAACAAGAATCCAGTGCTCAGTTAGTCATCATGAATGTGTGTTCAAACAAGAATCCAGTGCCCAGTACTTCAAGATTAATCAGGACCAAGAACCACCCGGAATGGTGACAGCATAGATTAGCCTTATTCTTCACTAAAAAAAAAAGAAGAAGAAGTAGTCGCATTCGTCAGCGTCAAAGGTAGGGCAATCAATGTCTAAACAAAGTGCGAGCCAATCTGTGACTCCTTGCACTCGTGCAATACCCACAGCGTGCAAGTTGAGAACAGTCAACCTCTATGCTACATACCTGAAGCAGCTCGGCAGCAGTCACATACGGTGCGTCTCCGTTGCTGGTGATGGCGCGGAAGGCGTTCTCCACCTCCTTGCTAGACTCGACGTTCTCGGACACTCGGCTGATCATGAACGCCATGAACTCTTCCATGCTGACTTGGCCATCGCTGCAGCGTCGAGTCAGAAAGAGTAATGTGTCACAACACCGACCAATACACTAGTGCAACATGCATTACTTACAACGGTCCACTGCTTATCATATGCGGAGAAGTTGTTAGCATGCTGGATGTAAGCAAACTGGGGATGAGGCATGCATGGCATGATCCACTGACCAAGTATTGCCCATGTGATTTTCGCTGCTCGTACGTGAGGTGATATTTCGACATCGCCTACTGCATCACACTGCATCTCATCTGCATTCATGACTATAGTGGCAGTAAAAGTAATCCACGTTCATACACTAAAAGCCATGCCTTTGAGTTCACAAGCACTGAGTAATTCTCAATTACCCTCGATTGCATACTACAAATTGACCACAGTGAACACATGGTGCGCACTCACCGGTTTGGATCGACTTGGTTGAGAATCTCCTCGAACTGCGGGTCGACTTCGCCCTCCTCTACAATAGGCAAGTCGTAGCCCAGCGATCTCAGACAGGCCTTGAATTCGGCGTGATCCAGCAGGTTGCTGTTGTCTTTGTCAAAGTGTCTGTATCACACAATAATCAAGAGGGCACCAGATTCAGTCACACTCCAGCAGATACGCCAAACTACCGGCAATGCTCGTGTGTGCAAGACGGCATTCCCTATTAGCAATCCCTTCCGTTCCATGAATTCTTCTCTCACAGCCCTGGTGATTAGTGCAAAGATTAAAAGAAAAAAGTCACGGTCCGCGTGAGACTCGGCTAGAGGCCGAGTTTTCCACATCCATAGGAACACCACCACCCTTCAAAGATCAAAGTGCAGATGCAGATTTAATAGGGCAATGAAACCGACAAATTGTCCGAAGTAGTTCAGACTACGTCCATACCTGAACATCTGGTTGAACTCCTTCAGCTCATCTTCTGACACGCCGGTCATGTTTCTAGTGCAGCAATCAGAGAAAACAATTAACAACAGAATAGGTGTCAGATATTTGGAAGACATTCACCGCCAAGGTGCCACGGTTACACTCCAATTGCCTGTAGCAATCTAGCTTGCACTCTTACAATTCCAGCAAGAGACAACCTGAGTTATCTTGTTATAATTATATGAAGCGGGCAGGAATGCTTCAGGCTTGTTCAAGCGCCCTCAGCCGTGTAGGAAGCAGACAGCTGTGATTCCCATGTGTATATGTGTTGGTGGGTGGATGGGTTTAGTGGACAAGCAAAACAAGGGTGACCGCAGCCACCACTGCCATGCAGCATAATATTATGTTCTCGACATTGGTGGTTTCTCGTGAAAATAATGCTAAATGATAGAAACAAAGGTAACTCACCTGGCCTGGATCTGCTGCTCCATGTTGTGCTGCATACGCATGGCTAGCTGATCAAGCTGATCCCACTGCTGTGCAAGTCCCAGCGGAGTGTGCTCGGTGTACCTGTAAGGAATGGAGTGCAAAACACACAAAGACGCCATGAGCAACAGGCTAGCATACGTTGACTGCTGCAATCAAGCCCTGCAGTAACCCTACAGAATCACATCCTACTATGGCCATCATCAGTTGGCGAGCACATTTGTTTAACATTCGTAACACATATTGGCCGGTAATCCTACACTCCACCACCACCCTCTCAGCAATGGCGCATGCAAGACTGATCAAACACGGTAGACATACTCGTATGTGGAGGTCTATCTTTGTGTGCAGTCAACAGTCAGGACAAAGTGAGCTACAGAAATATTGCCTATAGTGCAGCACCCAAATCGGCGTGTCAGTCAGCCCCGTGTGTAACAACCTTGGGCCTTACAAATCCTGAATATCGACACTATCATCAGACCCCAAAAAACATTTGACTGCATAATTTCAGCCACAGAAATTACGATGACTAGCAAAAAAACACTTCTCCCCCTCGTGGCCCGGGCTCCTTACTTGTTGTCCAGGATCATAGCCTCCTCCATCTGAGATCCTAGCTGCTCCACCTTCTTTAGGTTCTCCTTGCGATCGGCAACTTCATCTGCCTTGTGCTGATATGGACAGAGGAACAAAGCCGTATAATAATAATATCGTTACAAATTGCCACAATGGCAACACACGCTATCCAGTGTATATTCGCTTATCCATGCTTCATTTATCCGTAGCTTTTTGTCTGCTGCCATTCACTCGAATGCGTGGGTCTATTGACTTGCACGCAACATGGGCAGTATGTGCTGGCCTCAACGTCTATAGACTCCACGTATCCACCTGTTTTCACATACCCACACATTTTATGGATCCCTTATCCAAGGAGCATATAAACGAGGGACTAATGTAGCTGCAGCTCAGAGTTAAAAACCAAGTGTCAGGCGGCAAAATGATTGCCTGAAGATTGGTTTCTTTGCCATGAAGCTCTTGAGCTGCAACCATGTTTGCCATTGGGAGCATATGTGTTGAAGCTCTGGCCCAGGGTATATGCACTGTCACGGAACTAGCAGCATTCTGCATTGGTGTAACCACGCTGTTAGGAATGTGGTGCCCTTACCCAAAATCCAGCTCAACAGTTCCTGAACAAAGAGGGGTTGGTGCATCCATCATTTCCTGCAAGATAATTGATGTGTCTATACTCCAATAGATGCAATGTGCTCAAATTCAACACAACCGAGAGTATCTGTTTCAACTTACACGGATGGCTTCAAGCTGATCTTCCAGGGATCCTGTGCCTTCTACGAGTGATGCCCTGTGCAAAGATGGACAACAGATAGTCTCTTAGATATCCATGCAAGAGACAGCATTTGCTTCTCGCTGTAAATTTCACCTCACTGTCATTTCGTCAAGATCCACATGCGTAATGCACGGCAAAGTCTCAATATGTAACAGCATGCTGCCCACATCTACTTGTCAAGAATACTTCTATATTGTTGTCTGATGATTAGTTGGTTTGTAGCAGCACCTACCGGCTCTCGGTCAGCCAAGTGTGGAAGCTGTTCGCAAGCTGAGCGAATGCCTTGCGCAGCTCGTCATTCTTCTCCTGTCGCTTCTGCTCCTTCTGCAAGTCGACTTCTCGGTCCTTGAGGATCCGCTGGATGTTCTGCCACATCTCCTCAAGCGCGTCCATGGTGAACCATGTATACCTAGAGTAGAGGAACGGTTGGAGAAAAGAAGATAGACGCCTTAGTCAGGGTGTAGCCTGTGGTTGAATAACCAACTACCCCAATAATGTCTGGCAACGCACACTAGCAAGTATCCCGTTTCGTGATCAAATTGGCAGAAATAGCCCATTGCTGAGTACACCAGAAACTGCCTCACATACACTCCTGGCTGTGAATGATCTCATGGGCTTCTTATGGCGTTCGTGAACAAATATGATGCCTGTCAGTCAGCAGGAGGAGTGAGCGCCATGTTAGGAGCAGCAAGGCTTTTCCAATATACAATCCCCGATGTCTCAACCAATTACTTCAATCCAACAGGAAACAGCACCCATTTGAAGATCAGAGATACTACTCGGCACTCTTACGGGTTGTTAGTGACGTTGTAAGACTTGATTTGTCTGTCGAGGGCAACCAGCTGTTTGTAGTCAGCCTTGGCAGAGCTGAGCGATGACTGGAACTGAGTGTGGCCATCTTGAAGAGCCTGGAAATACACACACAGAATTGCACAGCGCATCAACATACATTGTCATACCAGTACGCATGAGGAAAAGATTATTCTCTCTCGGCACTGACACAATCAGGGATGTTTAGGCACGCAGTTGATACTTGTGTGCACAGCTGGAAAGAGCAGGCAATGAACAATTACCACGTTCAATGACTAATAGCTAGAGCATGGGGCACTTCGTTCACATACACATACATGCGCCATTACAAAATTCCACCACATTATGCTGCGCTACCACCATTTCGACACGTCTGACGGAAAGCACAGGCGTTCTCTCTTCTCTCTCTCTCTCTCTCTCTCTCTCTCTCTCTCTCTCTCTCTCTCTCTCTCTCTCTCTCTCTCTCTCTCTCTCTCTTTCTTAACTCTCACCTTCAGCTCCTCAAGAGAGTTGCAGCGCACTGGGTCAGTAAGGTCTTCTTCGGCATTCTCGTACCAGCTGTTGAATGCTGATGCTTTCTTGGCAAATTGCAAGAAGAGATCATCAACCTGTATAAAAGAAAATGGTAGGTAGGACAACAGATTGACCAAACAGAGATTAAAAAAAACCCATAATATTTATGCTCCCAGGCACAACCACAAAACGGACATCACATATGCACTGGAAAGCGTTACACGTGGCTAGCATATAATAATACCTTCTTGAACTGTTCTTGTGAGCGCAGTAGCTTGTTCTTGCGGGCTTCGGAATCCTTCTGCAGCTTCTCCCATCTGAACAGAATAGAACACGGTAGTCCAGATCAGTGCGACTTGCGGAAATAGTGATCAGTCAGTTGCCATAGGTCAACCACAAGCAAGGTGATTCATAAGGAGATACCCAAATGTATAGAGAAGACATGTACATGTACTGTATACAATGGCCATGTCGCAGAGCAATGTCCTACTTATTCCCAGCAATTCATTCGTAAAGTAAACCACATCAAGGCCAGACAATGCTTGCTAGTTGGCTCGGGAAGCCGTGTATGTAACTCACCGTCGCATAACTTCAGCGTGCCTCTGGAGAATGGCTCTGGACTGACGGTGCTTGCTGCCCACTAGCTCATCCTTCAGTGCAGTCAAGCTCTGGATGCCTTCGGACGTGAATGCTTTCAAGCCAGCATCGAAGGTATCCTGGAGTAGCGCAGAGATAAATTCATTCTCAGTTGTTCAATCTATTTGTGATTTAGTCAAAATGTATTTACTCAGCTCCCACAAGCTAACCCATCATTTTTTAAGAGTGTCAATTTCGAAAATGGTAATTTTCGAAAGTGCCAAACCCACACATCTCTTGTGGCCTATGGCATCATCAGTGATACCAGTAGCAGGTTCCAAATGGAGTCTTGTACAATTGACACGGAAGTTGACCTTTTCACAGGTGGCAGAACCTGTCAAAGTCCCCGCATAGGCTAATAACAACTATGGGGGCTCATGGCTATTTGATTGGATTTCTAGGGTGTCAAGCAGTGTTTCTGGTAGGGTGCATACCTGCTTGGCCAGAAGTGTCTGCACAGACAGCAGGTCCTTGCCGAAATCCTCAGACTTGACCAGAGCCTCCTTGTCACCTGGTGTACGCCATACAGAGAGCAGAGGAGCAAGACAGAGAATAGAGAGGTGATGACAAAAGAGTGAGTCGGACTGATGACAAAAAAAAGGTTCAGGGATTTCATTTCCATCTTGCAACTCCCCTGGCAAACATGGAGAGTGGACACACAATGAAACTCACCCGGTACGAATTCTGATAGAACATACACTTGCTTAGTACGGACATTGTTCATGCACAAGTGCATTACTGTAGATTAAAGTATGTTTGGATAGGAAGTACTTCAGATACTAAGCAGACTTCCGTAGGATGCGTCTTATCAGATATCCACTGCATATAATATAGAAGTGGCAAGGGGTGCAGAGTTCTGTTGCACTGGCTGTTCTTCTCTCAAACAGAGCTACAATAGTTACACGTTATACTGACAGTATAATCACCACTGACTCAGGCGCATAGCACCGCCGTTGGAGGTGGTTCGGCAGGAGGGGGTCCAGGGGTCTCCCCGTGAAAAAGTTTGAAATTAGGGTGCAAAATCCTGGACCGGCCGGACCGGCTGCTACGCCCTTGCCACAGTCCCTGATCGTGCAATGAGGCTCCACAGCAGACTGTCCACAAATTAGTCCAACGGACGCCAAAGGGGAACATTACACTCAACACACACACATCCCTCCTTACCAATCCAGGACTCCACCACGTCGGCCTTCCAGTTGAATTGCAAGAAAGCATTGTTGTCATTGATCTTCTTCTTGCGCTCCGCAGCAGCTTTCACCAACCCTTCTAGTTTACTCTGTACGAAATAGGGCAAGAAAGAAAGGTTGCTGATAAGAGAATAATGATGACAACTTATTTATGGTTTCGCTGAAGTTCAAAACATGAACAGCAAGCTACGCAGTGTTTCGAAGGACAACTGCAAGTGAATCTTAGACAAAACAATCCTTCCTGTTCTGCTCTCTGATCTTACCTGAAGAGATGCACACTTGCTGCCGATGTTTGCCTTCTGATAATTGTCCTGAAATACCACACAGGCAGAAAGAGACAGGAAGTTCAAAATCACATTGCCTCCTTTCCAGTATTCAAAGAGCTGCATTTTTGCTGTGCCAGCAAGAACACAACGAGTACAGAAACGCAACCAAGGCACTGAATGTACCCACACTGGACCCTCCATTGTACCCATACCTTGGCAATAAGCTCGTCACCAGCCTTCTTGAGTTCAGTCACGCGGTCCTGATGCACGTCCAGGTCAGTTTCGAAGGCCTCGTGCTTCTTCATTAGACCCTGCCGCATAGATCAAACCAGACATTCATCATTGTAATGACAGAAATGAAGTGGGAGGTAGGAACGGTGGGTCATGCAATCTCCGACAAAAAACCTAACTACACAATGATGCCAGATGGCATTGCTACTCCACCAGCCGTGTACACGACCAAGCCAGATTCACACCGCAGGCGCATGGCAAAGCTTACCTGTACTGTGGCGAGTGTATCACCGACTTCATCACTTGTGACCAGAGCGAGCTTCTCATTGATCCAGGATTCCTCTTCATCAACATTGGAACTGAACTGCTGGAAGAGTAGCGACTCATCCAGTTTGCTTTGCCTGCACATACGTAGTGGTCGGTAAAGAAGAACAGAGCGGGATTCACAAAAGACAATGGGGTATCTGATGCAGAGATTAGCAGATTGCTTCTGCATCAAGTACTGACACGGCTACTTAAATCGGGGCCGCGCATTCGCATGTATAAATCAAAACTGAAGAGCTCACTCTCTACTATGGAAGTCATCCTTTCTAGGCAAAATAAGCCTGAGTGATGCATTCACAGAATATTGTATCACTTCATGAATCTAACTTCCGGCAGCAGCCAGCCCATGGGTACACCACACAGTACGATTGGTTGGCATGTCCTTACCCAGCCCATGGGTACACCACACACTACGATTGGCTGGCATGTCCTTACCCAGCCCATGGGTACACCACACACTACGATTGGCGGGCATGTCCTTACCCAGCCCATGGGTACACTACACACTACGGTTGGCTGGCATGTCCTTACCCAGCCCATGGGTACACCACACACTACGATTGGCTGGCATGTCCTTACCCAGCCCATGGGTACACCACACACTACGATTGCTTGATTGATTGGTTGGCAGGTCCTTACCTTGCCGCAGACAGTTTCTGAAGCTCTTCCCAGCTCTTGCCCAGGTCATCGCAGCGCTGCTGAATGGAGTCTGCACCATAGTGACCAGTAGCAATCAGCTTCTGACCATCGTCTTGAACAGTCTGTTGTCATTCACATGAACAAAGTCAGACAATCGTCACGCCACTGGCTGTGCTGAAAAGTCCACCCGTCTACGCCAACAAACCTAGGTTACAGCGCGCACACTTGCTGATGTTGTAAGACCAGTATCAGTACACCCTGCTTACCAGGGGAGAGAATCACAAGCATTCTGCGCAGGGAGATATGTAGGCGGCAGGAGGTGCAAACGTGCCTTCACAACAGTGCTGCCTTTACTCTATTCGCCAGCCAGATAACAATGTGTTCTGAGCCTGCATGTGGAGAGTGCGTTAATTAACCACATTCAGGCCTAGTCAGCACTGGGACGAATTCACTGGAAATTGATGCATGTCATATATTGCAAGAGGAGAATGCACACACATGGCAAAACAAAGTGCTGAGTACACTGGGAAAGCAGCTGTACTACTACATGTAGGTCTTACCTTGATTCTTGGCTCGTGGCCTTCCAGCTCAGTGTCAAAGCGGGAGTGCTTCTTACGCAGGTTCTGCACACCGTTCAGGTCCTTGCCGTAGTCATCGTTGCTGACCAAGAGTTTCTTCTCCCTGCAAGACGGGGCACACGCGGATTGGTCAGATAGTGTCACGTAGCAAGATTATGTCATGCAAGGGCACTGGTGCATGTGTCTGGTACCGAAGCGAGTGCATGCTGCGAGAATTGACAATGCAACAAAAATGTCATCTTTCCAGAGGCTGGTAATTACAAGGCTGTGTATTAGTATGGAATACAGCTCTAATATATAATAATAATAATTTCTTCTTCCTTGGCATTGGGTCTGACACAGATCCATGAGCCAAATGCTACTATTTCTTATTTGCACATGTGCAGGAACACAATATTTTTGCTTACTTGATCCAGGCCTCTTCGTCGCTGATGTCACGGAAGAACTGCTGAAGGATGTGCGAGTCATTCAGCTTCTTCTTTCTAGCTTCAGCTAGTACTTGAAGCCTGTACACAGAGCATGATATAATGGACAGTGGTGTCATGATTTTGCAAAATGTCCTGGAGTGAATGTGCCAAGGGCAATGGATTATCCGTTCAGAAAAGATGCAGCGAGCAAAGACAAATAATTTGTGTCAAGATTTCAGTCGGCACATATATTTAAGTGCCCAAGTCCATTGACATAATGGAAAATTATAAACAAGCCTGGACACAGTTATTGCATAACATAACTCAGCTCCAGTTGCATATGTAGGGAGAGAGAGTTCTGCAAGAGCGACACATTAACCTACTGTGCATAGCGCTCATTGATCTGCTCCTGTTTGGACTGGATACCCACAGCATCGAAGTGTCCCTCGCGAACAAAGTTCTGCGCTTGGCTGTTCAGATCACCAATCTTCGCCTGCAAGTGTACAGAAAAACCAAAACATGAGATAGCCGGTGTCACCATGCACACAGATACATAATTATATGTACAGTCAACTTGGCGTATAACGACACTCGGCGGGGCATCAGAAAAGTGTCCTTATTCGCGAAGTGTCGTTATACCCGAAGTCTCATTATATGTGTCACAGTTTGATGGGACTTTGCTCTGGGCATGAAAATTATGTCGTTATTCGCGAATTGTCGTTATATCCGCAGTCGTTATTAGCCAAGTTGACTGTATGTACTAATGCACCTCGACTGCCAATCTCCTGTATTTGGAAGCACAGTCGGTACGGCATAGGCTTAGTGGATGGCCATGTAGCCTGAATATGCCATGTGTGTCATGTTTGTCAATGAGTGGTATATGTTGTAGGTGCTGACTATGCTGCTCATTGAATGTTGCATGTCGTGCATGCAAGATCAGCGCAGTGAACCCATCAGTATCTTTATCACAATAGCACAGCAAGATCAAGACATTGGCATCACCGCCAAAGAAAAACAGCATTATGCATGTATAAGCATCGGTATCATCAAGACACCAGCAGCGAAAGATCACCAGGATCCAAGCTTACCTCGTGAGCAGTGATGTCTGCCTCAACAAGCTGGTGTTTCTTCAGCAGGTTCTGCACGCTGGGTAGATCCTTGCCAAAGTCTTCTGACTTGAGAAGTGCTTCCATCTACAAGTGAGATCAAGATCAAAAGAGAAGCATATTAATTAGGGTACATATGTACTGTGATGCGCGCACATCAGTTGATAAGAATTCTGCCACACGTCAGTGATCCCCTTCATTTCTATGCACCTTGTTCATGCCATTGGTACAGGACACCAAAATATGAACGCATAGACCATCATTCAATTGATAACATTACAAGAGGCATGTGTAGATCATAACAGCTGCAGAACGTGAAATTTGTTTCCAACTGTGCACCCACAGAATGCTCGGCAAGTCGAAAAGTATGACATATTCAGCCTTTGTAATACCAATACACGAGTCTACACACAAATACATGCATTCACACCCAAAACGTTGTACCTCTCCAAGCCAGAAGAGAACGTCCTTGACACCAGTGTTGAACTGCTGCTGCTGATTGGCTTCCTTCAGCTTCTGGCTCTTATCAGCTGACTTCGACAACAGTGTATTCCATTGGTCTTCAAGGAGAGCCACTCGATCTTTAACAGCTTCCTCCTGTCCAACACACTGGTGGTTGTCCAGAATACCTAAAGAAAGAAAAAAAGGTATTACATTTCATTCTATCCACTTAGCACATGCTAACTTAGCGCCAAACTGAATTCCATTGTCTTCTTTGATCCAGTATACTAGTGGTGATTAGGTGCCATCGAAGCCCAATGCAAGCTAACCAATGTACATCGACCCCCGCAAAGGTAGGAGTTTGGCCTATAACCAAGAACAGGGAGTGGTTACAACCCAGTTGCTAGTACTCACTCTTTCCCATGTTGATCGCTCCGAAGATGCGGTCCTCGTTGGCGGAGACCTCAGCTTCAAACGCCTGGTGCTTTTGAAGCTTGCCCTACGAACACATGCAACAACACCACATATTGCAATACATCATTAATTTTTGATTTGTGAGACAGAATGACAAACCCTAACTTACCAGTAAGCAAATTTCCAACCAAGACATTTCCCTTAGTCATCTCAACATGTAGAAGCAGCTATTCAATCTACAAGGGGAGGCTGATCTTCATACCTGAAGGTTGGTGGGGTCGTGGTAGGACTCGTCGGAAGCCGTCTGCAGCTTCTCTCCGATCCAGGCTTCTGCCTCATCGGCATCCCTGGTGAACTGTTGAAGCGACTGGGATTCACCCAGCTTGCTTCTCCGTGCCACCAGCGCCGCCTTCAGCTTGGACCACCTGAGCACATTTCAATCATGCACAATGCAATGCTCAGCACAGTCTTCTCTCCCCATAATCAATATACAATATTCAGTCAACATGGCATGCTAGGTGTCTGTACACACACATACACATGGCAGATAAGAAACCACCCAGGACTAGTTGCCCTTCAAACTTTCATGCCTTTGGCAATCTCCCGGCAACTGGTGACAAGAGAAAAGAAAGAGGACTCCTATACGCATGGCATCAGCAGGGGGAAGCAACTAAACAGAGAATTATAGTGATTATTGACAATTGGCTTCACAGAATGTTTTTTCACGCAGGAGTGTGCGCTATAAAGATGGTGATCAGTATTTGTTCGAATACGCATAAACTCTCATCCCAATCAATATGGCAATCTCTAGCAGAGCTTTATGGTTTTGCCTTACCTTGCGAGTACAGCAGCTCTGCGTTCAGCCACGGCAGCAGCATCGTAGTGCCTTGTCTGGATCAGCTGATTGGCAAATTCCTGTAGTGAGGCAATCTTCTCCTCCTAAACGTCAGAAAGCAAATGTCACACAATGACACTTTACAATGTCTGAACTGAAAATGGATGTGTGCAGCAACAATGGTCCGAGTTTGAGCCTAACTGCTTTCATCCACCTGTGCGGGACACCTTTCTAGGCTATATTCTATTATTACTTGCGCCTTTTAAAGCTTTGACTTCAGCGGCAGCAACACTGCCTACTAGTCTTCACATGAGTAAGATGTATACTGAAGAGAGGAGAACCAAGTCCAGCGCAATGAACTGAATAACATGAGGAATGGATGGATTCCAACAGTACTACACTAAGGTGCAGGACAACACAGCCTCTATGAAGTAGAACAGACCATGCTTCCAATGCCATACCTGGGTAATAAGAGACTTGTCAAAGTCTTCGTGCCGCTTGATCAGGGCTTCGACGCCATCGAGAGATGCGCCGACGTCTTCCTTGGCCAGCCAATTCTCACGCTGCTGCATCCACAACTCGGCTTGCTCTGAGTCACGGTTGAAAAGCTAAATGCAATATAACACAGGTAAAAACCAAAATCAGGTTATAGCTACAGTCATCCCGGGGCAGCAAGGGTCCAGTACACCGGCCCTCGTATACATATAGATTTGAAAATGCTAGCCAAGCAATGGAACTCTCTGAATGCTCAACCAATTTACAGAATTCAGATGTCTGTATATGTAGTTATAAATGACCAAATGAAGGACAGAAATCATGATTGCATAGGTAATGATTAATGCATCCACATGCAGGATTATACCTGTAGATCAAGACACTGGTCAAGGCGTTGTTTCCTGGCCTGCCACGCTCTGCAGAACAGGCAGGGACAAGGGAAGCAAGTCAGTATCATATTAAAACTTCATCACGAGAGAAGACGTCACATGCCTCTATCAATAATAATGTCTGCCATGCCCATATTATCCACCACTTTCTGTGGAAAAGTGATGCTTATCCAAGAATCCAACTCATTGCAACGGTATCCAACCTGTCTCACTTTTCAAGAGCCTCTTTCTCAGCAAGGGCAGTATCAATCTTCTCCTTGATTTCCGGTGTGGCATAGTGACCAGCTGTAGTTAGCTGCTGGCCAAAGACTTGGAATGCCTGGAACTGTGCCTTGTGTGCATCAATCTCGGACCGGTGTTCCTGCAGGAGAAAGGCAATGGAGTAAATCAGGATCTTGTAGCAACACTTGCTAATAGCTTTCAGACAAATAGTACTGGTAATATTGTTATCAAGCATTGTGGTACGACCCACTGTCCAGCTACCTAACTTTATGCATTAGCTGTTTAATGTATGAATACTATCTATATGTACCTGATGTCTTTCCAGCAGTGCTTCTGCTCCACCAACATCCTTGGCAAGTTCATCGGATGACACCAGTGCAGTAATGCTGTTCGTCCATGCCATGAGATCTCTGAAGGACAAACACACAATGATAGTTGAGAGATGGTAACCGATCCTCAAGTCCTGAATCACACCATGCCAAAACAGGCAGGCACACAGACAATAGAATCTAACTTATTGTGCTGGACTCATCCAGGATGTTACAAAAGGGCCAATAATTATGAGCCTCTGTTGCAATGCTCTCTGCTCACCTGAAATCGTTCAAGAATCTCTGTAGATCATGTGAGTCCAGGAGCTTAGTCTTCCTTGCTGCAGACTAAACAACCCAGTAGAAAAGAAGCAAATCTTCATCAGGTTGGAAAGAACTAGATGTGCACGGGTAGCACGGGTACCCATGCTACCCGTGAGGACCTCGAGTAGACGGGTACAGAATAGAACCTGAAAACCCGAAGTCGCAGATGACATCATGTACAGTGCACGTGTACAAATTCATGTAATACTCCACATGTCTATCCAGTGAAGGGGTGCATTGTGGTGTTACCATGGTAACATTACCCAACCGGGTACCTGTGCTACCCGTGGAAAACTACCCGAACCTGATACCCGAAGAAAATGCCACCTGACTCAGGCCTAGAAAGAACGGGTACACATCTACGTTGAATGAATGACAAGGACAATTCTGCAGACCAACAGCAAACAGTTCTCTGAAGAGAATAAATAAACGGCGAGGCGACAGTCGTTTCAAGATTGCAATCAGCAGTACCAGCTGGATCGACAATTTCCGAATTTTTTATTGAATAACGAACAGAAAGATGACGTCATTCTTCCGTTCGTTATTCAATAAGACATTCGTGAAACATCGATCCAGCTGGTACTGCTGATTGCAATTTGAAGAGAATACGTCAAGCGAATAAAATCAAAATGTGCAGTGTATGTGCATAGATGCAGGAAAGTCCAATGACCATCATCAGGTACCTGTGCCTTCAAGCTGCTCCAAGCATCAGCAATCTCCGTCTGCTTGGCTTGAATGGCTCCGGAGGACATTGGGAATGCGGTCATCAGACGACCAGAGTCATCCGTAAGCTGCTTGACCTACATAGTACAAAGCAACCAGGCACAAGGGGAACAGCTAGTCAGTACCAAGCAAGTCATATTGAGAGATACAGTTTGAAATGCAGTGTATGGCAAAACAGAAACTATTTCAGCACCGAGGAGCACTAAACGGCATCAAAACAAGCACAGGAATGTGTATGTGGAAGGTAGAGTTTTGACCCCGATGTATCCTGTCAATACCCAATTGCAGATACACAGGTATTCTCAGCTGTCCTTACCTTGTCTTCCAGTGCAGCCAGGTCACGTTCCAGTCCCTCGTGCTTGCGCTGCAGAGCCTGCACGCCCGCCAGATCACGACCAAAGTCGTCCGACGACAGTGCCATGCCCTTCTCGTTGATCCAACTCTTTGTCTCATCGGCATCACTGCACATGTTGAATTACCCACAGATATACAGCGTGAACAAAATTCAGTGCACAGTGGCCAGTAGCCGAATAGTTTCGTTCCAGACATGCAATAATAACTTGCCAGCAGAAAGTCCAAGGCATGGCACGTACAAGTCAAATAATGCCTGTGAAATAGCTAAAAGACTAAATGAGCCGCAATCAGCGAAAACGACCCTTAGAGGTTTCGTGATTTTTTCGAGAAAAAGGTCGATTTGTGACGTTCTACGATTTTTTGGATCGCGCTGCGAACAGCAGTTCTTCTTGAACTCCTTGCTTGAAGTAGTTTATTTTGAAGAAGTGGTGTCGAGTGGCGACTCGAGTGTCCCTTGATCTTGTTGCGATGGCTGCGGACGCCAGAGCTGTTCGCAGAGCACACACGGCAGTCATTGTGTACAGCTAGCTCGAGCCTGGTGGGGAGTGGATGCCGAAGTAGCCGCTGAAGTTCAGAGTGAGGATGAGACAGAAGTTCTTTGGTTCCGACGTCGATGTCGACAGCGAGGCGGAATCGCAGCCGTCATCTCCTGCTGCGATGCGGCTCAAGGTGGCCGATGACTTGCCAGAGTCGGAAGATGAGGAGTCGACACCTGAGACAAATTCTGAGTCTGGGGCTAGTGACGGCAGCGACGTCGTGTCTTCAGCTGTGGAGGATGAAATGAAAGACGAGATTGCGGAACGACTCCACGCAGGGTGCAACTGTGAATATGTCGATCATTTCTCCGCAATCATCAGCCATTCTTTGTCATTATAGCTGCTTACTGCACTATTTCAAAGGTATTCAAGCTGCCCACCCACCTTTGAATGCTGAATATTCATTGTACGCATACATCGTATACATACATTGCACCAATTTGGAGTACATCTTGTATATTGATGTATACACCCGTTTTGAATCGGAATATAGAACTTTTTCTTGGCTGAGGTCCTTTAGTAGATGTGTTTCAACAAATTTCTAACCCAAAAGGAATTTTGAAAATGGTGACCCTAAGGGCTGTTTTCGCTGGTTGAGGCCCAAATATCAAAATATATCAAGTGTTCTACACTTAGCTACAACTGACCGGTTAAATCTCTGGATTTCATGGGATCCGTCGAGATTCTGCTTTCGGCGTTCACTGAGTCTCATCAACGTCTCCCATCGCTTGTTCAATCTCTGCACCATGACACGGAACAGCATGGATAGCCACATGACATATCATTAAATTTTTACATGTACAAAGGAGTAAGTTTTGGTGATTGTCGGCAAAGTGCTCTATGCACAAAGCGCGGAGCTTTTCATCATACATGTATACAGGTTGAAAAGCGGTCCTCACAACATCCACCACCCTTGGTAACTGGCAGACCATCTATACGAAGTGATTGGGTGCATATTACCATTCATATAGAGAACAAAATGTTTGCTCGAGTCTCCTCTGGTTAGAGCATGCCGAAGCACTTCATATTGAGTACGCGCATCCAGAGTCACATATGAGATGAGAACTGCAGTTATTCATGCATACTCAATGCCAGTAACAAGTGTTAGGCTAAAGGCTAAACAACAATTCTATGCAAGATACCCTTCAGATCATCACAACGGCTTACATCTGCAATCGCCTGGATGTCATCGGCATCGGAATGGCCTTCTTCAATCAGCTGCTTGGCCAGTCGATTAACAGCGTGGACACGAGACTCATTAGCAGCGAGATCCTTCTGGAAGTCATCGAACTTCTTGATCAGTACCTCGACATGTTCCAGATCCTTACCCAGCTCATCAGAACTCGCAACAGCCTCCTGTTTATTCAAAACACAACACACATGCACCGCAGTGATGAGACTCAGCAACTGGCTATTGCCCCAGGTGAGATAAGATTCATCTAGAAACATCACCGTGCACTACAGGTCATTGCAGTGGGAGACAAGATCGAGCGAAAGATTATATTCAATTATGGTCCCATCACCTCTCCGATGTCTAGGCACACTTGCACCAGTACACCAAAATTTGTGCCAGCGCAAAACTCCAAGTTAAAACAGACTTTCGCCCCTCCCATCTCTACAGCTTGAGCAAGCTCTACCTGTTGGAGAACGAGCACTGCTTGGAGAGTGGGGCATTCGGCTTAGCTGTCTCCTCATTACCTTATCGCTGATCCAGGATTCCAGTTCGTTAGCTTCGCGGCTCAGCATGTGTCGCTTTGTAGACTCCTGCAGTTTGTGCAGACGTTTCTTGGCTAGATCAATCAGCTCGGCATACCTGCAAAGAGGCAATCAAAGCGAACAAGACAAGCATTAGAGCAGTCTCAGCATAGACACGCTACATCACCCAACAAGTTGCATGATTTCTTTCTTTCTTTTTAGTTGCATAATTCTAGAGGTGGGCATATTCTTGTACAAGTCAGGGCAAGGACCCGATTTCTCCTCGAGTCAGGCGTGTACATGTACTTATTTGTTATGGATTTATGCATGGCGGTGGTACAGTCCCCAGCTTGGCAGAACAGTGACATGAAACAGCCAGGTTGCACTCAACACCTATTACATACTGCATGGACAACTTCTCCTTCATGCTCACAGAACATCAAGCCATCATCACTACGTCCCCTACTTCAGAACTTACTTTGCATCGATGACAGATTGTCTATTCGCAACAGAGTCTTCATCTGACTGTGCCGAAGAGCCACTTTGTCCGGCACCCTGGTCCATTTTCTTGACATAGGCTGCAGGTACAAAGCCTTGCTGTCCACTGGGACTTTCCACTTTCCACCAATCCTGAAAAACAGTCACGAGGAGATCAACATGAAGCAACACCCATCCATAAATTGTGTGGCATGGTGATTCGATGTGGTGTAGTCAACTTCATATACAAACAGAGGAAGTACACACACACACACACACACACACACACACACACACACACACACACACATACATACCCCAAACGTCCACGCGCACACGCACCCCCCCCCCCCCCACACACACAACGGAAATGCACTTCAGCTATCTGACGTATTGAGTGCTGATGATGTGACATACCTTGTTGCTGGCATTGAGCAAGGTCAAGACGTCGCCCTTTTTCATCGGCAAGTCACGGGGCGTCTTGGCGACGTAGTCGAACATGGCCATGACGCATTCCTTGCCCTGCTCCTCGGCCTGGGGACGGCTTAGTGCCTAACACACAAAACACAGAAGAGGCATAGATTTTGACATCCGGCTGATACTGTCTCAGGCACCTTGGAGCTAGCCTTATACATAGCGATAACAGTACCAAATAGTAACAGCATAACAGTTCCAATATAGGATGGCTAGTGCACACAAAACATGATTTAGAAAAAGAAAAGGACCAAGGAACTACAAGTTACGCTATAGCGTCCACCAACACCGCCAGTTGCTTGACAACCAGCTCGTGCGATGTGGGGTTAGTGGACATTATAGCGTAACTTGTAGTTCCTTGGTCCTTTCCTTTTCTATAAATGTGTACTTGTCTCTCCATCCGAGTCCAATCAAGACCTAACACAATACTCTATGAGCAAGAATATACTTGTGTGTACACCACCAACACGTCCAACTCTCCATCCATGTCCACAACTCCTGCCATGATATAAGTGTTTCGACAGCCGATGTGATAGACTTACTTGGCACTGTGTGCTCTGATCCTGCAGTTGGGAGATGCTGTTGTTGTAGGCATCCAGGTCTGAGATGATCACCTCATGCTTCTTGAGCATAGCCTGGAAATGTACGCACGTAGAGAAGAGGAAAGAAATATGTCGCTGCTAAGCCACTACATCACACTTACAGCAGCTTGGAAGAGATACACCGTGTCAAAGTGCAAAGACCTTCATTGCTTGCACACATACGGAACGGAGTTCTCGCCAATTTTGCAGGTACTTCATGAAACGCTACCCTTTCCGCAGAGACAATGAACCCCATACTAAACTGACCTGGGCACTATCTTCGTCCTTGCCGTAATCAGTGCTGGCCACGAGGGGCTCCTTCTCACGCATCCATGACTCGGCCTCGTTGGCATCAGCAAAGTACTGTTGTTCTTGCAGAGACTCTTCCAGGTCCGTCTTCCGTGTTCGTGCCTTATCCTACAGCACAAGAAGCATAGAGATAATGTAAGTGGCTGGGTAAACAAAATGATATATTTTCTTTGGACTACCCTACACCTTGCACTGCCAAAATTACCCCATGTCCATGTAACAGGGCAATGGGACATATGCATAAATTTCCCGCCATTAGGTTTTACGGGGCAAGTCCACTACAACCGTACACACCTTGATACCAGCTCTGCATAAAAGGTCAAGAACTTTGTGAGGTCCTACTCATAAATGTACTAGAACGGGTTGTACCTGCCAAGTATGGGGTAACTTGCCCCGCAAAAAGGGGACGGCCATCTTAGATGCATACCTCCCATTCACGAGCATGTGAGTGTGAAGATATCACAGTGTGTGCCCTACCACTACACTACGTTGAGACTACATCAGGTTAGCCTTGTGCACCACATGAAGTACTATCTACCATAGCTGTACCTTCAGATTGTCCCAGTCAGCCAGGAGTTTTTCCACCTTGCCTTGTATCTCCTTGCTGGCAAAGTGATCTAAACACAGACACACAGCAGTTGTCAGTCAGACCATTATTAGCAGGGAATTCTCCGGAGCATAAGCCGCACTTTAAACGTCAGTTACTGTATTCACCCAAATATTGGTGCGGCTTGTATACGATGGTCAAATGAACGATATACATGTATGTCTGTATTTGTGACAAAACAATCTGGGTGCAGCATATCCTCCAGTGCGGCTTACATGTAAAATACGGTACACCATCACCTCCAAATAACTAGTACAGCATGCTTGACCAAGAAAGATTTCAATAAACCAGTGGAATAGAAGAACGCAGAAAGTGTACTGACGAATAAGGGCATCTACAATAGCTTCAAAATCCAATTCAGACAGGCTGCCACTGACTTGCCTTTGCAAAATTTCAGAAGCAATAGAGATAGGAATGTGCCTTACCGGTGTCCTGCATAGCTCGACCTTCACTGCACACGGTCTGAATGCGATTTTCATGCCCACTCAACTCAGCCTGATGCAAGCAGAGACAACGACAACACAGGGGTAAAGTTCAGCAAAAACACAATGCACCTTCGACCAGGCTTACTAGAGCCACGCAAGTGGAATACAGCGAAACTGTAGAGAGATAGGAACACACACATTAAAACAGGCCTACCTGCAAGGCCTGGTGCTTCTTCAGAAGGTTCTGCACGCCGGTCAAGTCCTTGCCTGTGTGTTGTCAGAGAAGAAGCAAAGTAGAACATGGGAAATGAGAAAAATACATAATTATAACACCAGCACCAGCATAGAAACTAAAGGTCTGCGACAGCACAAATGAACATAACGAAGAGAGCAAGATGCATTTAAGTCATGCTGCACCTACAGTTACTGACGATTTACTTGGTAGTGAACACCCAGACATGTTACCATAATTATTAGACCCCGAAACAGATTTGTTAGGTACCGGCTACTGTGATCTTTAACTCATTTTAAGCTATCAACACCCACCTCTGTTCGTGGAGCATGCAATCGGCTCTTTCTCTCTGATCCACGTCTCTTCGTCTTCAATATCACGGAAGAACTGGTGCAGTCGCAGAGAATCATCTAGTACGGCATGCCTCTTAGCCATTGGGCTCTGCACCAATCAGAATAATGAGAAGTGATGATAAATTATAAAAATCAGTTGGTCGATGGAGTTAACGCGAAGGAGATCATCGCATAGTTATGCTTTGTATGGAGTTGCAAACCAGTGCTAGCTCATTCGGAACAGGAAACGGTATGAGTGTGTTGAGATTGAGTTGTAAACCAGTGCCTGTGCCATTTTTTGGCACTGAATACAAAGCATCCTAAATGTTGACAAACTCGCCTAAGTTCTGTAGTTTCAGATAAATGAGTGTGAGTGTTTCATACCAGTGTTTCAAAGCGACAATAGCAGAACAAAATCTCGGTAGAACAGTGAACCAAGTGCAACAAGAACTCCAGTACAGCTAATCTTACCATAGCTATGTACATGTACTAGATGTTAATGCCATGTCACTTGTGCTTGTCCACAAACCGTATCTACTTCATTGAACATCACATACCTGAAGGGCTGCATAGCGAGCCGTCAAAGCGTCACGCTTGGCCTTGATTGCATCAGCATCAAAATGATTGTCTGCAATGAACTTCTCGGCCTGCTGATCAACTGCATCAATGCGATCCTACAGATGGAAGCAAGACAGTATACAAAGACACTAGTTGCAAGAACGCCGTTAAATAATTCTCAGGCCTTACACAGTTAAAAAAAGAAACTATTCCTTTCGTAGATAAACATGCCCACTCCATCAGAAACGTTTAATAGTAGAATGTACAGAAAAACAAGGGCAATCAAGGCTTGTTTACTGCTACTTAAAGTTTCATGCTTCGTGCAATCATCAGGCAACAGTAGTGGATGCACATGTACAAACCTTGTGAGCTTGTATGTCGGACTCCAGCAGAACATGCTTCTTCTGCAGCTTCTGCACGCTGGTCAAATCCTGCAGATGACACCAGAACCAGACAATGGAAGATCGTGTTGATTCCCGAACAATGCATACTTGTGCATGCATATGGAGCGTGGCCCACCAAGGGAGTTCGCATTCATGACATTGTATGTGACAAGAACCTGGTGACGGTTTGAATAATTCCATGGAAAGACCATTATTTCTAAAGCATATTGTCCTTCCAAGTACTGATATGTAATCCACCAAACGCATTGCCTATATGGAACACATTGTTTATACCACATTGTCTTTAGATATTGGTACCAATACCACCATCAAAGAAACTGGAGTCAAGAACACAACGCTACTTACTCGTCCAAGATCCTCCGATGCCAGTTGCTGCTCAACTTCATCCAACCATAGCTCAACATCCTCCACTCCTCTGCAAGATGCATTGATCACAGAAGGAAATCAACATTTGCGTCAATTAGGCTCCAGATTCTAGCACCGATATGCAGTTACACCTCCCTTCAAAAATGTTCTGGACAGTTGAAATGCCTACCTGTTGTATAGTTGTTGCTGGTTCGCTTCCTTCAGCTTTTGACCTGCACAGACACAGATGTAAACCGCCAGGGTGAGAGATCATACTTCCACACCCATATCTACACTTCTACATTCAGTAAATGATTGACCGGCTGTAGTTTCAGGTAAAGCAAAACCTACTGGAAAGCGAATCCAGGGCTCTTGATAACAGTTCTATTTCCCTACATCTACATGTACAAACTAACAGAATATGATTTCTCTCTTTGCCTCATGCAAGATATGAAAGTGGCATCTGTGTGTGTGTGTTTGCGTGTGTGTGCCTGCGTGTGTGTGCATGTGTTCTGTGTGTATGTGTGTGTGTGTGCGCACGTATGTGCGTGCGTGTGTGTGCGTGCAAGTGTGTGTGTACACATACACCCTATCTAACCTTACCCTTGTCTCCAGAAGCATCAGAGAGTAGTTTCCAGAGACCAGAGAGTTCTTCTAGCCGCTCCCTGAAAAAACAATGAATGAACAGGAACAAAACCATAGTGCTTTGAATGTTCATGATCTTCCCGGTACTAATTGCGGCTACGTTCAGGCAGTAGAATCAATGGGAAGAGGCAATTATTCACAGGTTTACAAGTCTCAGTATACAGAACTTGGCTCTTACTGGATTTGATCGGTTGCATAGTGGTCGTTGGAGATAAGGCCCTGACCACAGTTGTTCACGTTGTCGATGCGGCCACGGTTGGCGTCAAGCTCGGCCTCGAATGCCTGGTGTTTCTGCAATTTTCCTTGAAGATTGGACGGATCCTGGTGGACAGGAGGAAAGAAGGAAGCAAAGTAAGCACTACTGCTCAGCGCCATGGAAGCATTTGTAACGCCAATTGAGCAAGAAACATCAAGAACAAACTCCACAATCACGCCTGAACAAACATCTGATGTACCACGCTACCAAGGAAAGCAATTCTGGGAATTTTCGGAGCTGCAAGCCAATCGTAGTGTCGTCGCACGTGAGAAAAAAAGGACAACAGTGCCTGTGAAGTTCTTCACCAAAGCTTAAAGCTTATTTCACTGGATACCGAAATGAGATACAAAATTCCAAACACTCAAGCACACAATTACTGAAAACTGGTAATCTTCTACCGACTCACCTTATAGTTTTCATCCTGCGCTGTCTTTAGCTTCTCGTTGATCCATGCCTTGGCCTCGTCTGCGTCACGCTCAAACTGCTGGAGCTGCAGTGAGGCTTCCAGGCGCTGGCGACGAAGCTTGCACTTATTTCTGAGCTCCTCTCGTCTCGCAAGGAGCTAGGCGTGTACATATAGGTAAGGAAACAACAAATAGTTCAGGCGCCATAATACTTTATACAATATACCAAATATGGAACCGGTGATTACAAAAATAAAACAGAACAGATATTTCTGTTTGCTCCAGCTGCCAGTACCAGTCTGAACCATAAGCATGTCTTTCAGCTGAAACCGGATAGTCCGTGTATTGCATTCAGATGATTATTACTATAGTGCCTACACACTGGTGTTCCCCTAGCACATGCCTCCTTATAGCTCACCGCCTGTTGTTGCTTAGCAATGTCTGCCGACGCATAGTGCTCGCCGCCGACCAGTCTAGTAGCCGACTCGTCGAGAGCCTTGATCTTCTCCTCTTGGGCAGCAAGGGATGTCTCAAAGTCCTCGTGCTTCTTGATTAGGGCCTCTACACCATTCAGTGTGTCACCCACATCTTCATTGGCAAGGAATACCTGAGGAAAAATGTACAGAGAAACATCGGCAATCCCATTATAACATGGTAGAGAGGACGTATTTGGAAAGTTCAAAGCTCTTCATGGTCATAATAGTGCCTTGTGATTCTATCGGAGCAAGTGCTTCAAAAACACCTGTCAGTCTGAATCTCATTTTTGGAATCTTTGCCATGGTATTGTCAAGAAGTTTAAACCCCATGTAAGATTTAGCTTGATGTTGGTGATTTGAGAGAGGAAAGATGGCTTACCGCAAAAGCCACTTCGGCGTTATTTCAGAGTATGTATCAATCTTATTAGGTGGAAGTTCTATTTGTGCACTACTTTGCCGCACTGTTGCTTTGTAGCTCCCCTTCTTCATTATTATATGGGTCTTCCTTCTCATCAATACGTGTTTCTTCCGCGATAGTGAGTGCACACTACATTGCACTGCATATCATGGCCAATCCCTATATACTAGCACTACCCTGGTGCTGTATCAAGCGTAGTACTAGTGCTTGACGAACTGGAATGCAAGACCCGCTAAATTCACTTCATCACTTTACGGATAATGGCCAAAAAGGGATTCATGTTATGTGCGGTAAATCCATATCCCAGTTCCAGCTGTGAAACGGTTCTCGTCAGATTTTGAATGTGAAATTTGCCTGGTGGTGCCCCTAGACCTTTTGATTACGCCGAGGTGACAATCTGATCTTCTCAAATTTGGCGCATAGCAGGTTTTGAATTCCAGCTCTTCACGTGTACTCTTGCATTGACGTAAGAAACGGCTCTTTCCCTTAAGCTGGAAGTAACCATTTGCTGTACTTTGGTGTGCCCTTCACGGTGCGCTCACCTCTTGCTTGCCCATCCAGGCGTTCATCTGCTCCGTGTCACGCATGAACACCTGCAGGTCCATGCACTGGCAGAACTCCTTCTGGCGCTGGTCCCACAGTTCCAGCAGTGATTGCTGTTCCTCGCCCAGAGAGGCCAGCTGCATGAACACAAGGCACAACAAGACAGTTTCTCCTCATAAATTGGCCATAAAAGTAAAATTGAAAAGGCCAGCTTGGATCTGTATGTGGAGCGATCAATACCAGAGAATCAATGTGATCAATGAGCAATTGTAGTGCAGAAATCCTGAGGGCAGAAGAGAAAAAGAGGAAAAAGTGTGCTGTGACCAGGATTCGAACCTGGGTTACTACGGCCACAACGTAGGGTCCTAACCACTAGACGATCACAGCTTGCTATGAGAGCACACATTTGTGAGTGAGCATGCGTGTATCCTTGTGCTGCTTGGGGAGTAGCTTTGAACGTTTTTTTCTGGGAATACAAACCCTCTTCGTGTTTAGTAGTAGTATTTATTATTTTACTAGGGCAATCCCCACAGACTGCGAGTCTTTTTACAGGGTACCCTAGGTAAGTGCGTGAAATAGAGCTGAATTAAGAAAGCCGTAAGTGCGTGAAATAGAGTAAAGAAGTGTTTGGACTGTAAACAAATACAGTACTGGAGGAATGCAATGGACTTCTCCCTCAGGGTTCCTTTGTGACCCCTGCTCCCTTGTCCACTCCGATCTCTATGATTCTACTTCCAGGTAGGAGGAAGTCAACGGATGGTTTACTTCAGAGACCGTGTTGACAAAGGTGTTGCACAGGACTTACCTTTTCTCTGATCTCATCGTTAGCATAATGCTGCGCAGCGACAAGGGACTGACCAAATTGGTTGGTCGACCGGAAGATATCCTCGCGAGCATCGATTTCTCCCTGAGCAACATAACCAGGAAACAAACACGTCTTGAAGACTACAAACACTTCACTGTCCTACAGTAGTCACATGTTTCACCCTCATCGGTACTCTCCACTGGACTACACACCATATCTGTACGTCATGGACATGTTCAACACACATCACTAATTTGGTCATTATCCATATTGTACAACCAGTGAAGCATCGACCGAGGACTATGGATATAGTCATTGTACAAGCACTGCTCTGAGAGGGTGCATGAATGTCTACCTTTCGTTCTTGGTGACGTTCTAGAAGAGCCTCAGCGCCGGGAACATCCTTGGCGAGCTCATCAGACGACACAAGGTTCTTCATGTCGCCACTCCACGACACAAGATCACTGTTATCAACATAGCAAGAGAACACCACACAACAACAGGACATCATAAGCTCTGCATCAAACCATGTAGTCAGAGGATGACAAATAGACATCTCTACCATCTGAAGTCAAATTAGGTGACTGAGATCGAGTGTGTATATCATCATGACCCCCACCTCCAACTCAACAACTCTTCAATACATGTACTCGATCAAGAATAGAGTATGTCACCCAAGGCGTAGTTCAACTGAGGACCACAAGGGCAAGTGACCGCCACCCAGCCCGTGTTTCACGGCCAGCATGCCCTATCCCAGCTCTATCCACCTACCGATAACTGGCCAGGAATCGCTGCAACTGTAAGGAATCAGCCAGCTTGCTTTTACGCGTAGCAGCCTGGAAAGGAGGAAGGAGGAAAACAAAGGAGAGGGCTAATACACATCGCTGTTACAGAAGCAATAGAATGTTCAAACAGTTGCGAGGGATAAATCTTTACATCTTCAACTGCCATGACCCGGTAGAGATGAATGTTTTCCAGGCAGCAGTAGCCTTGAAATGCTCCACATGACCTTCCCCCCAGCTGGCTCATGATGCTCTCAGATAATCCCTTACCTTTTGTCTGAGACCTTCCCAGTTGCCAACAATCTCTGCTTGCTTGGCTGCGACTTGATCGGCACTCTCAGTGTAACGCTTCTGCAAACGGGTGGCTTCACCGCCGAGGGCACCAACCTAAACAGAACAGAGAATCATAAATCAGGCACAAAGGAGATCCTGTATGCACTGGTGGACATGGTGTGACCTATAATCTGGTGGGTATTTGCCTGCTACAATTTAGAAACACACGCTTCCGCCATTGTTGCAACAGCTGGAGCGCGTTGCGAGATGTTCATTGTGTTTGATAATCTGCATTAAAGTTTACCTTGTCCTCCAAAGCGGCCAAGTCTCGTTCCAAGCCATCTTGCTTTCGCTGGAGGGCCTGGACACTGGCCAGGTCGCGACCAAAGTCGTCCGACGACAGGATGGCGCTCTTCTCATTCATCCAGCTGGTGGTCTCGTTAGCGTCCCTAAAGGAAAGTCACAACAGCAGTACATTGAATGATCAACATGAGAATGGTCCGCATAACATAGCAACGCTTTACACCAAAAGAGTATGGCTAAAAGATGCCCATTCTCTTCACTGTCTCAAGTATCAATATGGAAAGACTAGTTGAAATTCCATACTGCATCATTTGCAGGAGGATTCATGACTCAAGATGCTACCCACCTGTAGAATTTCTGGATCTCATGCTCGGCCGCTAGCTTAGCATTCCGGTCATTGGACAGTTGCTTGAGGTTGTCCCAAGACGAATCCAGCTCCTAATCGAGGAACGTGGCAAGACCAAACAGGGGAACAGAACAGGGTAAGCTTTGTTTGATGACATGTTGTGGGTAAGAACAGGTGATGGGTACAGAAGGCCATCGGACATTCAAAGCAAAGTATTCCCTGAAATACAGTATCCATTTCATAGCAGTGGATTAAAGGGGAACTACACCCAAAAATCAAAACTTCATGGTCCGTAGAGTTTTGGACGCTGAGTCGAATGGTGAAGGTCCCACTTCGATCCGACCAAGCGTTCTTGAGATATATCAGTTTGCAATTGTCCTTTTCGGGTCCGTGCCGTGACGTCACAAACCCGTGACGTCATTGAGACTTGGTGATCCTTTGGCCAGATCCAGAAACACTGGGATTTCGCATCTTCTTTCTGTTTGTCCATGGAAGAAGAGGGTGTTTGTGTCATCATGGCTTCTGGCTGTGTTGTTGGCTACTATAATCTTACTGGTAACCCCCCTGGGATGAACCTGCACCAATTTCTGAAGGATTGTGCTTGGCACAGGCCGAGCAGTGCACCATAGCAGCTATCAAGCGACATAATTATTTGCTTGACAATTTAGGGACTACAATGTAAATCCTTCGCGTGTGTTCCAGCCATTTCAGAGGAGGATTTTCAGGAGGAATATTATGGCACTCATCCGATGCGGACGCTGGTGGATGAAACTGTGGTGCGTCCTTTTTCGCACGCCACACTGTGAAGTGTCAGTCGAAAAGCGGAGGTGAGTGCAATATTTCAAAAACACTAGCTACTGTATGTAGTTCTTTCTTTTCCAAAGCATTTGTAGAATTGTTTTGGACTACACTGATCACTACTTCTGAAGTACGAAATGTGAAGCTTTCCGAAACCGGCCTGATGAGGTGGACGGCAGTAGATCTCCTGTTTCCCTAGGCTATACTGCGTGCGATCGATGAACCTGTCTGCGATTGCTGTTCTTGATTTTACAGGAAGAAGATCAAGAGCGGCTGTACCATCGGTCGCAGTGACTCACTGTTGAGCTACGACCACTGCCACCGCCCCAAGGTTATAGGAAGGACTGTTTGCAGCGCCTCTAGCTGGCATGTTTTTTCCTGTATGAACACACAGTATGTACTGCTGATAAGCTACATCACGCAATGACCCGCAGTTCAAGGAGAGAAGATAGTCCACATACCGGCAACGGTGTACACCTATTCGGGAACTCGTTGGGTTTTCTCAATATGGATGCAGATGAGAGCCAGACATTATTATTATTATTGTGTGTATGCGTGCAAGCGCGTGAGTGTGTGTGTGCGCGCGCGCACGCACGCGCGTGAGTGTGCGCGCACGAGCGTGAGTGTGCGTGCGCGCGCCCGTGCGCGCACGTGAGTGTGTTTGCGCGCACGCGCGTGAGAGACAGACATTATTATTATTGTGTGTGTGGGTGCACGCGCGTGAGTGTGTGTGTGCGCGCGCACGCGCATGACACTGAGTGTGTGTGCGCGCGCATGCGCGTGAGTGTGTGTGTGCGCGCGCACATGCATGTGCTTTTGTGTAATGTAATAACATTCCAAATATATTCACGTCATCTATTCTGTGTTCTGTGTTCTCCTTTATGTCATTCTCTCCCCATTTGCGGGAGGGACATGGAATGACAAGTAGTAGATGCATTGCCGTTAGTGATCCTGAGGGATGTGTGGGTATGCAACCAAGTGCATGAGTGCGCGCATGTGTGCGTGCACGAGCATGTGCACAGGCACTTGTATGCTTATGCACTCGTGCGCGCACGCGCTTGTGAAATTGCGTGTATGCGGGCGTGAGCATGTGTGACTACTATACTATGTGCCCACCAAGGTGAGCACATGTGCGTGCGTGTGTGTGGGGCGCAGGCGGATATGTCCACACATTTTAGAATGATAATCAAGGACAGAGCTGTTCCGGTAATGCAGTCATGAGACACCACAGTAGGGCAAAACGCACTTAATATGCTACTGTGCTGCTGCTGCTGCTAGAGTGCACAGCGTAATTGTTGGTACACAGCTACGTGAAATACAAGAGAACGTCTCAGCATTCTGTAAAGACTAAGTGATAATGCAAAAGGTGAGAATGTATTTCGCCACAATACGAATTGAGTGCAGTCCACTTATGTGAGATAAAGCACAAGTGAACCGATACACATTGCACGACTTGCACGGAGATAATGCTAGCCATGTTACGCAGCAAACTCCATGTACAGGAGTACGAGTGAGGAGACTATTGATCTGAGTACTGTGCGAATACAAAATTTCACACAATTTACGATATGAAGAGAACCATTCGATTTGTGAGCATTACTTTACGACTATACTGTGAAAACACTTACGGATTGTCAGGGTTGTCTGAGCTGCTTTGGCTGCCGCTTCATTTCGAAATAGCCCAGCCAACCGGTTGCCAGATGTTGCTGATGGAGAGCGACTTCTCCAATTGCAGTAATTTCTGCTTCATCCACATTTACAGCCCGATTGGAAGCCACCGCTTGCGCTGCCATATCCTTTCCTGAAAATTTCGGCTCATGCCCGAAGCCAAACATTTTCAGCTCAGGCTCTGAGCTTTCAAGCTCGTCTGATACGTCGGAATCGCTCATGGTGAGGACGTCTTTGTCAGAACTATTCCTTTCACATAAAATACCTGTACTTCTGAGCTTGGCCCAGGCAAGCAAGTCTCAATGACGTAGAAGGGCGTGTTGGGGGTGTGTCGCGGCCGCATGACGTCATGGCGCGTCCCCCGAAAGTACAATTTAAACCGAAGATATCTCAGGAACGCTTGGTCGGATCGAAGTGGGACCTTCACCATTCGACTCAGCGTCCAAAACTCTACGGACCATGAAGTTTTGATTTTTGGGTGTAGTTCCCCTTTAAGGATGCATCACGATCATATAGTCACAAACCTGGGAGCGTTCTTTGATCAAGTCCAGGTCAGGATGATTCTCAGCTTCCAGAGACTCAGCAAGTTGCCGAACTGCCAGCAGACGAGCTTCATTTGCTGCAAGGTCCTGCGAGCAGTCAACAATAGAAAGATGTGATACAGAAAAGCAGGATCACAGCATGGTTAGCGTTCACATCATTCTCTTTTTGTCGCGCACATTCCTGAAAAAGACAAAGTGTTATAGACTGGTTTTAGTAAGATATTCATAAAATGTAATCGTATTGGTAGAGTTCTTACTAGTATATCAGGACACGTATATGCATGATAAAACACAGGGAAAGCGTTTGTAATAGAGCAGAAATTTCACTCTAGATGCCACTGCTTTGCCCACAGGTTTTACCTTCTGGAAGTCATCAAACTTCTTCTGAAGCACTTCAACGTGCTCTAGATCCTTTCCGAATTCATCAGATGCAGCAATCGGCTCCTGAAAAAGCCAGAAACAAAGCAGAAGCCAATAATGAATGTAACATTCAGCAACAATTCTGTTCGGAATTAATATTTCTAGGAATGGAGGGGGGGGGGGGTGAACATGTATATTGCAAACAAAGTACAAATTCATGGGCATGTACAAAGGAAGAGATTACAACTAAAATGAAAAATTAGGGCTCCAGCATGCTCTATCAACCAACCTTGTCTGCGATCCATGATGCAACCTCGTCCACCTCTCGCAGGAAGTGCACTCTCTTCTGGGCATCGCGGAGCTTTCGCCCTCTTTCAGCAAGCTTGTCTAGCAGTAGCTGCCACAGCTGAGCAATGCTGTCCAAGCGTTTCTGAAAATTAGATTAGAGAACAGATGCGATGTTTCAGTAATGAAATAATGGCTTCTACCCATGCCATCCGAAATGCTCAAACTTAACAAGCATGCAGATAAGAATTTACATTACGCCATCCGTGAAACATCCTTGAGGATATTGTTTTCGTAACCGAGTGTGGCAATTTGGGAGGCAGGGGTCAAGTGCAGTGAGTGGACATCATCAATAAATTTATATAGATATTCTTTCGATGTAGTGTGAAAAGTGATCGACACAATGGTCAGCTTTCTGCTCGTTACAGATAGGGATATGAGGAGAAATTACAAATTCTGCTTTCACCAAATCAGTATTCACTTGCATCCCTTCTATCATATCATTAAAATAGTGCTTCTCCCTCCCATATCACACATGGAAAGGTATGTTCACGTGTGATGCAAACTTCAAATAGCCCACAGGAAACTTAGTGCTTTACCACGTCAGCATGCCAGCTTGGGACAATATGTACCAAGGAAGCCAGTCACTAACTCGTTAGGGTCATTAAAAAAAGAAGATACCAATCTCGCTCTCATGCCCTACCTTGATATCGTCGGATGCAAAATGGCTTTGATCAATCATGGACATTCCACTGCTGTTCAGTGCATCAATGGTATTGGTGTGCGCAGTCACTTCAGCCTCAAATGCAGCATGCTTCTGGAGCTTACCCTAAGCACACATTACACATTACATACAGCACAAGCACACACACACACACACACACACACACACACACACACACACACACACACTACTACTACTACTATGTACAACTGCCACAAAATGGCCACGTCGCTCCCAGAAGCGGGAGACAACAGCGAGAAAAAAGAAACAAGGAGAATAATTGAGGTGAAAGGGGACCGTTCTACACATAGCTAGTGTTTCTGTCTTCGGTGGCGGGTGAGGTCCTGCGGGCGGGAGAATCGTTCGTTACATATGCTGCATTGAATGGGCAGATTAGTCCTCTGGTCCTTTCGCAGTCGTTTGCCTCGAGTACAATTATGGCGGACACACACACACACACACACACACACACACACACACACACACACACAAACACAAAGATATGAAAGCTCAACCCTTTGCTGGCAAGACCACTTTATTCCCGTAGCTATGCAGAAGACGTTACTTCATTAACGTCTGGCGCTAGCCAGGGTCCACACAGCTTTAATTTCATGTTCGTTTGTTTGTTTGTTTGTGTCACGCCTGGCACTATCCCGTATCTGTCCCGTACCATACCATGAAGAGAATGAGTATGTATAGTAGCATTATGTATAGCATTAAAGTGGTCAGCACCAAGAAATGAGAGACTGTAGAGGCCTGGCATATATGTATGCGAAGTGTATCGGGGGAATGCATGCAGGGCGATAGCGCAGTAACGTCTGGCGCTAGGCAGGGTCCACAAAAACTTCCTCCGTTAAGTCGGATTGCAGACTTCTGAAAGAATGCATGGTCAATCAGCATTCGAGTCTGGGCTTTGCACAGTTTGAACAAGAACCTGAATTCAGAATCATTTGATTGCGCCGTGCTATCGGAGCAGCTGCTTGTTTCTTTCGCTCAGGGCCCTACGCTATGCTTTGTTGCCTAGCTCATCATCCATGTTATTCGAACAGATTGAAACTTTTGCAATACAATGATGTAGCCGATCAGTTCGTTGTGGTATGGTTGGGCATTGTAGCCGTCATGGTCGACGTAAAACACTATAAGACCGCAACGAAGTTGGGGCCAAAGAGAAAGTTCCATCAGTTCTAATAACATGCATGATGAGCTAGGCAAAAATGCATAGCGTAGGGCCCTGAGCTTCCAAGCTCTCTCGCATGAAATCCATCACGTTTAGAGGAGTTCCAACAACTCCCAACTTATGCACATTTTGCATGACCTTCATCTTGACCTACTGCATTGCTTTGTGGCACCTTTGCCAATGCTCTCAAAATGATGAAGCAATCGCATAACCTATACTCACCACATACATGTGCCTGTGCACGCACGCATTCGTGTGTCTTTGTGTGTCCTTCTTTGTGTTCGTGTGTGTGTGTGTCCCATTCGAGTGCACGTGCCACAGGAAGTTCCGACTACGTCACCATCTAGTGCGCCATCAGAAGTGCTGCTCCTCCAACTCTTCCACCCCTCTCCCCTGACAGGGAGCATGTAACCTAGCAATGGAACGTGTATCAACGTCAAGATGTGTGTGTGTGTGTGTGTGTGTGTGTGTGTGTGTGTGTGTTTGTGTGTGTGTCAAAGCATAGCCCGAGACTGGCAAACAAATGTACAGCAAGTTGGAAAGGCCACTGCAAGTTGAAGATGTCTTCCGGACACATGTCTCTATGTGCATGCTTCAAGCAACTACTCCATTGATGTCATGGTTGCGCACGAAGACACAGCGTTCCCTCCAGCTACCTTTTGGTGGAAGGTCTGCTTTAAACTTCCTGACTCCAACCAGCACATTAGCACGTAACGTCTTTGAACATAATGACCGAACAGACTGCTTTGCGCTCCCTAGGCCCTGTGCTTAGAAATTGATATGCTTTCAATATTCGAGGTGGTCACCAACAGAAACCGCTTGGGACTTGTGGGTCTACAGAGAGCAAATCTCTCACACAAATGTAATGCGCACGTCTGTGCGTGTGTGCAAGTGTGTATGTGCGTGTGTGCCCCAAAACGACAGTTCACTGATTAGAACTGCATGCACTAGTGCCAGCAATGTTCCATGTCCAGTGTCTGCTCTAGGATTGTAGGACAGCCAGGTACACGTGTACCTGGCGCAACCATTTCAACCGGGTTGGAGCCGGGTACACATGTACCTGGCGCTGTCTCACCAGCCGAGTCACATGCTTTAACTGGTTGGTTGGTTTATTTTAATTCGGACAATAAACGGGAACTAGGCCCAATGATATAAAGGCGAATGGCTAAGCCGCATTTAGAAAAAGAGAGGACAGGAATTAGAAAATTACGAAAGAAGAAGAAGTATCTGACACATACAAGCCATGTAGTTAGTCCTTTCAAAGTTCGAAAGTGTAAAGTACCAACCGGGTCACAGGTGACCCGGTACTATCTTTTCAACCGGGTGCAAGCGCCGCCCAACCGGGTGGATTACCCGGCTCACCCGGCGCTGGAGCAGACACTGATGTCACACGAGCACTCTGTGGCATTTGAAGAGAGGGAAGCCACATCGAATTCATGTTCCAATTATCTTCTTGTCCTAAGCGATTCCCCAGCCCATCGATGAGCACATCGCTTCAACTGAATGTCACGCATACGGTTTGACTCCGTGCGCTTGCAGGACTCTATCAATGGTTTGAGGTTTCGAGCTGCTGCCCTACTGACTTCTGTGTAGGGCGCGACGCATGGTACAGTCGACTGGGTTCGCCTCTTCTGGCTGCCGCCCCTTTCCACTGCCAAAAGCCAGTGAACCATACATCCCTGGTCTGGGGCTGCACGCTCAACCCTCTTTAGGCTCTTACCTGCAAGTTTGTGGTGTCCTTGTAAGCCTCGTCGGACGCCGTCTGAAGTTTCTCGCTAATCCAGCCTTCCAACTCATCGGCATCGCGGCGAAATTGCTGCAGGCGCAGCGCATCTTGCAATTTTCCTCTTCGCTGCTCGGCAGCCGCTTTGAATTTCTGATACCTCGCCAAGACCTGATCTCGCCGGGCCTGAATATCCTCGGCGGTCTCCAGGCTTCTACCCTGTGTCTCGGCCATGGCCGAGGTGTTGCAGAGGACTCACAGAACACTCCTCGTTTTCAAACACGTCTACTGAACGAGAGAGGGAGCGAAAGAGAAAAGTTCGACGGCGGTTGTTACGCGTCCAGGCTGTCGAACAAGTGTGTCTGTTCACCCCACTGATTTTTGCCTCTGATCGACTCGCTGTACAGTCATGTACATGTACTCGGCAGGGCAGTTCGTAGTGTAGTCTCGACGGTCTACCACAGAGTTGTTGTCTATGCCACAAAGCTTGTTGACGGTTCCAAGGACAGGTGGTGAACTGACTCGGTGACTGTTGCCTGTTGCAGTGTTGGTGAAGCTGGTCGGTGAAACGCTACTGCCGAGTAGATCTACTGCGTACTGGTTGGCATTTACCTTGATTATCATGATTATAGAAATGACTTATTTGTTACCACGCACTAGTCAACGCTGCGACTCTACAATCCACTAAGTATGTCACATCTTAGTAGATCTACAACACTCAACAGTCGAGCTTTCACCGAATCTGCGACAGAGCTGCCTCGCGTTCGCGGACAACTAACTGTTACTTCGCTTTACTTGTCTTGTGCTGTTTTGAATGCTGTCGTGATTTCATCATTTTCGATGGAGCAAAAGACTACCGGTACGCGGTACCATGGGTACTGCGGTAGTGCTTTTTTGTAGTGTCATGTCGTAGTGATGGAATGACCATGCATGACCATGATGACTGATATTATTTTTAGTGTGTGAAAGCATCTGCATAGCAGTGTGCATGTGCTGGACTCGTGATTGAAACGCATGCGCAACCAATACGGCAATAGACAACACTCAATCGGATCGGACTTGGGAAGTCCGAGGTATGCAGGAGGGAGAAGTTTTTAGTTACTTGAATCTGGAGTCGCGAAGCCGTTGTGTGGGTCTGAGTGACAGGTCGCATGCAGGCTTGAACAAGTTGAAGTACATACAAGCAACACTGCCATCTGCATTCTTCTCAGACTTCAGTCCCCTTTCCATTGCCTGTCCTGGCATATTCCTGAGAGTGAGACATCTGACATGGTGATTGATTGATGGGTGTGTCCAGTAGCACTGTCCCGTAGTGGCAGTGGGGTAAGAACTGGGTGCCATCACCAGGGCCTGGACCCCTATGTCTATGAACTATGACTTGCCGTTAGCCTTAGCCTTAGGTAGAGCTGAAGGAAGAATGTACGCAACGATTGTTTACACAGGCCGGGGGCCCATAGCAATGGTAAGCAGATGACTTGGAAAACAAGTAACCTGCTGGGCTAGGATTTCAATAAGCAGGTGCATGTACATGTACATCTTCAGAGGCTCCCGCACTCCATGAGAAGGTTCTGTTTTAAAGTGAACTGTCTGGTGGAGTTGTCACTAGAACTGTTCTTCTGTAGTTCATGGCAGGTGATCGTCTGCAGTGAACTGTGCTCTGCCCACCGCAACTCCAATACAATTGTTGTAAGGTACTGAATGCACTGTATATGTGTATGTGTATGTGTATGATCTAGTGCGTATTCCGCTCAACCAGTACCGCGATCGGCTCAGCGTGACACTTCTGTGCTCTGCGATGTTTGCCAGCGTACTTTCGCCCACCAGAAATACAAGAATCGCCACAAGTGCCTGGCCGAGAGGAGGAAGCCCATATCTGAGCAGTCCGGCAGCCGACTATGTAATGCGTGCGGGAGATGGTTCTTGAGTGCTGGCGGGCTAGCTTCGCATAAGTGTCTCTCCAACTCGGCTGCTGAAGTGGCGTCGGTCTCGACTGTGGCATCGGCAGACTCGGTCCGGAAACAGCGGGTTGCCCTGCCCTGCTGCAGAGCGCATTGTCTCGGCTGCGGTCGCTGCTGCAAGTCATCCCGTGGTTTCGACCTGCATAGCTGTGCTAATTTCCTGTCCAGGAAGTAGAGCGGCGTTTCTGGGTCCAATGCTGAACTCAGTGCTGTCGACCCCTGCACAGGGGACACGTGACCATTTGATGGCAGTGTTACCAAGGACCAAGGTGTATGTATATGTATTATGTATATGTATATTTATATGTGTATGTATATGTATATGTGTATGTATATGTATATGTGTATGTGTATGCGTATGCAAAATGTGTACGTGTACAGTCCTACATACGCCGCTGATACGGTGGTGTGGGAGTTCCTTGTGCTGGCAGCTTCTGCACACCGGCTATAATCTCTATCCCATCTATCCAATATCTTACACTACAGCAGATCTAGACATGACACCAGGTATGCTATAATCAGTGAACTGCAGGGAAGCAGCGCGAGGCCAATGCAGTCTGGCAGTGGCAGGGAGCTGATTTACCAGCTGGTCAGTGTGCATCATGTGACAGCTGCGGTTGGACCAAACGGTGTACATCCCAGGGGAATGTGTGCACCGTAAAGTGGTGTTGGACAAATTCAACCATAGGTTCATTCCAGCAGACTCATGGTGATGTCCATGCTACTACAGTCAAACCTGTTTAAGCCAACTGCTCAACGGGCCTTCAAAATGTGGTCGCCGTGTACAGGTGGTCTCCTTATCCAGGGTCGTTTGACTGGAAATAGCATCCCTTGGTCCTGGTTACAGTGGTCTTCTGGGGCAGGTGGTCGCCTTAACCGAGTGGTCGCCTTGACAGGTTTTTCTGTACCACTGGCTGAATACCAGGCGAACACATCACTGATGTTGTGTGAATCTTCTGTTATTATCATTCAGAAAATGCATGACTATTGTTTACTCGTACAGTGCCCAAAGCCCAAGGCTGCTGATCCATTACAGATCCAAAGGAATTGTCCACTGAAATTTGTTTCCTTTAGTTTCCCGGCTTATGACTTCTTTTCCAAAGAAACCCAGGAGCACAATACTCAGTAGTGCTGATTCTATGATGACTGAGAATGTTAACGTTTAATGTGTATACCTGCTAGTATGAAAGATGCCATGAGACAAAAGCCACGACTTTCAAGTCAGCTAGGTGGAAACTCTACATCAGCTGCTCCATGGGCCATGTTCATGGCAAAATGTTGGTGCTGTGTGCTATGACAATACAGTCAAACCTGTCAAGGCGACCACTCGGATAAGGCGACCACCTGTCCTAGAAGACCACTGCAACCAGGACCCAAGGATGCTCTTTCCAGTCAAATGACCCTGGATAAGGAGACCACCTGGTACAGAGACCGTGTTTAGAAGGTCCCTTGAGCGGTCGTCTTAGACAGGTTTCACTGAACACGCTAATACAGAAGTACCAGTTGGACAATACAGGTGGCGATCTCACATTGGATACTGGTATAGGTTGCATGGCATGCTGATAGCTGTTTATCAATGGTGATCACTGTTACTGGCATTCGGTGCTTGTTAGTAGCTGAATGCATGCTATAATAATATTATTATTTAATTTTTGTATTTATCGTCTCCACTTCATGGCACATAATAATACATAGCCAATGCAAGAAAGGGAGGGTGAATCCAACCACGATAAATAGTATAATTATTATGATGAGAAAGAGTTTTCCAACTGATCTGCGAGTCAGTACAGTGGTTCAACATACGTGCACTATAACAACCGCAAAGGCTGTGCAGCACTCGCATACAACATACAGGAATGCCAATAATACGGACCATCTGACCAGTTCTGTCTTGCTAGTCATGACCTCACCATTGTTCATCTCGGGTCATCCTGAAAAACTTCCAAGATTGGCCTTAAGTCATGTCTATTAGTTCAAAATTCAATTATCCCTCGGGGTGAGCACTACCGTGACGAATCTAAAACTGTTTGTAATTTGCGTGCAGCAACTCCGTGTTGCTTATCCATTGCAAATAACATAGATTTGGTGCAGAACACGTTAAAAGGGTGGTTGGGGTCAGTATTTGAGGTTTTGAGTTAACACGCCCTTGTGGTAACTAGCACGTCCAGCTTTCATATTAAAGAAAAACATTGATTGAAATCCATCAACAAATGATGCTGTGGGCTTTTGTCCACGGCCTTTGGCCAAATTTGTTGGCACTGAGTTCAAATTTCAAATGCATTTTTCTCTGTTTCAGTCAAGTGCAGCTAAGCATCTTTTTCATATGCGCTGCGTCCAATATTGTCCTATATGTATTTTCAATGGGGGAGTAAATTGCTAATGCAGCAGCCGCATCACATAGGCACACCATGCAGGAAGAACACAACCAGGCTACAGGTGTTTTGTTTGAAGATGATCTGGAGTATTGGCTCAGAGTCATGAAACATTGAGCAACAACTGTATAAGTATACTGCTCTGCTATCCACGTGTCACTGAGTGCATGTGCTGCACTTCTTCTAATTACCCCTCCCAAATACATGAATACAAGTACATGTAAATCGAAGTAATCTAGCGGCATGAAGTCTCTGTGACCAGAAAAGACACATGGATGTTCTTTGTGCAACCTACCTCAATGTCCGTTGTGTCCAGGTAACACTCGTCCGAAGCAGTCTTCTGTTGCTCAGCAACCCAGCTCTCCGCTTCCTCGCACTTCTGGTATAGACTATGCATCGCAAGTGACTCTGCCAACAGCTTGCTGCGCTCCTCGTGTTGTGCCTTCAATTCACTCCAACTGAAGGGATGCACGGACAATTGTGCAACAGAATACGAATGATTGCATTTCAAAGTACACAAGATCACTCTCGGCAGCCAGATATTATTTCAAAACTGTGCAGAACAGGAACAGGTATGCTCTTCCGGCGATCAATACCAGTACACGTAAAGGGGCACGCCCACATGTTACAATGGACTGGCTTATGGAAAGTGTACTGGCGTTTCGTTGTATTTATTGCTCTTGAAACTCCTACCTTCATATTATGTGCAAGAAAAACGATAATTATGAGTAGATGCAGGAGTAGATGCAGGAGGTGGTATCCAAGAATGGATGCTTTATGTAAGAGGCACACAGTCTCACTCCTTCTCCTCTCAACCTCACCCCCCCCCCCTTCTCCTACAAACAACTCTCCTCCCAGAAACCAGGTGGATCTGATTCAGAAAAATCAATGAAGAACAATGTCACCAAGATTCTCAAATTAGCCTTACGCTTTGTTGAGTGCATCTTGATCCTTCTGAATAATGTCAGATGCGTAATGACCATCTGATGTGAGTTTGCTTGCGGTGCTAGCCAGCGTGGTGATCTTCTCCTCCTGTAAATGCAAAGATATTCTCTTAGAAATTGAACATTCGGGAGAGGTCTCCTCGATCTTCCTGCTTCGAAGGAAGCACTAAAGTGGGCACTTTTGAGCACTTCTCTTTATAAGAACGTGTCATTTTAGAGTCTCCATTGCCCACTAAAGCTCCTGCCGAGCGGGGCCAACATCACCTATTGTGTCGCAACACTGCTACTTCAATATCTCCAGTATGCATTCACACAGTGCTGATTTCACACAAAGTGAGTTCAGGCTTATGGCCAGGCTCACAGTTATAAAATCACCAGCTTATGCCAGGTGCAGTGTTACAGAACCCAGGACCAATGAATGTTTGACAGAAGCAACGAATCAGGCAGAGGTACTCATTTAAGCCTCACTCGTGTAACTATTGAATGCTTTGAAACAAAGCAGAGACACTACTTGTATGAACCTCTTGTGTTGCTATGAAATACAAGACTGTCCTACCTGGGGAACAAGGGACTTGCCAAAGTCCTCTGCAGCCTTGATGAGGACTTCAGCTCCATCGATGCTCTCTCCCAGACTTTCCTTGGACATCCAGGACTTCTTCTGCGAAATCCACTGAGTGGCGAGGCCAACATCCCGTTGGTACATCTAACAACAAACGTATAAGCATTGCTTGGAGGTGATACCAACTGCAGAGTCTAGTGTTCTATTGACGAGTTTGGATCTGTTTCTGAAAATCCAATTGCAAATATGTACTGTGATGAGCATAGGCAAAAAACTGTGGTGGGGCCAACACAATGAAGCATTCCTTGAACAAATGAAAGGCAAGTTTACAGTACCTGCAGCTGAAGGGACTGGTCCAGTAATGATTTCCTCTTCTTCCATTCCCTGTACGATATGAGAGAACAGGGGAGAAACACAACGACAATCTGCACATGAGGCACATGACATCAGACATACTGCAGCTGTAACCACAGTGCCAAGACCACACTTTGAAGCCTGATCTTGGCACTGTGGTTACAGCATTGACTTGAAAAGCATCACAAGGACCTTCAACCAAATAACATATTTTTTAGCATAATGAAGCTGCTATTAATTGGTTCAAAACAGAAAATTCCACCTCTTTTCAAATAAAATTAGGATAGTGCTGATAATTGCGACTTACTCATTGACAGCTGCCCATTCTTTCCGAAGGTCACTGAGCTTGGCTTCAATGCTTTCCTTTTCGTAGTGATCAGCGTCCAGAAGCTTCTGGCCGTATTCAAGCACCTGATCCACGGACGCCTGGTGCGAGTCTATGTCACCACGATGCGCCTAACACGACAAGAACCCGGCAGCAGAGCAATGCAGACGTTATAGTGAAACTCACTTAGTGCTCAATGTGATAAGACATACGGTGTTTCCCAGAATATACGTCGATGTCTCGTGCTACAGCAGATGATACCATCTACACGTATTCCGTTCAGCATAATTCATGCACAACAATGAATGGTATTTCAAACATAATTATGGAAAGATACTGGTGCTGGCACTGGGACTGACCGGTGAAACAAATCACGCAACTCTTGCAGCAAACAAGAATGTCCATGAGAACAACTTTACTAAGTAAAATTTCACCAAACTTTCTTGTGATTGTTACAAGTTAATTTTCAAGTACCTGGTGTGTTTCAAGTAGCGTCTCGACCTCCTCCACGGAATCACCGAGCTCTTCAGAAGTCACAAGTGGCATGGTCTCTCCCAGCCATATGGTGCTATCCCTGTGACAAGTACAGTATAAACAGATGATGAGAATGAATACACAAGATAGAATGGACTCGGATGGAGAGCCAAGAATACATTTATAGAAAAGAAAAAGGACCAAGGAACTACAAGTTACGCTATAATGTCCACTAACACCACCAGTATCGCAGTTATCGCATGAGCTGATTGTTTAGTAATTGGTGGTGTTAGTGGACATTATAGCGTAACTTGTAGTTCCTTGGTCCTTTTTCTTTACACAAGATAGACCTTTCATGTAGCTAAGATCGTCACTCAAGGTACTAGGCAGTCAACAGTTCAAGAAAACTACGTATTTCTAATTGGTGGGGATCTGTGCTAGGTCCAATCTACCATACTGTTTTCATGTACCCCTTCTGCAATGCTGTACTACATTAAATTTTAGTCTATGGTGGTGAATGTGTGCTGGATTGTTGAGGTTGCTATGGTCACTGAGCCTGGTAGGTGCACTCTGGTCTATGTGTTACAGTTTCTTTCTCACTGTAAATCGTGGAGCCCGTCATCTCTTTCCCTCATTGTTGGCCTCGATAGCAAACACTGAAGCATGTGCAACACAATGTAATTGGATGGACTTTAATCTTCTGAAAGGCTCATTTTAAGGGCTACAAATGTCTCGCCAATTCTTAACTTACAAGTTCATCATCAAGAATCGCTGATATTGCTCGGAGGCACTGAGCTTCTTTCCACGGCGATTTGCCTGATAAGAATACAGCAACAACACATGAAATTCGTCATTTTTACTGCATGCCATCAGCATACACCTAGAATGGCTGATGGACAGTGAAAAAATGGTATGAATATCACTGGATCTTTATAGCACAGATAACAGCCATTTTCCTCACCACCACGAAGCAAATAGAACACTGTGGAGAAAACCGCCATCTGACTGGCTAATGTTTTCCGTTAAAAATATCTGCTGCTAACTCATCTCTTGTACAGATATCGGGTCCAGTATGACTAATGTTATTATATTACCAATTCTTGAAGGCCAGCTAGGGCTGATTTGACGGTGTCATTTTTCTCCTTCACATCCTCCAGGTAGTCCGGGTAGGCCCCCATGAGACGATTGGCTTCTGTGTCGATGGATTGAACCTAAAGCAGGGGAAGCATTCATTCACCCTCATTCCATGTTGACTTTTCCATACGTTAGCAGTGAATGGGGGTCTGTTCGGACCCCAGGCATTTTTTGCTGGGTAATTATGCATTCACTCCATTCTGTGATGATTCATCGTGTAAAAAAATGAACAAAGGTTTACAAGTTATCCGTTGTTTGTGTCCAACACTAACGATTACAAGCAGGATAATGGTGAGTCAAAATGTGCAACAATTAGCACAAAACTGACTGATGTGATACTGACATTCAACGACCTGATGCTTAGCTCCATCACGTCTAGAATGCGCAGACCAACGCAAATGATCAAACATTCTGACTCACCGGCATCTTGCCTATATTTGTTAGTGTTGGACACAAACAACGGATAACTTGCAAACCTTTGGTCCTTCTCTTTTCACTTTAATCCTTTGGCTCTCAATCCAAGTACTATCCATCATGTAACCAATGAAATTGAAGATGCAAGCACCCTGGAGGAGGAATGCCACCCATATGTGCTGAATACATGCACAGCAAATGACATGGTGTACTGGCTAGAATGAACATTAAGAATGAATGGAAGAATCCAATCGTGCTCCAGGCGAGGATACCCGGAGGATTTGAGATGTTCTGTGATGAAAACCCCTCTTCTTCGTCGAACGCTACCAGTATGGAGGGACCGCATGTGGCATGGATCCAATTACTGTGGTCAGACGGAAGGCAAGCCTGTAAAAACCTTGTACGGGACCTATTATTGTGATTTCTCACCTTCTCCTCGATTGGTCCCAGGTCACTGAGGACAGTTTCATGATTGCGCAGCATTGCCTCAGAATCTGACAGGGTGCCTGCAAGATCTTCGGCGGAGAGTACCAAACCCTTCTCAGCCATCCAGGCTATCAGTTCATTGGCATTTCTGCATTGGGAAACGCACAGGTACAGAATGATCGTTTGCTTTCAACGTGGATGGCAACAGTCAGCTCTAACACTCCTAAATCAAAGGTCAATTTACTTCAGTTGTACTAAGTATCATGTACACCCAAAAACTTGAGAAGAAAATTAGCAACACAACATAGGAACATGTGGCTTGGGATATCCCCAACCCAGATAGATCATTAAAGAGGGTACCAGTACAGTGTAACATATTTGCATCCTTTCTTTACTAGACAGGAGCTAGCTTAGGATTGGATGAATCTGCAAAAAGAAATGCCACACGATATAATTGGCAACAAAACACCCTCTTTGTCATTCATATCTTCACCCTGATGGTGGACCAAACCCGAATATGTAGTGGATTGTAAAGTGATTCGCAAGAAAGAGTCCATTATTGGGGCTGGAGAAGTGAAGGGTTATACAACAAAATACTCCTCTGATCAAACTGATCTTACTTGTTGAACGTGTGGACTTCGATTGCCTCGCCCATCAGCTTTGTACGATTGTCCATGGAATCGAGTAGTATCTTCCAAGATTTGTCCAAGTCCTATTGACAACATGCAGTTCAAAACCAAGCGGTGAAACACACACACAATGTGATTTGGGGCTCGAAAAGACAGAAGACAGAAAACTGTCAAATTTCAGCATTTCAGTGCATGGTGCATAACTAATAATTATAACTGCAGTGACCTTTAGTTGCTTGGAAATCAAAGAGTGCAGGCTATTCACAGCCGTTCACCAAATACTCCAGATGCATTTCAAATTTACATTTCCTGTCAAACGGAACAAGCAGGAGTGTGTGAATCATGATGCACACGATGCACGCAAATGCTCTTCAGTGTGGCTACCCCACCGGCAGTAGCATTGCCACATACCACAGCACGCTGCTTGATCGCGTCCTTCTGCGAGTGCCCATTATCTTCAAGCCTTGCACACTCTGACCAGACGTCGTCCACCTTGTTCTGCCGGGCAGCAACTTCAGCGGAGAAGGAGTCGTGGTCCTTTTTCAGCTCTTCAGCACTTTCCAAATCTCTTCCAAAGCTCAATGACGTAGCATGGGGTGTCTGTATGCACAGAAAAGATGTATTCATCGGTTTATGGGAATGAAATTCGGCCATCGATTGGGTTTTGATTCTTTTGAAGCTAGAAACAAGGAACAGTATGAAATGCTAGTAACTGTTTCAAAGGGTCGCAACATCATGAAAGCGTTATCTCACACCCGGTCTCTACAGTGATGTACATATACATGTACATGTCACTCATATGTAGTGAAGGCTGTTCAGCCACCAGGGCTCCACGGGACAGTCCCACTTTGGACTAACGCATTTTGCTTATACTTGTCGAAAGTTGGAATTGTCTTCTCATACAGAATGCATAGGGCGTCCTACTGCCGCCATGGTAATTGGGTTGTACGTACAGCATGGCTGCAACACCCAGGAGATACCGTATTCCTCCCGAAAATAAGTCGCAACTTTTTACACCTAACTTCAGGGCCAACACAGGGGGTGCAACTTACAATTAAGCATGACTTACTACAGAAGTAAATATATTGAAACGACATGACATGAACCTGGAAATGGGGACTTACAATCGAGTGCGACTTGCAAACGGGGGAAAACGGTAGATACAGTAAAACCGGTGTTTGACAGACTGCTTACCAAGCGGGATCCTGTATTGACCAGACAATATTTCATGCACCAATGTGCTGTGAATCGAACATGCATCCCTGGATCCATCGGAGTCCTGTCATATCAGAGCGGTTTTCCGCTGCACCAAGGGCGTCCGGTTAGGGCATCTTTTACTCTATACTGTAAAACATGTAATTTTCGTTGTAAAAAAAGTATTTATTTATTTATTTATTTTTTACAATGATCACAGCTCACAGGCAAAGACAAAAAATTGCATAGTGGGAGCATAGTGATGGTGAGGCTTTTTGCCCTCAGCCGACCTGAGGTCTCGACGTCATGGGGACATAAAACGCACCAAAAAAAAGAAGAAAAATGAAAGGAGTGACAGGTACATGATACGAAATGTTAGGAGGAGAGACAGTACATTATATTGTGTTCCCAGTGACTGTATCCTGATATCACTGCACATACCTTCTCGATTATCCAATCCTCTTCTTCCTTGACCATATTCATGAACTTGTGTTTCTGACGGGCCTCGCCTAGCTTCTCCAAGTACGCTTGCCTGTATCATTGGGAGCAGCGAATGATCAATGTGATGTGAAAACCTGGCCAGTGAAGCTTTATGAACCAAATCAGGATAACAATTTTCAACAGTAGTCACTGGCACTGGCACAAGGTGTATTTATGGCCAGCAATCGAGGACATCTGAGAGTGGTAATTTTTGTACTTCTCCGAGGTGTGATTTTTGGCCTGCTGGGCCAAGCACAAGGAAGCCTTCTGCCAAAAAACCTGAAGAAAATGGTTGTTGTTTGATCCTTTGGTGTAATCTTTGTAGCTCAGTATTGTTTCTCAAGATGAGTTACATGTTCCTCTAGCTCTGCTAGATACCTATAGGCTATAGCAGTGATCTTGGGATCTGTGGGCAGATGTGCATGGGCTTCATCATGCAACAGAAGCATGTCATGGATGTGGCTTCAATACAGCCGCATGAAAAATGGTGGCCAATGCATAGGAGTATATTCCATGCCCAAATGGTAGGATTCCATGGCCAATGCGAGTCCTCTGAAGGAGAGGGCAATCCACACCCAATTCTCAGTAGTCTCACTCTATGTCGGATATTCCAGGACTTACTGCTCAAGAAGTCCAGCCACAAGGTTCTGGTTGAGCACAATATGCGGGCCATCAGGTTGGTTTCCACTATCCACAGAGTCCTGGTGCACCTGACAATGAAAAGCAAGGGGACGAGCAATATATAATCCATGGGTAAGGTGAACAATACCGGCAGGCTGTTGTACAACGGTAATGAAGTTCATTAGCAGCGACCATTGCACAGTGTGCATGCCCGGTTAAGCCGCGGTTTTTTTATTGATCGACCTACGGTGAACAGAAATCTGATGTCTATGGACAGGTGGTCTTTCTGAACAGGTCGGTGGAGGGACATTTTCGGTAAACACATTTTCCAGGAAAGTGCATTAGTACTAGGACCGACATTTTCGTTGCGTTTTATTTTCGGGAAAAATTTCGGCACCGAAGTTACCGAAAATATAACACCACCGAGAATTTCTGCTTTTATGGTAGTCCATCTACTGAAGTACACAGGTCTCATTGCACGTATGGTACATGATCAGCTGCCTGAGTCGTCTGATTTCTAAATATAATATGTATAGGTAACTTAGTCTAGTGTTGCAGGGGCCGCTTTTCATAGGTTCAGCTGTACACAAACATCCAAACCTAAATATTAATGAAAGAATTACCAGGCACAATTTCCGCTTTTCTTCAAGCTTCTCCATGGTGGCTTCAAATGTCTTCAGGTCGGCCAGGAGGGCATCATGCTTCTTTTGGAGAAGCTGTAGTACAACATAGTGACAGAAGAAAAAACAACTACTCCTGAACACTGTTGGGCTGTGAAAATCCATCCAGAGAATCCATCACTGGTTGCATGCACTTAGGTATGTCAAACACTGGGTATCTCTTTGCCAGTGCATGCCTCTGATGAAAAGGTTTTCCGACGTTATAAGAAATTTCCATCCAGTTCATTGCATTACACTCACTACTTACAAGTAGAGGGAATCACGGTTGGAAAAAAGAAAAAGAAAACAAAAACGAAAAGGTGATAGAAAAAGAAAGCCTGGAGAACCCGGGTATCGATCCCGGTACCTCTCGCATGCTAAGCGAGCGCTCTACCATGTGAGCTAGTCCCCCTGCACACAGAAGTGTGCACTTTTCAGTTTATTCATTTTTCTATTCAATCTTCATTAGACTCTAGCATGTCATTGTTTACATGATCAGGTGTGTGAAGGAATCTATAAATACTCCTCACTACTCCTGCATACCTGAGTTGCCTCTTCATCATTCCCAAGATCATCCGAGGCAATAAGGCGCTTCTTCTCATCAAGCCAGAGCCGGGCTTCGGCCATATCTGCAGCATACTGTTGCTCTTTCAAGGATTCATCCAAGTCGAGTTGACGTTCATTGAATGCTTCCTGAAAGGCAGATGGAAGAGTTAACTGTCAACACTTTGGGAGAATATTATCTACTACAGGTTAGATTCCTGTTTAATTGGACCTGAATACAAGTAAAAACACAACTAACCAGCCATGCAACAGATACATAAAAGACCAAGAATTAAAAAACAGAGAGGCTCCAGGCCCTGAGGAATGACATCAAAATACCGAAGAATGACATCACCCAACATAACAAAAGACAGGATAGACGACACCAGGATACCAGTATTCTAGCATACTTCTTACCTGAAGCTTTTCCAAGTCCGAAGACAGGTCCTTGCAAGTGCTCTCTATGCTTTCACCAGCATAATGTCCTGCAGGGGCCATCCAAGCATGCACATATCAAGTCATTTAAATGCACAGTACGCATCGAAAATGACCAATACATTCCAAGATTTGAGTGGTGATCAGAAATCTCAATGTCAAGAACTACATGGCTATTGACTACACACCCCGTTCTTTGCGAGAGAAGTGTCATTACCTGCAGAAAGGCCTCACCTTGTTCCTGAAGTTCCTTGCCTCGTTCCTGCAGGACCTCTACTCTCTTTGCTGATGTTACGACGTCGGCTTGAATGCCCTGATGGCCGCGCAGAAGATCCTGTACTTCAGCCACACTGTTGCCACGGTCTTCAGAGAGCACCACTGCATTAATGCCGCTCTTCTCGTCAGAAACATCGCGCAGGAACTGCTGCAAAGCCTTGGAGTCGCTCAGAGATTTTTGCCGTACTGCAAGAGGTTCCTAGCAGGGACACAAGCACATCAATATTAGGCTGCTGGGCACGACTCTTCCGCCCAATTGGCAACTATCCATCAACAGCGCACAACTCAGTTGATCTGGCTCAGGACTTCGGTCATGGTAAGTAAACATTACAAAATAGCTGAGGCACCCTCCGTTTTTTGAAGAATTTGCAACCTACTGTAAGTGCTGAGTATTCCTCGGCGGCCTGGCCTGCTCTCTCCTTGATAGCCGGGCTGGCAAAATGGTTAGCATCCTGGAGCTCTTGCGACTGTTGTTGAATGTACGATAACCTTTCCTGTGCATAGCAAAAGATAGAAAGAGGGATCAGCGGGCATGATAGTGTGGTTTAACTGGTCACAGCATTCATAATACACCATGGTATGTAAATACAGCATACCACAAGCAGACTATACACCCTGATGAGATGTGCACTTGCTTTGTTTCCCCATATTGATGAGTATCGGGTGAAAAGGTACCTTCAAACATAAAATTGCACTTCTGGGTGACTTTTTCACAGTTTCACCAAATTCAACGCCGTTTCATCTTAACTGATTGCCATTACTATCCATTATTGATGCCTTCCACAGATGTTTGATGCCGTGCGGGGGCGGCATAGTAATGTGAACATATGTGTTCTTCACTGATTGCCTTCGCACTGTCCTCAGCCTGGGTTGTGCAATGAATGTACCAAGAATATTTTTTTACAAACCTACCTCATGAGCCTTGACATCTGATTCAAGCATCTCGTGCTTCTTTAGAAGGTTGAGCACTGCCGGAACATCCTGCACAGACACATACCAGGCAAAGTGCAGCAAGATTCAAGAACATACATAAGTAATCACCGAGCAATGGCATACATGTACATTTCTTCAATTCTCCCTGAATTCATTGCTGCGTCTTCTCCACACATCCAGCTTGCTCATGCCAGCCCTCTCTGCTCAAATCCTTCGAGATGGACGTGTTTTCAACTACAGTACATGTATACATAAGTGCAACCAATTCTAACCAAAAAAAGGAGAAGAAAAAAAGAAAGCCTGGAGAACCCGGGTATCGATCCCGGTACCTCTCGCATGCTAAGCGAGCGCTCTACCATGTGAGCTAGTCCCCCTGCACACTCAAAGAGATGCTTCGCCTAGGTTATCTCTGATATCGTCCTGTCCGTTGTCTAGAAAACTGGGAAAAAAGAAAGCCTGGAGAACTCGGGTACTTGTACTCCTTATGCCCGAATTTATGGTAAGGCATACCCAAAAGAGACATAACATTGGGAATTTCTCATCAAGCCACAAGAGGCAACCCGGACCAGATTGATTTTTCTAGAATCCTTTGCTTGTTAGATTTGAGGGGTTTATCAGCAAGCACTGACCTTGCCGAGATCCTCTGAACCCAGCTGTGTCTTGACATCGGTAATCCAGTGGCTGAAGTCATCCACTTGACGGTTGAATGTCTGCTGCTGATTGGCTTCGACTAGTTTTTGCTCTGCCATTGAAGAGGACAACGAGGGTAATTTTTGAATATAGTTTGACTCGTCATAGAGAGCTTTGAGCAAAAAGAATTGAAATTGAAGTTCTATCTGATAATGACGAGCACAGGGTGCGTCACATGAGAGTCGAGAATAGGTTGGACTGTCTCACTGCTTCATGGTTTCTGTAAGATGATAACTGATGCGGGCTATTTTAAGTCCATTGAATGTTCATGGTAACTTAATCTCTTCTTCAAAGCATATTTCCAGGACCATAGATATGCCAAGATGAAAGTCCTCGGGAAAGTGTATTTCCGGCACGCATACGTCATTCACACACACTCTACGCATTGCTGTAAGTAGCAAAATAATGCATGTTGCCAACGGTGCTTACGTTTCTCTGCCGATGCATCCTGCAAAAGAGCCCACTGCTTCTCCAGCTCCTCGATTCTCTCTCTAAGTAGGCAAACAAAAGAGCAATGGTTCCTGTTTGGATCAGATATGAAAAGAGAGAAAGCCGGAGCTCCACAAGGGTCGGGGCTTCGGAGGGAGGGCTTCGGAGAAGAAGGAGGAAGCGGAGGGATATTGATTCGCTGCATCAAAACTCAGTTAGAAAGTGGATCGGAATGAACAAAACAATGCTAATGCAATGGGTAAACCAGCCTTGTGATTTAAAAATGGTTACAGCACCTTACTTGATTTGCTCAGCAGCGTAGTGCTCAGCACTAATCAGGCTCTGGCCGTAGCTCTTCACTTTGTCGATACGCTCATTATTTGCTTCAATTTCGGCTTTGAACGCTTCATGTTTCTTCAGCTTGCTTTGCAGATTGACAGGATTCTGAAGAACAGCAAAATTATTATCGAGGACTAAAATCAGCTTTTCTACATGGTGAATTGACAGGAACATCCTCCAAGGGAAAAAGAGGATCACAAGCTTTGAGGGATTTGGACACGGTACATATCTCAAGACACAATTGTCAGCAATCATCAAATTACGCCAAACAGGGTGCAGCAGGCAAACCCCTACGCCGGAGAGTTAATCTGATGTTGAAAGATGATGTCAACATCATACCCAAACTGTGGCTCCGACTAAGCAATAACCATGTCACATGGCTCTGAGCAGTAATTGTGATGTCACATGGCTCTGAGCACTGTGAGCAGTACCGATGATGCCACATGACTTGTCACGTGACTCTCAGCAGTATCCATGGTAACACATACCTTGTAAGAGTCATCGTTGGCCACCTTCACCATGTCAGAAATCCAGCTGAGCAGCTCGCGTGTATCGCGTAAGAACTGCTGCAGTTTCTGTGAATCCTCCAATGCTGTTCGCCTCTTGTCGGCTGTTTCCAGGATTGTCTTTCGTCGCTCTTGGAGCTGTTCAAAAAGGACAGATTAATTGGCAAACATGATGTACATGATATTCATAACGTACCTGGCCATGGATATCTCGATAATACCGTGCAATACACTGACCTTCTTTTTGTACTGTGCCGGTGGTATGCCGTGAATCTGCTCTGCACACATGTGTTCAGCACTGTTCGCTCAGCACTCTCCCCCATGTAGGTATAAAGTTAGTTTGGAATGTTACTGTCTGCTTACTCCCAGTCCTGATGCATGTGTTGTATCTTGTATTAATTCATACTGCTCCCAGCCCCGTGCCATCTCACACTCAGATAATTGACACTATGCCTATATGGGGACAAGAAAGTTATTTTACGAGTAGGCAACGGAAACACAACTGGACATGACTCAAGAGGAACACTCCTTTCCACACAACAGCAACACGCGTGCGCATACACCAACAACACGTTCACATGCCGTACACAATATAACGTACTTCCTCCGCGTCATCGAAATTGTCGCAGTTTGACTAGTGACTTGTCACTTGTTACTGACAACTCCATAAGCTAAGCCATTCAAAACTTATTACACAGTATGATAGTCTGAAGACTAGAGTAACGTTCCAGGACAGTTGGACTGAGAGTTTTCATGCAGAGATGAAGTCTTCGTCGTCGCTGATGTCTATGGACGCAAAAATATCGTTCCGAAATATTTCAAGGAAGGTTGAAAGTTGGTCGCGCCTCATCTCAAACGCTTTGACTTTCTCCACAGGACAAGAGCTGCTATGCTTGTCGTCTGCTAGCTCTGGATGATTTCTACTTCACCACCAACGAAGCCTAGTAAGAATACACGATCGTTGCGAGGTCGGTTGATTACCGTCGCCGGAATCACCTCGATCTTGAAATGAACTTTTTTTAGCCGTGGCATGCCCATTTATTTTAGCTGTTTGGTCACAGCTCAGGTAAGTGTACTATCGCGTCCAGCGGGCCCTGTTTTTCAGCATCACTGGTATACCATGGCACGGCACCTGCGCGTGCATCACTAGCACTACGTGTAGAGTCTACACGGCTCTTGCAGGTACAATCATGTTCTGAGTGTCTCAGCCAGAGCAAAAAATTTTATCGCTGTTGCAGGCATTTAGTTTGCTGACCCCTCAATGTTTCTCCAAGCGCTGCCACTTGTTCCACGAAGTCATTCTCTCCCCAGCTAAGGTAAAACAGTGATGAGGCTTGAGTGAATGGCCATAAGCACGAGAAATGTGCAGGCTGCAACGCCTGACTGATCTCCGCGAGTCGAAATTACCATCGCAGCGACATCAGCGAAGAAATTGCGTCTAGTTCAAAAATTCCAGCTTCCAATAACAGAAAATAGAACTTTACCGTCACCCTATACTGATGACTATCGCCTATATCCCATTCCCTGCCTCTGGTACGAGTGCTGGTGAGTAAATACCCCGTTTTATATCAAAAGTCAAACTGCGACAATTTCGATGACGCGGAGGAAGTACTACGACACATGTTAATGCAGAAGTTAAGCACTGCATTGCATCGCATATTTCTGCCACCCACCTTGGCAACTCTTTCCTGGATACTGGACGAAGCGAAGTGTTCCTTCTCCACCAGAGCTTTTCCAGTTCCTTCCAGCTTGTCCATTACGGATGCATGGCCTTCCAGTTTCTTCTCGAAATCACGATGGCTTTCCGCGAGATGGTCGACCGACTCAAGTGAGTCTCCAAGATCGTCATTAGACAGAAAGATCTGTGTGAAGCGAAATGTGTGTAAGAAAGACAAGAGAGGTATGCAAGGTGCATGCAGCAAGGTTTTCATGAAACAGGAGCATCAGAGAACATTGAGAATGTCTGACCATGTGTGAGCTCTTTCCCCACAAAGGAAGTAAAGAAAGAGAAAACTTGGTGACGATAAAATACAGGAACACGCCAGTGGCAGCTAGCAACTCTCACCTCTTGCCGGTTCATCCAGTGATGCATTTGCTCGTCATCACGATAAAAAGTCTGCAAGTCCATGTTGTCGGAGAAGTCCTTCTGGCGACTGCTCCACAGCTCAAGAAGTGACTTCTTCGTCTCGGCAAGGGAAGCCATCTGCATGAATAATACCAAGAGTACATGATTTAATACGGATGGCGTAACTCCTCTTTAGCCTTGTCATGATCTTAATTTCCACCGCCCACAGCCGCACAGAGTCCTTGGCTACACAAAATGAAAATCTCTCCAAATCTCTCCAAAACAAACTTCAAATTCTTTTCCAAATTTTCGCCGAAGAGGGCATCTTCCTGGATAACGTTATGTGACTCTACATGATGGTAGTAAATATGGTACAGTCAGACCTCGCTAAGCCGCACACATCCGTTTTCCACAAAGTATCCGGATAGGCGAGGGAACCGGATAACCGAACACACATACTGTATGCATGCATGACATATGCTGTAAATCGGTAACCAACGATTTTCTTCATTGTGGTGAGGGATCCGGATAAAAGAGGACCGGATAAGCGAGGTCTGACTGTATATACAACCCATACAGTGATGAATCCTTGGCCATAATTATATATGTTCCATACGGCCAACAGAAATCCTCTAAGCCAATTTAGCTGAGTGCTGAATAGGGAAACAGATGGATATCCATGACTGGCAAGGTCATGTCGGGGGATTAGATGCCCCAAATCCACTGATAATCTCACCTTCTCTTGCACTCTGTCCGAAGCAAAGTGCTTAGCATCAACCATCTTCTGCCCTGCTGTGTCTAGGTCCGAGAAAGCTTTGTCCCGAGCAGATACTTCATCCTGTGGGAAAGGAGGATACAAGCAAATGCATTCAGGGGTGATAAGTATGTCAACGGCAAACTGCCAGTGGATGAATTACTTCTGTGTGCACAATCCACCACAAATTTGGAGACAGACACTGTAGTTATTGTGCAGGGGGACTAGCTCACATGGTAGAGCGCTCGCTTAGCATGCGAGAGGTACCGGGATCGATACCCGGGTTCTCCAGGCGTTCTTTTTTTTATTTTCGCATTTTTTGTTGACATGGATAGGAAGAAATCAGAGGTACGAAATTGCAACACCTGTCCAAATAGGCAGGGGGACTAGCTCACATGGTAGAGCGCTCGCTTAGCATGCGAGAGGTACCGGGATCGATACCCGGGTTCTCCAGGCGTTCTTTTTTTATTTTCATATTTTTTGTTAACATGGATAGGAAGAAATCAGAGGTAAGAAATCGCAACACCTGTCCAAATAGGCAGGGGGACTAGCTCACATGGTAGAGCGCTCGCTTAGCATGCGAGAGGTACCGGGATCGATACCCGGGTTCTCCAGGCGTTCTTTTTTTATTTTCATATTTTTTGTTGACATGGATAGGAAGAGAGCAGAGGTAAGAAATCGCAACACCTGTCCAAATAGGCAGGGGGACTAGCTCACATGGTAGAGCGCTCGCTTAGCATGCGAGAGGTACCGGGATCGATACCCGGGTTCTCCAGGCGTTCTTTTTTTATTTTCATATTTTTTGTTGACATGGATAGGAAGAGAGCAGAGGTAAGAAATCGGAACACCTGTCCAAATAGGCAGGGGGACTAGCTCACATGGTAGAGCGCTCGCTTAGCATGCGAGAGGTACCGGGATCGATACCCGGGTTCTCCAGGCGTTCTTTTTTTATTTTCATATTTTTTGTTGACATGGATAGGAAGAAATCAGAGGTAAGAAATCGGAACACCTGTCCAACAAGGCAGGGGGACTAGCTCACATGGTAGAGCGCTCGCTTAGGCCTCGGTCACACTACGGCAGTTTGAAGCTGGACGCAGCGTCAAGCCGCAGCACTTGACGGAGACGCGGGGTCACACAGTGTTTTGTTTTTTTTTGCAGCTCATGACTGCCGCGGCTTGACGCATTTGTCTACGTCACAAAACCACCAGGAAAACTCAATGACGACACGGATTCCCACGGAAACCGGCCTTTTGCTTATTATACAAAAAAATTGTCGGACAAAGTTTTCGAATTTTTCATTGATTTTTGATTACAAGAAGACGAAAGGTAGGTCCACGCGTGCACGATCGTTGTTGTTTCTTTCCGAATTTGAAGCCATTTTCAGTTGTAGTGTCATTGATCAGGCAAGAAAAGTCCGCATCGCAGCTGTGTTTCTCCTGACTTCGTCATACTGGTTGTCCTTTTTGTGGCTCTTGACGACAACACAACACTCACAAGTCGACAGGCTCCAGTTGGCCGATGACCCACTCAAACAACTGGTCCTTTCTCGACATCATTTTCTTCTCAGAAAACGCCTCGCTCTTCCGCCAGGTTCGGAGCAGAGCAGCCGCGGCCTCGTAGGTCCACGGACTCATCTCGAACAAAAAGAGGGAACAAAACAAACCTTGAACAGACGAATGTCGAATAACTGCTAAACTCAAGCAAAGTGTCTTGAAACTAATTTTACTTGAAAGACACTGTTTTTCCGCCAAGCTTCACTCCCATCAGCGGCAACGCAGCCGATTTCCCCACGTCAGACGCAGCAGCGTCTGACGCTCAAATTTCCCGCGTTGCGTCAGTTGCCATGGAAAAGCTCATGATTCTGACGCTGACGCAGCATTTTTGCCGTAGTGTGACCGAGGCCTTAGCATGCGAGAGGTACCGGGATCGATACCCGGGTTCTCCAGGCATTCTTTTTTTATTTTCGCATTTTTTGTTGACATGGATAGGAAGAAATCAGAGGTACGAAATTGCAACACCTGTCCAAATAGGCAGGGGGACTAGCTCACATGGTAGAGCGCTCGCTTAGCATGCGAGAGGTACCGGGATCGATACCCGGGTTCTCCAGGCGTTCTTTTTTTATTTCATATTTTTTGTTGACATGGATAGGAAGAAATCAGAGGTAAGAAATCGCAACACCTATCCAAATAGGCAGGGGGACTAGCTCACATGGTAGAGCGCTCGCTTAGCATGCGAGAGGTACCGGGATCGATACCCGGGTTCTCCAGGCGTTCTTTTTTTATTTTCATACTTTTTGTTGACATGGATAGGAAGAGAGCAGAGGTAAGAAATCGGAACACCTGTCCAAATAGGCAGGGGGACTAGCTCACATGGTAGAGCGCTCGCTTAGCATGCGAGAGGTACCGGGATCGATACCTGGGTTCTCCAGGCGTTCTTTTTTTATTTTCATATTTTTTGTTGACATGGATAGGAAGAGAGCAGAGGTAAGAAATCGGAACACCTGTCCAAATAGGCAGGGGGACTAGCTCACATGGTAGAGCGCTCGCTTAGCATGCGAGAGGTACCGGGATCGATACCCGGGTTCTCCAGGCGTTCTTTTTTTATTTTCATATTTTTTGTTGACATGGATAGGAAGAAATCAGAGGTAAGAAATCGCAACACCTGTCCAACTAGGCAGGGGGACTAGCTCACATGGTAGAGCGCTCGCTTAGCATGCGAGAGGTACCGGGATCGATACCCGGGTTCTCCAGGCATTCTTTTTTTATTTTCGCATTTTTTGTTGACATGGATAGGAAGAAATCAGAGGTACGAAATTGCAACACCTGTCCAAATAGGCAGGGGGACTAGCTCACATGGTAGAGCGCTCGCTTAGCATGTGAGAGGTACCGGGATCGATACCCGGGTTCTCCAGGCGTTCTTTTTTATTTTCATATTTTTTATTGACATGGATAGGAAGAAATCAGAAGTAAGAAATCGCAACACCTGTCCAAATAGGCAGGGGGACTAGCTCACATGGTAGAGCGCTCGCTTAGCATGCGAGAGGTACCGGGATCGATACCCGGGTTCTCCAGGCGTTCTTTTTTTATTTTCATATTTTTTATTGACATGGATAGGAAGAAATCAGAAGTAAGAAATCGCAACACCTGTCCAAATAGGCAGGGGGACTAGCTCACATGGTAGAGCGCTCGCTTAGCATGCGAGAGGTACCGGGATCGATACCAGGGTTCTCCAGGCGTTCTTTTTTTATTTTCATATTTTTTGTTGACATGGATAGGAAGAAATCAGAGGTAAGAAATCGCAACACCTGTCCAAATAGGCAGGGGGACTAGCTCACATGGTAGAGCGCTCGCTTAGCATGCGAGAGGTACCGGGATCGATACCCGGGTTCTCCAGGCGTTCTTTTTTTATTTTCATATTTTTTGTTGACATGGATAGGAAGAAATCAGAAGTAAGAAATCGCAACACCTGTCCAAATAGGCAGGGGGACTAGCTCACATGGTAGAGCGCTCGCTTAGCATGCGAGAGGTACCGGGATCGATACCCGGGTTCTCCAGGCGTTCTTTTTTTATTTTCATATTTTTTGTTGACATGGATAGGAAGAAATCAGAGGTAAGAAATCGCAACACCTGTCCAAATAGGCAGGGGGACTAGCTCACATGGTAGAGCGCTCGCTTAGCATGCGAGAGGTACTGGGATCGATACCCGGGTTCTCCAGGCATTCTTTTTTTATTTTCGCATTTTTTGTTGACATGGATAGGAAGAAATCAGAGGTACGAAATTGCAACACCTGTCCAAATAGGCAGGGGGACTAGCTCACAAGGTAGAGCGCTCGCTTAGCATGCGAGAGGTTCCGGGATCGATACCCGGGTTCTCCAGGCGTTCTTTTTTATTTTCATATTTTTTGTTGACATGGATAGGAAGAAATCAGAGGTAAGAAATCGCAACACCTGTCCAAATAGGCAGGGGGACTAGCTCACATGGTAGAGCGCTCGCTTAGCATGCGAGAGGTACCGGGATCGATACCCGGGTTCTCCAGGCGTCCTTTTTTTATTTTCATACTTTTTGTTGACATGGATAGGAAGAAATCAGAAGTAAGAAATCGCAACACCTGTCCAAATAGGCAGGGGGACTAGCTCACATGGTAGAGCGCTCGCTTAGCATGCGAGAGGTACCGGGATTGATACCCGGGTTCTCCAGGCGTTCTTTTTTTATTTTCATATTTTTTGTTGACATGGATTGGAAGAAATCAGAGGTAAGAAATCGCAACACCTGTCCAAATAGGCAGGGGGACTAGCTCACATGGTAGAGCGCTCGCTTAGCATGCGAGAGGTACCGGGATCGATACCCGGGTTCTCCAGGCATTCTTTTTTTATTTTCGCCTTTTTTGTTGACATGGATAGGAAGAAATCAGAGGTAAGAAATTGCAACACCTGTCCAAATAGGCAGGGAGACTAGCTCACATGGTAGAGCGCTCGCTTAGCATGCGAGAGGTACCGGGATCGATACCCGGGTTCTCCAGGCGTTCTTTTATATTCATATTTTTTGTTGACATGGATAGGAAGAAATCAGAGGTAAGAAATCGCAACACCTGTCCAAATAGGCAGGGGGACTAGCTCACATGGTAGAGCGCTCGCTTAGCATGCGAGAGGTACCGGGATTGATACCCGGGTTCTCCAGGCGTTCTTTTTTTATTTTCATATTTTTTGTTGACATGGATAGGAAGAAATCAGAGGTAAGAAATCGCAACACATGTCCAAATAGGCAGGGGGACTAGCTCACATGGTAGAGCGCTCGCTTAGCATGCGAGAGGTACCGGGATCGATACCTGGGTTCTCCAGGCATTCTTTTTTTTTATTTTTGCATTTTTTGTTGACAAGGATAGGGAAATCAGAGGTACGAAATTGCAACACCTGTCCAAATAGGCAGGGGACTACCTCACATGGTAGAGCGCTCGCTTAGCATGCGAGAGGTACCGGGTTCGATACCCGGGTTCTCCAGGTATTCCTTTTTTTCCGTATCTCTGCAATGGTGTCTCCCAAAACATTCTTCCTGTTTAGGCCAAGTAAAAAAAGAAAGATGGTTTATCGTCCGCGCCTGCCCCGAAATTTTACCGTCCCGGCCAAATTATTTTATTTTTTAGTACTGGTAAGTGCACTGTATGTCCTGCCTTCTACGGCCTCTAATCAGCATGGCCTAGATTTTCGAAGGTCAAGTCCACAGACTGAACCATAACTTAATCGCCATGGCCCTAGTATGGGCTTGAAAAGTGAAACTGATAATCAGCTGCCTGATTTCTTCATTTTTCTACATTGGTTGTTGCACCTTTCCTTATTAGAATCATCAAAATTGTGTCTTGCAAGATGTCATTCATGGCTGACGATTCATCTGCATCCCATGGATTTATCTCACTCTGCGCCAAAATGGCTTCAAAAAAATACATCAACAAAAAAACGAAGAAAAAGTCATGTCTGAGGTTGCGAACACCTACCCGATACCCCACAGCCATACATGTACTGGGTACATGCATAATAAAAAATAAAATAAAAACCCTCCCATCCGCCCCGATTTCTCGGGAAAAGCTGATGATAAACAATCAATATAGTTTACATGGCCTTACATATTTAATGTGTACCACTTCAACAAAGAATTCCTTATCACAGTGCACAAACAATTTACACCCAACATACCTTTCTTTTGCCATGTCTCTTGAGCACAGTATCAGCTGTTGCGACATCATCACCAAGCTTTTCCGAAGACATGAGAGTCTTGACATCATTGCACCAGGATTCCACATCACTGAAACACACCACAGCGAAATCACACACACACACACACAGCAAAATGTAGTATCAAGTGGGGCCATGGTGCAAAGTGTATGGGCACAGCTACAGTAGTACCTCTCTGAAATCAAACTGAAGACTGCCTTTTAGCACTCTTCGACGTTCCGAATGGCGCAGTATGTGGTTAAATCTCGCACAACCAGCTGTAATCCACTCCAGTCTCATCACTGAATTGAACCATAGTCTCAGGGCAATTTCTTTATGCAAGTACTGTTACTCACCGAACACTGCTGAGGAACAACTGAAGTTCCAGTGAGTCATCCAGCTTAGCCTGCCGTGCATTAGCCTGCACAAATCAAACAATTATGATGCCAAGAGTGATGGTCATAATGAGCCCAATAATGCGTTACTCACGAGAGATGCTGCTGTGCCTGGGAAATCCCCCTCGGTAACAGAGTGGGGTGGCCCGCGACTACAATACATCTGCCAATGTGCAACATCGACGACTACTCTTCTTTCGAGTTGTACTTGTAGCACTGGTTTGACGCATTCACACCATTGGTGTAACAGAAACAACACACTGCTACGACCCCAGATGCACTGATAGAGCTCTACCAACTCTACCCAAACTAACCCTATAACAGCAGACCATACACATTGAGCTGCTGGCCAGCTAGGGATATCCTGATACAGGCGCGAGTGTCTAGGGATTCTGATTTTGTTGACAAGTTCATCACCAATTGCACTCATAATGAAATAGTTTTACAAGTTGCTGAATCTCTCTCATGGCCAGCAATCGAGGACATCTGAGAGTTGTAATTCTTGTACTCCTCCGAGGTGTGATTTTTGGCGTGCTGGGCCAAGCACAAGGAAGCCATCTGCAAAAAAACTGCAGAAAATGGTTGTTGTTTGATCCTTTGGTGTAATCTTTGTTTCTAGTCGAAGCTAGTTGCTGTTTGGAGCAGAAATGCGGAAATTGACTATTTTCTGCATGTACTCATACATGTACTCATGTACTCAGGCATGCAGTCTCACTCGTATTTTAGCTCTTTTTCTGGAATGGATGCTGCTCTGCGCCCCTTGGTGAACATTTCCTGCGCTCGTGGAGCAGCTGAACTGGTATGTCTGGTTCCTGGTTTGAAAGTGGAGAGTCGACTTTTGTGCCTTGAAAAAGGAGTAGAGAGCGATAAAGGTACGTCTGTGGCTTATTTTTGAGTGCTCCTCGTACATTTTTGATCGTGATAGAAATTCTCAGACCAAAGTCAGCGCGATGATGGCCGCACAGTTTTCTTGTGGATTTTTTAGTTGTTTCATCTCGTATCTATGTCAGTATCGTGATGGTGAAGTGGAGAGGGTGATTTTCTTCCTCTAGGCTTCGTTCGGCCGACTTTGCTTCATCCTCGTTGAAAAGTGATCCAGAAAAAAGGTCGATTCGCAAAATTATGTTGATTTTCAATGTACGTGATGACATGCGATTGCTGGCTATGATTAACATAGAGTGATTGCGCCAGTACTATTCCAAAGCAGTTATTCAATGCACGATCATGCTCTGCTGGTGATCGTGCTGCAAAGAAATATTGCCGTGATAAAGGTAATATCTTATGAACCACAGCATGTTGAATATTCAAAAGTGCCATCAGACAAGCTGGTACTGTGCAGTGGATAATGGAGGTAAGAAGGTTGCATGGGCTCACCTTCTCGCGTAAACTAGTCCACCCGCTGCTGACTTCCTGTTCATTCTCTGTGACCCTGGACGCCGAGTCCGGATACAGTTTCTGCAGGTCACTAGATCGACTGGCCGACTGTTTGACCTGAGTGAGATGAAACAGAAATATTACTTATGGTGAAAATAGATAGCATGTCAAATTGTCGATGTAGTCAAACACGTGTGTAGGTAATCAGACTGTCTTTCATATGTCTTCCATATATCCTGTCAAAAATCATCTCAAGCTGAACACCATATCTCAACATACTTTCCCACCTGTGTAGACCAGTTTAGTTTTCTCTGCACAATGTGATGTTCACTAAACGTAAATTGGAATCCACTTATTTTCCAACTCGAGATTCCTCTCTCCTGTCCGGAATCAGAGTTTTGAGTATGAAATGTATCCACAGAGCCGTATTTTCCCGCGGAGGGGGGGGGGGGATGCGTGTTATGTTGATTTGGTTCCATGCAATTATGTTATCAATGTGAAATCTCAACCAGTTTGGAACATTTTTTAACCTTTTCATGCAAAGCACTAAGGTCTTGCTCCAGTCCTTCGTGTGTCTTCAGCAATGCCTGCACTGCGGCAACATTATCGCCATAATCGTCAGATGACAGGATTGTGCACAGGATTGTGCTCTTCTCGTTCATCCAGCCTACGACCTCCTTCGTCTCCCTGAGAAAAGAGTATGGACACAAACGGCAAGTAGGTAAAATATTCACACACACACACACACACACACACACACACACACACACACACACACACACACACACACACACACACACACACACACACACACACACACACACACACACACACACACACACACACACACACACACACACACACACACACACACACACACACACACACACACACACACACACACACACACACACACACACACACACACACACACACACACACACACACACACACACACACACACACACACACACACACACACACACACACACACACACACACACACACACACACACACACACACACACACACACACACACACACACACACACACACACACACACACACACACACACACACACACACACACACACACACACACACACACACACACACACACACACACACACACACACACACACACACACACACACACACACACACACACACACACACACACACACACACACACACACACACACACACACACACACACACACACACACACACACACACACACACACACACACACACACACACACACACACACACACACACACACACACACACACACACACACACACACACACACACACACACACACACACACACACACACACACACACACACACACACACACACACACACACACACACACACACACACACACACACACACACACACACACACACACACACACACACACACACACACACACACACACACACACACACACACACACACACACACACACACACACACACACACACACACACACACACACACACACACACACACACACACACACACACACACACACACACACACACACACACACACACACACACACACACACACACACACACACACACACACACACACACACACACACACACACACACACACACACACACACACACACACACACACACACACACACACACACACACACACACACACACACACACACACACACACACACACACACACACACACACACACACACACACACACACACACACACACACACACACACACACACACACACACACACACACACACACACACACACACACACACACACACACACACACACACACACACACACACACACACACACACACACACACACACACACACACACACACACACACACACACACACACACACACACACACACACACACACACACACACACACACACACACACTGTAAGTGTATTCACAGTGCCCATGAGCAACAATATCGGCACATGATGTACCAGAAAGCTTTCCAGCACATGTACAAGATCCAAGGCAGCGGATTCAGTACCCATCACAAGTATCCATCTGAAGTGCCAAACCTCTAGCTACAATATCTGGTCCATACCAGAGTGCTACTGTTCCACAAGATGTTAACATCCAATTCTTCGACAGATATACTTTGATAGCAGTTGCGCACTCAATGCACAGCTCACCGGATAAACTGCTCCACATCCTTTGCAGCTGTCAACTTTGCTTGTCTCTCCTTACGCAGTTCTTGCAGTCTGTCCCATGTTGCTATCAGTTCCTGTGGATTTGTAACAAATAGCACAGGAAATGTCATGTCTTCTCATTAGTCCTGATGATATGGAGTGTTTCTGGTGGCTTTTGACTATCTAATGAAAATGCCATGACTCTTCTGTCTACAAAACATCTCCCTGGTCAGGTACCAAGAACACATGATTTGTCTGAATAGCATTCTAGAGTGCATGATCTGTTCAGGAATTTAGCCCATCTGCTCTCAGAGTTTTCAGCAAAACGCACTACATCTTTACTGGTATTCTATGGAAATAGAACTGTCCAATGTATCTTCCCCACTAATCCGCCCACCTTCTCCTTCTCGCTCATTGGTGCCGTCTTGGGATGGCTTTCTGCAGCGTGCTGACTACTAGCACTGCGAGAAGCCTGCACTTGAGCTTCATAGCTGGAGAGATCCTGCAGCACCAAGCAGAAACATTCGGAACACTTTCGAATTATTCAGGCGTGCTAAGAAGTCACGAGGACGGGGCAGTGGCAATAAGAGAAAACATCAACGCCTTATGCACATCATAAAATCTTCATGGCTCAGATTTATTACTGCATTGTGTATCATCATATACTGGTCAAACTACCTACGCCGTAGCAACTACAACAATCACGCAATGACTAGAACCAATAAGGCCCGGTATGGACATCACAACTGAATCCTTGCTATCTTTGAAGCCTTGCAAACCTTTTCAAAGTCATCCAGTTTTGCTTGCAACACATCGGCGTTGAGTAAATGGTCATCAAAGTCGGACGAGGAACTTTCGGCCGCTGCAAGAGCCATTGCAACAGATCTGTGTAGAAGAGAAAAAGAAGTATTGGTTTTCAGTTGACCTAACTCCCTCTTATGGGCAGCGAAATAGCACAGATGGCACAGAAGGACCCTCACTATGCTCTTTCTTTGCCTACGTCATTTCCCTGAAAACCAGTGTGCAGAGCTGGGCTAGTGATCAATCATATGGAACGTGTGACGGCTCGTCACCCACTCAGCCACTGTGCTGCTGCTACGTCACTTACAACTCTTGGTTTTCACGTCATCAGTCACGTGAGATGATGGCTGGTCTGTCATGTGAGAGGATCCCCCCCCCCCCCCCCCCCTCCGACCCCCCCCCCCCCCCCCCACACACACACACAGAGATAAGAACTAGAGCTATGAGAACCCGACTATGAAAAGCGCATGGGAAGGAGTGCGCTGTGCCACTTGCTGTGTACATACCTGGCGTTATTCAAGAACACCTGAAGGTCGTTCTCGTTTAGCAGGACAGCCTTCCTCTCTGCAGACTGGTTACATAGAAACACAGCCATAGGAAATATGATGTCAGCTCAGATGAACCTCATCAACCATGATCTTATCAATTGTATGCAGCAGTGAGGTGGGCACATTATAGTAACCATTGAAGAAGTGTGTTCTTCCCATATTGCACAACATAATGATGCTTTTAAGAGTAGAGCCCACACGCTCTCTTCCATCAACACTGCAATAATTCAACTCATTTTATGATATTACAACGTTTCGGCTAATTGCCTTCATCAGGTTCACAAAGTAATGGAAGAGAGCATGTGGGCTCTCCTCTTAACTGCATATGAAACTGCAGGAAGCCTCCCCTCTTTTACTTTTGATAATGCTTCACATGTTAAACTTACTTTCTTCTGTAGAGCTGACCACGATGACTGAATGTCACCATTCTTTTCCATCACGCCATCACCAAATCGCGGAAAGGCCTCCTTGAGACGATCAGCTTCATTTGCGAGCTCCGCAACCTGCATGAAATCATAGAGACACACAATTGTTAGCGGCCATATCATTGCAATGCAAAGTGCTTTTGATAGCTCTGCTTAGGTGTCATTCCGGTATCAACAACTGGACAAAATGCGCTCATGGCGAAACTAAAGAGCTTTTTCAGATATATAACACACATACACACACACACCCTTTGGAATTAGTATGGTCAACTGAGCCTGGACAATCGGTGGCAAGCCGATCAGATCATGACACCATGCCACTGCATAGCAATATAGTTACCTTGTCTTGGACCGCTGCAAGATTACGCTCAAATACTTCGTGGCTACGAATGAGCGACTGAACTGTGGGTAGCGAGTTGCCGCAATCATCCGTGTCCAGCTGAGCACTGAAGTCTGCAATACGACCCAGGGTCTCGCCAGCATCCCTGCATTGAACACAGGATGGCAACAGTTCTTTCACGGAGTTTCCCAGTTGAACGGCCACCGTCATTTTTATTCTCTGGACAAAACCATTATAAAATCCTGCAGCGGCCTCTTGTGGATTGCGTTAGAATCAGCATGCATGTCAGCATTGTGGCACAGTCAAAGGCACTGCGTATCTGGTCTGAATGAATTTCGATATACAATTCTTCATCTGACCATGACACTATTTGCAGTACTTCCTCGAGAGTAGGGGACTAGAATTAAACACTGCTCCCTTTAAAACAAAGAACTGAGATTTAGTATGCTGTAGACAAACCTGTTGAAAGTCTGAACTTGGTGGGCAGAGTCAAGTAGGGCCTTGCGCTGGTCAGCTCCATCAAGCAAGGAGCTCCACCTGGTTTTCAATGCCTGCAACAAAGATGAGCACACACCCTGGGCTTGTTACTCTCAGTCTTGCTTCGTTCATCTCCAAACAGGGTTAATTCAAGAAGACAATACTTTGATCAGTCCCTCCTACACAGAAACACTCTCTGGAGAATCAACTGAACTTTTATATGAAAAGGGCATAGATAAAACATTATATGCATGACGGATTTGGGAAAGTTTCTCATTTTCAATTACACCTCCAAATATCTTGGATGTGACTGACCTCTGTCACGCCATCAATCTGGTCCTTTTGCGAATGTCCCTCCTCCACCATCTTCATTGCCGTGGCATCAACTGCTTTGACACGGTTCTCGTTGGCGAGCAAATCCGTCTTGAAGTCGCTGAAGTTCTTCTGCAATTGCTCCACACGATCAAGATCATCTCCAACTTCCGTAGAACTTGCTACATTGCTCTGCAGACACACATGCACGTTGGAAAATAATTCTGTTACTATGGGGGGAAAGCATAACAGTGTTGACTATGACCTTAATGACAGGAACCAAACAATTTTAAGGTTGTGCTTAATGCCGGTTGAACACTAAAATTAATGATGAAGAAAGGAAAAGGACAAAATGTTACGAGTTATGACAAACTGTCCACCATCGTAACCAGATCTTATACAGTCAGCGAGTGCGACAAAATGGCACTGACAAGGAGTACTGAGACATTCGGCGACCTGACACCTAGCTCGAACACTTCTCCAAGGCGCAAACCAACAGTTTGTCATAACTCGTAACATGTTGTCCTTTTCCTTTCTTCATCATAACTATTGGCTCACCATCCGAGTTCAACTAAAATTTATGTTAGTCTCCAATTTAAGTATGACGGCATCGTTTGATTTACCCGATCTGCTACATACGCATCCACCTCCGCCGCATCATCCTTCAGTTTGTGAAGTGACTTGGACTCTTCCAGTTTCACCCGTCGCTCAGTTGCTTTGACTAGAAGTGCTTCATACCTGCAATACACACAATGAGAAAGCCATGGAGCACATCGGGGATCCATTCACTCATGATATCCATACTAGGCCATAGCACGATGGAGCCAAGAAACACAATAACAGAGCAAGACCAGAATAAGTAAGTTGTTGAAGACACCTTGCAGCTTACAGAGCATTTGCGACAAACCGAGTACTCCACTTGCATGTTCCTAACTCACGTCTCTCCTTCTGTTCAAATTACCTTTCCTCAAGGCTCTTCTGCTTGTCCGTCACAGCTTGCGGCACAGTTGTATCGTCAGCAGATACCTGGCAACCACTGCACAGAGCAGCCAGCTTGTCCATGTGGGTCTTGTACGAGTCAATGTTCTCACGCAGTAGCTTCAGCTTCTTCAGCAGCTCCTACACATGCAGGGCAAGGCAAAAGGAGTAACAGTTGCAATTACTGCTACGTAGCTAACACAGCAATCCAGTACTCACGATCACTGTTTGCACGCAGTGTAGACTACGCATGCTTACACAAACCAATATATGTGTCAACTTTGTAGAGTTGTGCTTTCAGTGTCTAATAGACCAATGTAAAATACTGTCTGTTTCAGCAACAGCTCAGTGACTATACAGCACCGGAAGGCTGAACATCTATACATCTGGAAATGATCAGTATTGGCTGCTCCCAACAGACTAAACAGACTGTGATAGTGATTACCTGTGCTGCATCCACGCCTGCACCAAAATCTGTGCTTGCCACTGCCGTTTCCTTCTCCTTCAGCCAGGACTCGGTCTCGCGCGCATCAGCAAAGTACTGGTGCTCCTTGAGCGACTCGGCCAAGTCACGCTTGCGGTACTCAGACTTTGCCTGCAGCTCCTGCCATTCCGCAGCAAGTTTGGCATTGTCTGGCTCAATGTCGTCCTTGGCGTAATGGCCTGTAAGCAATTAGAATGAGAAATATGGTTATCAAGAGCATTACTGACTGATAAGAAAAATTTCTATTGATGCAAACTCTGATTTTGAGCTCAAGGAAAACAGTTGATAAAACCAACATCCATCAGACTTCTGAATTCATTCACATAACGGAAGAGTGGTAAGGGCTTCATTATATGGGGAGACAGTGTAGTCAAACCTTTCAAAAAGATTCTTGGATAGGCTAGGAGTCAAAGCTCATATCCTCGTTACATTCTCACCTGCCTCAGTGAGTCGCTCAGCGAATGCACAGACCTCCCCGTGCCTGGATTTGTGTGCGTCCGTGTCCACCTGTCAGGTACAAACAGGTTAACAGAAATAATAAGAAGACAGTGAAGAAGTGGAATCAGTACCTCCTACAAACACATTCATTAGACATATCCTTAAAAAAGAGAAGACATACATTCGCATAAGCTGTAATTGATTATATTGACCAAATTGTAGCGGAACATAGGGTAGCAACAAAACTCCGGCTTTTGAATACATGACTCCGGGACAGAAGCAGTGTATCTAGTTTCAACATAACTGACATGCACTACCTATTAAGACCGTACATGCATTGGATATTTCCCTGATCCTTCCTACATCGCATGACCAGGCTCACCTGAAATCCGTCATGCTTCTTCATGAGTGCCTGCACACTTGGAACATCGGTGCCTGTGAAAGATGGTAATTGGAATAAAAACTGCGCTTTAGTTAAACACAATCAAGGCAAGAAAGAGAGAAATAGATCTATAAAATGTCACCCATGTAATGCATCAAACCGTGTTGGCTAGCCCCTCATATGTTCAGTGTTAACAGAGAAATACAAACACCAAAGCGACTAGTCTAAACAGTCCTCGCTGGTTTCATAGGTGAGTTTCTTCCTCCAGTAGACTGCCAGAAGAGGTCCTCAGTTTCCAGCTGTCTGTTCATAGCAGGTATCCTGCAGGAGAGGTTCAACTGTGTATTATAAAGGATGCATGGCAGTTCTTAGCAATCTTGGTTCAAAGCATGGTGTTATTGTGAAAGATGCGAACCCCGCCTGCAAAAAACTGCCATAAATATCCAAACATACCTCTGTTGACCGCTGACACATTTGGCAGATGGCCGGCAATCCAGCCATGCTCCTCCAGCGAGTCACGCAGATACAGTTGCAGCTCAAGCGAGTCACTCAGGGCTTTAGTGCGTGCAGCCATTGGTTCCTGGAAGCACGATAGAATAGACATACGAGTAACATGACTTGGGTGACATGCATTGGGATAGTCCTTGGATAGTCCTTGATCCAGCCAAACCTCATTCAGAATAACACTAAGGCAGCGTTCTCCTTGCAAAAACTACAGTCCATTCATAAAAAGATGATATCCTAGCTTTTCGCCATAAATGGGTCAAATTTTTAGTTTTTTTCACTATTTGTTGTGCAATCCCCATGGAATGCTCTTATGTTTCTGAAGTCTATTTCTCCAAAAAGCAAGCCATGACAAGAATAGGATTTCGGCCAGGTTTTGCCCCCCCCCCCCCCCCCCCAGCACTAAATTGGAGAAAACGCATGAAAAACCAGGCCGCTCCCTCCACTTGCATAGCAGTACATTGTGCGGTTCGAAACCCAGTTGAGGTACCTTTTTTGGACCTTTTTCAAGTTTCAAATCCCGCGGCACTGCGCCTATATGACAAAATCTCGAAAAATACCAAATGCGGTAGCTCGCCAGAGCCAGCGCTCATCGTTTTTTTATGAATGGACTGTAGTATTCATGACCCAACTAGGAAGATCACTGTGTATAAGTTACATCAACTATGCACAAAGTATGGACAAAGTATGGAAAGAAGAACGTCTAACGTCCGTGGTGTTTGCCGTGTTACAACATTTTTATTTATGATAACACAGAACGACCAGAGTGGATGAGAATGAAACAAAGAAAGGAGAGAGCAGGAGGTGAGATGCGAGGACAGCTGGAATCAAAAAGAAGATAATAAACATGAAAAGGTGGTCGCTACAAGACATGTCATAGCTTGCAGCTGCATATTTTGGTTTTATCGAAAATCCGGAAATGGAGCAACATAACTGTTATGTTGCTTACACTCAACCATCTAATTACCACATCAACAGTATGGAGTGGAGTGGAATATGGATATGTTTGATTCTCATGAGAAGCTGCGACAATTACATACCGTCAGCGATCCAAAGCGAGTGGCCACCTTCTCGGCATCAGCTTCAATCGTCTCCAGGGCATAATGATGTTCTTCCTTCTGCTCTTCAGACAACTTCTTCAGTGCACTCACGGCCGCCTAAACTCACACAATGTCAGAACATGGCATCATCAACGTTACTGCTGAAGTGCAACCCATTGCATGTACACATACAATTCTATCATGTACAGTGCTGGCAACTGAAATCCGACCCCCTGAGCGGTGCGCTCACATCGCAAAGAATGTGAACCCACCGCTCAGGGGGTTGGATTTCAGTTGCCAGCACTGTACATGTATATCAGAATATGTAATATGTTTATGACATGCTACCTTCACTTCTCTATACTCTAGCGCATACACTAAGTAAGCCATGCTAGTACCCTGGTGTACGGTGAAATCCTACTTCATGATTGCAATAGCTCCAAAGCTGCACAGGTCTACCACAATGTGAACTGGGCTGTGCAGTGAATGCAGATCTGATCTAGTTGCGATGTTGGAGTTCATTTGCCATAACTGCAGCTACATAGAGTAATACTGACCTGGTGAGACTCAACATTGGACTGCAGTGCTTGATGCTTGGTCTGAAGAACCTTGACTGATGCCAGGTCCTGAAAGCAATCACAAAGCAGAAATACATAAACTTCTACCTACACAATAGCTCAGTGGTTAGAGCATCGCTGGCCTCAAGAGAAGGTCCCTGGTTCGAGTCCTGGTGGCGAGAGTCAATTTTTTCTTCAGACTTTTCCCTTTTCCATTCCCTCAACCAGTGAATACTGATACCAGGGACTTGTCTTTCACTGCTCCTACATGTGCCAAGTACCTTTGAAAAGCGCGAACTTGCAGAAAAGGTGATTCCAGAACCAATATCTCAACTCGAAAGGTGGTGCTATGCTTCTATTCAGACTAAGCACAAGTCGAGTATCCAACACGCATAGTGGCGCATTGCAAAGCATGCAATGATGCTGGCTGCTCACCTTTCCCAGTTCCGTTGAGGATAGCTGCAGTTCCACATCGTCAAACCATTTGTTGAGCTCTGCGGTGGACCTAGAAAAGAATATACAACATTCACAGCTTTTTACAGCAGGAATATTGTCGTGTCCTTTTCCAAACCCGGAAGAATGCTGTACCAATATTCTCCTATAGCTGACAATTACCAGTAGCATGGTTGGTATCACTATTTCGATCCTGCACTCGATCAATCTCACACATGCCACCATTGGTAAGGGGTTGGACATTATGGGCATTAGGGACCTTTCGCATTTGCTACGAATCGAATGCGAAACGAAAGTTTGATTCGGCTCGCAATCGTTTCGTTGAAAATAGATTCAGGTTTCGCAAGTCGTCATGCAAATATGCATGGCAACTACGAATACGGCCGTACCAGGCCGTACAGGTGTTCACACGCACACGTGCATGGATCATGGAATCAAGGGAAAAAGGTGTACCTGGCAAAACATGTGTACCTGGGCCAATAAATGTGTACCTCACGGATTCGGAGCGCACCACGAATGAAGAGGCTTCCATTCGTGAAAACGAGCTCTCCGCAGGGACTCTGAAGAATCCTCGAACCCAGGTGATGAATCAGCATTCGTTCCGTATCCGTACGCGTGGTGCGAAAGGTCCCTATTGCTAGCCATGCACCTCCGATTATCCAAAATGGAGCGCACAAGTCCACCGCGTAAGTAACGTCAGTCCAGTATCCATGGAGCAGTTCTTGCAAGTTGGCTCACCCCTTTCTCATCTGCCATGTTTGGGTAAACGCTGCTCATTTCTTGTGGACAGTGGAACCGACATGGCTGGTGCCATCCGACTTATTCATCCTGGTCATGTTAAGGGTCATAAGACAAATTTACTCGGAACAGCTCCATAGCAAGGCAATGAGTTAGCAGGATTAATGCAGTGACCATTTGACACACAAGATGCACTAAGATTTGCTTCACTCATCGTGTCATGTACACACCGACGATATTACTGCCCTGATTTCTCCTTACTTGTTGAACTTCAAGAGCACCACAGCCTGGTCGAGCAGTGTTCCTGCACAAAAACAATAGCCATGGAGTAACCCGTTTGCATCATAGAGTTACAATAGACCAACAACAGACCGACACTAACAGTGATATCAAGTGTGAAGTCAAACAATGAGGGAAAAAGTGTAGTACAATTTAACTGATGACACAGGCACACAGGCACACATGTACGCAAACACGTATGCATGCACACGCGTACACTGTGCCACCCATACGCACACACATATGCACACATACTCACACACATACACACGTACACACGTACACAAACACAAGCAAATAGCATGACATGAGGAGTGGGACCCACTGTCTGCTTTCCCACCCCGGGACTTACCCTTCCTTGAGCTTGCTCCTGTCAGCGTCTCCCAAAGACCCTTCACATCTTCCAGATAGGACCTAGAAGAAGCAAAAACCATTTCAAAGAAGCATTGAGCAGTTGTGATATATACAATGGCAGACGGATGGATAATTCGTGACAAACCCTGGCCCGATGACTTTCCCACTTAGATATGCACTACCAGAGCTTGACTATGTGTTGGCTATTGAAGAATATCAGGATTGTATGCTGGTCATTCCGATGGTAGTTCTCAGCACGGTTCATCTCTATTGTTATTATTATTATTAAAAGCATGTCCGCATAGGTGGCGGGGTGCCATTTTCGCTTATGCCATTCAGGATTGATGTCTGAAGAGTAATACAATACAATGAAATGACAGAAATGACGTTGACAAAAGCCGTTAGCAACAAAACCAATTGGCCTAATGGTAAACTTAATCGAAAGTATAAAATAAAATAGAATAATACATACAGTCACCTTCGCTTATAACGACACTCGGCTGGGCATCAGAAAAGTGTCCTTATTCACGAAGTGTCGTTATATTCGAAGTCTCATTATATGTGTCACAGTTGGATGGGACTTTGCTCCGGGCATGAAAATTATGTTATTATTCGCGAATTGTCATTATATCCGCAGTCGTTATTAGCGAAGTTGACTGTACATACAACACGGTTCATCTCTAATCTGCATAGAAATATCATCTGCAGGTCAGATTACCTGATCTCATCCGATGCATAGTGACTTTCGCCGATAAGCTCATCGCCGCGATTAGTGATGCGAGCAAGTCGGTCCGAATTGCCTGACACTTCTGCATCAAACTTCTTGTGCTTCTGAACACGGTCTTGCAAATTTGTCAGATCCTGCACCAAGAAAATGAAGAACACAGGATGAAAATGCATTCTCATGACAGTGAATTTACCTCCAAAGGGGGCATGCAGCCAACACCCCGGAGGAGCTGTTACCACACAAAATACTGTAGGTGGATTTCAAGTAACGGAGGAGGAGGAGGAGGAAGAGGAGGAGGAGGAGGAGGTGAGTGTGTGTGTGCATGTGTGTGTGTGTGTGTGTGTGTGTGTGTGTGTGTGTGTGTGTGTGTGTGTGTGTCTGTCTGTCTGTGTTTTGTGGGTGTGCATGTAGGATGATGATCTCCTACCTTGAATGTCTCGTCCTGTGCAACCTTCATCTGGTCGGTGATCCAGTGCTTCAACTCGGTGAAGTCCCGCTTCAGCTTTTGCAAGTGAAGTGAGGCAGTGAGCTGATCCTTACGACTGGCACACTTCTCCAGTAGAGCCTTGTGTCTAGCTTCCAGCTAATGAGGTAGAAAAGACAAGAATGAATGTAACTGGTTCAGTACAAATGCAGCGGATAATGAACGCATTGCGATTTTAAGTTAATTAAACAAATATAGCTACTGCCGTGATTGCAGATCGCCAAGCACAGGGAACAATTTACAGTCAATCTCATGAATAACGACCTCGGTATAGCAACAATTCATGAATGACGACCTCGGTATAGCAACAATTCATGAATAACAACCTCGGTATAGCAACAATTCATGAATAACGACACAATCTTCAGGCCTAAAGAAAAGAAGAAACTCACGAATAACGACACGTTTCTCATGCACTATTGAGAGTGGTTAATCTCAATGCTGACTGTACTGCGTTTACCTGTTATAGGTATATCGTGCATTTGTCATGCTAGATATGGCAAGCACCGTGATATGTTATAGACATAACCTCTTTTTAAATTCAAAAAGGTATACAGAAACCTATCCTAGCAATCACCTCGTGATGATGTAGAGAAAGCTGATGAATGTAGACAATGTAGACAGGTGGCCTTACTACATTGGTCTCACAATGTGTATGGCCTGGTGCCTGGGATGGCTGGTATCTCAAGACAGGTGATCTCTAAAGACAAGTGGTCTTTTATTCCAGCACAGACGCTGCTGTGCTTGCCCGAGACATTACAATGGTGAAGTCAATTGTTTCCGTTCTAGGCATTGTGCTTGTTAGCGGGATCCAGACTCATTAACAATCCAGCTCCACGCGCAATGCAGCCATATACATGCCCGACATACAAGTAGTTGCCCGAGACGCTGATAATGCACGTCCTAGGTCAATAGGGCTTGAAAGCGATGACGTCAGAAGTCAACATACATAACGAAAATATATCGACTTCTGGATCCACTCAGTCCATAGCAATGTAAAAGATGCGGTGGGCAGGCCCCTCGTGTCGCTTGCTGCATGTAGGTGTTATATTTTTCTGCGCCAGGAGTGGGCCTCTGACCGGGAGAGCCCAGTCCAGTCACTACCGACGGATGTGTCACCCTAATGTGGAGGAAGCTACCCAGACAGTGTATGTGTCCATACACAAACTGGGTCCAAGTGCATGCTAAAGTCAGAGGTGCCATTACTCCGGGCTGGCTGGGGCATAGCACTTCCAAGCCCTGTACTGGCAATAGTCCAAACAAACTTTACCTTCTCTTGCTTTTCAATCAGCTGTTCATTGGCATAATGATCCTCTGACACCATTTGCTTTGCCCTGTTCATCAGTTCCTGTTAAGAAGGCATACATACATTGGAAAATTGAGGTCAGTTTGGTGTGTATGAACATCATTAGTTCAGTCCCGGCAAACTCCCACAGCATGCGCTCTCCGACCCACCTCACTCACCAAACCAGCAACGCGATTCCCAGCTAATGTAGATATCTGTGCGAACTTTCCAGCCGTGCTATGACCCACAGTTAATTGGGAACTCGTGGCCAGCCACGAGGGACGCATGGATGCAGTGAACCGGATTTTCGGTCTTTGACCACTTTGCTGGTGGGCTGATCCTACTCAGCCCAAAGCTTTAGGAGCTGTATCTGCGCATTAGATCTTTGCAGTGTGGTGGCATTTCTACGGATGCTGAAACCTCGGTCTAACTGAGCCTCAAGCGAACCGTGAATTTTTTTGGATGAAAAAAGTCAGTTTACAAGTGTTTAAGCATACTATCCATGCCTATACATGCATACTTGGCAGGTATGCCATTGAGGAGGACTATGGGGTGTAGACTTGTGCAGGGTCCTCTAGGCTTTCCTGGCTTCTGCAATGGTGTGAGCAGCGCTGATCCTGTTGTGATCTCGAACTTGTCAGTCACTGAACTGATTTTATTGTAAAGAAGACACGAACTTATAGAGTGTGAAGAAGAGTATAGCAGATAGAGAGCGGTGGAAGGAGAGCCGCTGGACAGCTGAATAGTGTATCAATAAATAAGCGCACGAGGGGAAGGCTAGACAGTATGTCTCTAGACATCAATAGGTATTGTACGAAAGGCCAGTCAATAGTACTAAAGAGTGAAGTCAACCGTAACACAGACAATAGCTTCAGACAATCATGACAGGCATGATACAGATGATACAACAGATCCGATGGCAGGATCTGGTGATGATGACTCTATAGTGACTTCTGGAGTACCTTGGTGATGGCAGATGATAGGCCTCGAGACGCACTATACTTAAGTAGCTAGTTTTGGACACCATCCGGGCCTGGAGAACGGCTATTTTTCAGCTTGCTCATGGCTCTGCAGACCTCCGACTGAGGCTCGCATTGGAGTGAGAAAACGTGTCTGAAAGTGACCTGATATAAGTTCCACTTTCTGCTCTGGACGAATTACCAAAGCGCCATCGCTGTTCTGAACATGGATTTCAGTTTGTTTACTTCTCCGAGACCGCAGCATGTATCCTGGTCGTGTCATTTCTCATTGACTCTAATTCTACAGCCCTTCACTCCAGCGTGGAGATTGATCTCTTCTTGATCTCTGACCATGACTTGTGAAGGACCTGGTTGCGCTGTGTTTTAAGCTGCGATGCCAGGGGAACATTGGTCGAGGCTTGTATCTTGCTTAGCAGTGATTTCTGCTGACTGGAGAGGGTGTTGATTTGCGGGTCATCTGTGATGTAGTTTGGATGGTGTGCGGTGGCATCACTCACTCCGAGCACTTCCTCTGCGATAGTCTTTATGACACTGGCGAGATTGTCCCAGGAATCCGCTGCTGATGTTGTGATTGCAGTTTCTAGCTTTTGTTTGTGTTCATCTTGCAGTGAGTTGTTGCCTAGTAATTTGTCAAGTAAAATCCTGGGGTTCTTCTTGCATCGGACGAAGCTATTCATATTTAAATAAGCATGAAATAGCAGGATCTGAAGCATTCTTACCGTGATTTTCTCCTCCTGGGCACTGACTTGATTCTCAAAGTCACCGTGCTTCTTCAGCAAGCCTTCAACAGAGCCAAGGGAGTCGCCAAGATCAGTGTTTTCAAGGAAACTCTGCATAACGAGACAAGAGTGCAGCAAATGGTCACATGCTCCCTGGTGAAAATGGTCAGTCCCAATATATAATGCCTAAAGTCACTTTCACAAGGGGAGGTGAAAGCACAATCAAAAACTGAAATACTAGCACACACTACGGTAGTTTTGTATTGTTTTAGAGACCAACAACATCCAACACACGATGCACTAAAAAGACAGAACCTACGCAGTTGTCTGCCCAATCACCAAATATAGTCATTCTTTTTGATTTATTCACTGGTTTGAGGGAAAGACACAAACGGGAAAAGTCTGAAGAAAAAATTGACTGTCACCACCAGGACTCGAACCAGGGACCCTCGCTTGAGGCCAGCAATGCTCTAACCGCTGAGCTATGGTGCAGTTGTTTTGCTTTGCTTCTAAACTACAACATGTACATTCATTTGACTGAAGGCCTGAACCATTCCCCCAAAACCAACTACTTTCAAAACTAACATACTTCAGTAAATTCACGGCTTACCTCTTGTTTTTTCATCCAGGAATCCATCTGCACCATATCTCTTGTGAAGATCTGCAGGTTGAGACACTGACCGAATTCCTCCTGTCGCTTCTGCCAAACTCCGGACAATGCAGAACGCTCTCCGTTCAGCTTGGTTATCTACATAATCATTATGTACAGCAGAACACACAGAAGCATGTAGTATTCATTATTTCTCCAGTCCAAAACAACAAGAGCCCAGACTCCGCTCATGTACAGGAAATAGAAACGGCCGAGTCCGGTTCACGTGTGCTCGGGGAAATGGCACTTGCTAGATGCATAACATAACACAATGGACTACTACTATGAATGTCTGGAGTGACCAAGGAATGCAATAGCGCATACTATTGTATAGATGTGGACACTACAGAGCAGGCAAATCTTCTGAAGACCATACCCATGTCACCGTCATCTGAGAGACTTGATGATTCTCCCCAGTAGATCTGGTGAGGCAGTGTTCACAGCTTTTCTTCAAAGCCTAGGTTGTTGCGACACCAACGTATTAAATACAGCTTGGCTTGAATTGCATATCGCGTCTCCAACACTCTGCTACGTACCATGTCCTGGATGTCCGCGGTCGCGTAGTGATCCTCGGCTGTCATCTGCTCGGCTAGGGACTCGGCAGCTGTGAAGTTCTCTTGTCTGGCTTCCATCTCACCCTAACACGCAAATAATAGATCACAGTAGGTCATCTTTACATGAAAGTTTCCTCAGAGCCAAAAACGGTTATAATACTTAGGAGTACAAACTTCAGGCTCTTCAACAGCATTATGACATTCATCTTTTTTACGTGTAAAACTTCTTGTTTGCTGTGCAAGATACAGTTGAACAGTTTCCTTTTCTCCCATGCTAGGTGTCTTGACTAGTCAACAAGCCAATTGTTGGAGGAGAGCCCCTGGACTTTAGTTAGGCCAAAGCCTCTGGGGAACCCATAAGTATAACTAAAGCATAAAGCAATGGTGGCCTTGGCTTGCCCATTGCATCATCTCACCTATAGCTGATCTTCTCTTTCCTGCCATGTGTATTGCCACCAATGCAACCCTATTATACACACATCGCACTGATCTTGCAGCTACAGTGAAACCTGTCTAAGACGACTGTTCAAGGGACCTTCCAAATGTGGTCTCTATTACCAGGTGGTCTCCTTATCCAGGGTCAATTGACTGGAAATAGTATCCCTTGGGTCCTGGTTGCAGTGGTCTTCAAGGACAGGTGGTCGCCTTATCCGAGTGGTCGCCTTGACAGGTTTGACTCTACTTGTATTGAAATTTCCTGCACACATTTTTTATTATGCTCTTAGGTACCCGCCCCACAACCATCAATGTTGTCTGATGGTCGTCCACGTGCCATGAAACTCGATGTTGCAATACATCTTCAAGAATGGACTCGGATGGAGAGCCAAGGATAAATTTATGGAAAAGAAAAGGTCCTTGGTCCTTTTCTCTCTATGAATAGAATTCAGTTTCCCACCGTCGGTCAATGTAAAGGCAAATGAAATCTGACTGATGCAGCCATCATTTCTGCTCTTTTCCACAAAAGCAACTCACTTTGCGTTCGCGGTGCCGCTTCAGCTGGGATTCGGCAGCCGCCACGGTGTCTGCGAGAGATTCCGTCAGGATGGTGTCACACGTCGACTCACACCAAGCCATCAGGTCACTGTGCAGAAACGGAGATCAGATGAAAATATTACGCCATGTAATTTGAGCAAAAAAGTATCTGTAGAGACGTTGAAACCAGATGATGGCAAATATGGTGACTTATATTTTCTGTGAACATGCTGCTTTAGGATTGCCTCAAACCCTACATAGTTTTGCACAATAATTGTGTGCAAAGGAAACATTGAGAGAATTTTCAATACCTGGGTAGACATCTTAGTGTGATCTTACCCATCCGCAGGCTGCTTCTTTCATCTTTAAAGGGGAAGTATACCCTAAAATCAAATTTTCACCAGTTGTAGTCTTCTGGGTGCTGAGTCGAATGGTCTTGGTCCGAGGAAGCTGCGACGCTCCCTTCCTACTTGAATCCCAATCGAACTCGCGCACTTCCACCGAAACTGGGTGACTGCGCCCTACTAGATGGGGATTTGTATGCAAAATGTCACTAAAAGCGCCATTTCGTTCTTATAAAAGCACGGATGACCGCGATTGGCCCATATGTTGTAGTCTTTTGGACGCTGAGTCGACTGGTTTTGGTCCGAAAAGGCTGCGATGCAGCGTTCCTCCTTTATTCCCAATCGAACATGGTTGAACAAGCGGTCACGTGCTCCTGCGTACACCAGTCAGCTGGTCACCGTGCCTGCAGGGTACAACTAATTACTTACTTACTAGCCTGTTTGACCTTTTTTGGGTGCAGTCCTGTCACTCGAGTTGAACTCGAGTTGAACCTTGGTGTGAAAGTTGTCGCCTGCTGGCGCGGTGACCAGGTGATTTGGGCACCCAGGAGCACGTGACCGCTTGTTCAACTATGTTCGATTGGGAATAAAGGAGGAACGCTGCATCGCAGCCTTTTCGGACCAAAACCAGTCGACTCAGCGTCCAAAAGACTACAACATATGGGCCAATCGCGGTCATCCGTGCTTTTATAAGAACGAAATGGCGCTTTTAGTGACATTTTGCATACAAATCCCCATCTAGTAGGGCGCAGTCACCCAGTTTCGGTGGAAGTGCGCGAGTTCGATTGGGATTCAAGTAGGAAGGGAGCGTCGCAGCTTCCTCGGACCAAGACCATTCGACTCAGCACCCAGAAGACTACAACTGGTGAAAATTTGATTTTAGGGTATACTTCCCCTTTAACCAGTACAAGACCAGTATGTAACAGTTATATACTTTATATTGTTCTGAACGTACATGTATGGGAGCGTTCCTTCAAAACTCCATGATCCACATACTCTTTACACAGTGAAATAGACAGTCAAAGATGGTCATGTTGACACAACAGAACACTGTCTTACCGGCATTTGTTCTGGAACTGTCGGAAGCTGAATGACTCGCTCAACTTCTTACTCCGTGCCTTGGCCTAACAATAAGATGAAATAGAATGATAAGTCTCAGGTGTGGATGTCTCACACACAGTGTTTAGAACCTTTGTCAAATTCCACAGAACAGTATATCCCTACGACTGATTAAGTAGGGTGCCTCAGTGTCGGAAGAGTGCTCAATGCCCGTATATTTGCCTGACAATTATTACTCGATGTGAAATTCGGAGCCACAGCACAGCTCTTCCCCCCCCCTCTCTCTCTCTCTCTCTCTCTTTCTCTCTCTCTCTCTCTCTCTCTCTCTCTCTCTCTCTCTCTCTCTCTCTCTCTCTCTCTCATCCTTGTGACTTTAATTATGTGTGGCAATGGGATCAGTGGCAGCTGCGAACCAAAAAAAGAATGAGCATTAAAAAGGCAATTCGCTCGACATTGCCTCCATCAATTAAGCAGACAGGTAGAGATTACTCTCGTTCTACAACCAAAACAGTTTGAAATGCTCACCTTCTCTGTCAAAGCGTCCCATATTGACACGATCTCAGATTCACGCTTCTGCAGTTCATCCTTGTCATCCGGGTATGTCTCCTGCAACCTTTTGCTGCTGGCAGCCAGCTCTTCCACCTATCCGTTCCACAAATGGGACAACGGAAAGGGGGACAGTGGAAAATATGTGCACGCTTTGCCTACAAGAGAAATTATCAAGCCTAATTGTGTATAAGCCCAACTTGAGTGGTGAAGCAGGCCTCACATGACCGATTGTGAGAGCATGCGAGGTTCGATAAAACCTGACTGAATTGCACTGCACCAGAATATCACAAAAGACCATCAGTCAACTGCGCACCAGAAACCCTGAACAGTACATTATATATGTAACATACCATAGGTCTGAGTGCTTCCATTGCACTCTCTACACCTTTGTGCTTCTTCTGCAGTGCCATGACACCCGTTAGATCGGCCCCGAGCTCGTCGGTGGTCAGCTCTCTGTCTCTGTCATTCACTCGGCGCTCGGCTTCACTTGCATCCCTGCACAGCAACACAAGATCAGGCTCACTCGTTTTGTACACAAGACTCCAGATAGCCTGCTACGAGAAGGTCACTCCCTCGGTTGATTGCTATGCCGGTGTATTACAGTGCTCCTAGCCGAAGAGGCCAAAGATGCTCATCAGTCCACCAGGATAATAATAATAATAATAATAATAATAATAATAGCACATTTCGCGTAGTAGAGCACTAAATAAAGAAATTCAGTGTTTTTTCCGCTTCTGTCTTGTGAGCATCATCAGCTAGGTGTAGTAGCTGCTGATACTGATTTCTCGCCGGGTGTCGAGCTGCACAGTTTCCTCCAGTCTGTCTTGTCTGCTGCTTGTTGTCGGCACCTGGAAAGGTCTTCCATGGTCTTCATTGGCACACCCAGCTTATTCAGCTGAGCAACCAGACTTGTGGCCAGTGTCAACCTTGGCCGTCCACGAGGTGCTTTGTTGCCCTTGTCAAAATAGCCGCTCATGGCTACTTGCGGTGGCGTGTCCGTGTCCATCCGTAGCACATGACCGGTCATTCGTAGTCGCCTACACGCAACTGTGTCTGATATAGGGTTGCTCTTGGTTCTGCGGTATAGGTCGTCGTTTGAAATTGTGTCTGGGTATCGTATTCCAAGGAGTGATCGCATTTGACGCCGGTGGAATGCGTCTGCCTTGGCCATTGCTGTTGACGATAATCCCCAGGTCTCGCAATTGTACAGGAATGTCGGCAGTACGATAGCGTTGTACAGGCGTAAGCGTGTCTTCTCCGCTACTTTATCTCTACGCAGCCATAGGGCGTACAGCTGGCCAAACACGCGAGAGGCAAGTTCCATCCTGCGCCGAACATCCTCTTCCTCCCCCATCAAGGAGCCAAGCTGCCTAGATGTCCGCCAGCTCTCGGATTCAGGTGACACACGGATCCACTCTGTTTTATCTGGATTTACTTTTAATGACCAATCTTGCAGTGTGTCTGCTATTACAGGCAGAGCATTCTCAAGCCACAGCCTGCAGGTTGAATAATAGGAGATGTCATCTGCATAACCCGTCTCTGGTGGTAGACTTGCGTCGCCAGCAGGGCGGGGTGCGAGACGAGTTCTGCATTCCTGTAGTGCAGCCTCCAGATAGCAGATGAAGAGAACTGGGCTGAGACTGTCGCCTTGTGGTGTTCCAATAGTGCTCTCAAACGGTTCAGCTGTGGCACTTGCAACCTTAACAGTGATAGTTGTGTTGTGGAGTAGGTGGTGGATGAGACATGTGCAATCTGGATTGGTGATTGCAGACATCACCTCCAGCAGCTTCAGGCGGTTAATCGTATCGAAGGCCTTGGACATGTCCAGGCCTAGAATGTGAAATTGCTGTCGGTAACAAATGGCTCTTGCAGCGATCCACCGCTGGGTCCATACCACGTCCGCTGTACTACGGCCCGGGCGGAAGCCGGACTGTGTAGTACCAAGATGACGAGAGAGTGCCCCGGATTCCGTGATGCGCCGAAGCACAATGATCGATATCACTTTGCGGATAGAGTTTAATAAAGTGATGGGCCGCAGACTGGTTACAGGACCCTTGGGCTTGTTAGGCTTAGCGAGAGGTATGAGTATTCCTGGTCCAATAGCCGTCGATAAATTGGCACCCTGCGAGAGAGCAGCGTTGACGAAATTTGCTATGACCGGCGCTAGCACCTCGGATCCATATTTCAGGAGCTCTGCTGGGATTTTATCTGGACCACAGGCCTTCCCGTTTCGCAGGCGCTTGAGGGCAGTGGCGACTTCAGATTCGGAGATGGGAGTGGCGAGGGAGTATGGTGATGGCGGTGGTATTTCACCTGCTGTTTTGGCACTGAATTGTGAGGAGAAGTGATCTCGAACTCGACTGGCCTTGTCTGTGGCATGAGCAAGAATACATCCATCAGCTCGCTCGACAATCAATGGTGATCGTTGTCCACTACCACTCTTTAGCTGCGCTGCTGCAGTAAACATCTGAGCAGATGTAGGTGCCTTTTCAACCCGCTCTGCAATCCTATCCAGGCGTTCCATGGCATCGCTGCGCTGAATATTTCTGATCTGGTGCATGATGCAGTTCCGTTCCCTCTTTAGCTCTTCTGGATTGTGATGGCCTGATTGCTGAAGTAATCTGATTTCCCGTTGGCGCCGTGAGAGGGTTTCAACCTCTGGATTAGGTACACAAACCCTGCGTGAACCGCTTCTGTGCATGCGTCCAAGAGTGCTCTCTGCCACGTCCATGACCGCTTGCGCTGTTGAGTCCCAGGTACTGATCACGGAGCCACTGTCAGATGACCCACAAAATGCAGGTTGTTCACGCAGTTTCTGGCAGAGGCTGGACTGATATTCCTTACGGACGTCAGCGTTTTCTAGTCTCTGGATTGCGATGGGAGCAGCGGCCTTGCCTGCTGCGGCAATGTGTACACGGTATTGACCAGTCAGTTCCATGTCCGCAATGACTATTTTATGATCGCTGAATGTCTCGGTTCCAGCATACGAACGAGCTCTCACAACTAGTGGCTTGTAGCGCTTTGGGATCACGATGTAGTCAATCATGTTGTGGATCATTTTCCTGAGGCCATCAGGGGATGCCATGCATCCAGTCCATGTGGTTCTATAGTGCATTGAGTAGCGGAAGAGCGTATTAGCCAACACCAGATGATGCATGTTAGCCCACTCTACCAGCGCTTGACCATTGTCATTTCTTACACCTTTGCCATATTGACCCACACACGCTGCTTCACCTGCTCCGACCTTGCTGTTAAAATCACCAAGCCCAATCACGAGTGTTCTTCCACTGCACTTGTTCCAGGCTGTGGACAAGGCGTCATAGAACCTTTCACGAACCTCAGGATTACTCTGCGCTGCTGGGTTTGTGGGGCCATATGCCACGACGAAACGAACAGGTAAGGTATTGCCCTTGCCTTGCGGAATGGAGAGGTCGACAGTTCCGACTCGGTCGGAAATTTTTTTGAATGTTGATACAAATTTGTTGAGCATGTTCGATATGACAAATCCATTACCTCCATGCCGGCCCTCTGCTTGACCGAAGCTGACAAACCGATGCGAATCACCGAGAGGCTTATCGACGGTCGTTGTCATCTTGAGCTCCTGAAGTCCGCAGAAATCAATACGATAGGCGTCCATGTCACGAGCTAGTTGCTGTTGCTTCGACGCAGAACAAAGTCCGCGCACGTTGAACGTGGCGAAACGAAACCCCCGGGGTATCATTTTTCAGAAGAGTTATTGAAAGTTATTGAAACGTTAGATGTCACAAGCTTTGACAGTCAGGTAAGAAGGAGAAAGAAGAGAAAAAGGAGAGAGAGAGAGAGAAAAGAAAGCTAGGCAGTCAGCCTAACACCCCACCACCAGGATAGCTCAACAGATATACTATGTACTCACAAACCTGGCAAATACCAGCAGATTTATTTATTAAGTATTTATAATAGAACTTGGGAATCACATGGAAATGAGTCATGAAGCAACTATCCACAACTGCAACAAGATAATAAGTTAAATTATAATTTATTTTATTTTATTTTATTCCAAGCAATACATGGCTGGGATAGCCAATGACCACTTTGCGTGGCGATTGCAGGGTTTTTATAGCCAACCGGATTTCGATCTGAAGGCAAGGATTCCACTCCACTCACCGGAGATACATTTGAACTGCTAGTCGGGCTGTCAAGCGCTGCTCTCGATGGCCTGCTTTCTGCTGCATGTCATCCCAAAGCGAATCAAGTTCCTGTGAGCAAAACATTACAAGGTTAAATCAGTATCCATTCTTAGCAAATAAGGAAAGGAAGACAAGTTCGAAATAAAGGCTGTGACTCCAAAGTTCTGACCTAAAGCCTCCTTTGGAAACCAATATACACGTAAACGAAACAACACCAACAATATACGAATATACAAGCCTCTTGAATGTAGTTACGTAGAGGATTAAAATCAACCGCCGCACAATTGACAATATGAATCAGCATTCACGAGTACTACCCTGCCTTCCTCTCGGGAAGTTGCAGGGCAAAATGAAGAGGACCAACACAAGAGAAGCCTAAGGCACTGCGGAAAGGTGGCAAAGTCACCGGTGAAAGTAAAATAACTCTTGAGGGAGAGAAGTGTCACATATCATACAGGGAGTATAAGTAGCAGCGCATATAGTGTCATGGAAAGACTGTCAGTGCAAAAAGAAGCTTTTTCATCACGGGTGTGTAGTGCACAAGTGTCGAATCTGGTGTTTCAAATCTGTTTACACCCACGCACTTAGAATCCAGAAGTTTGCAGAAATGCAACGTGTCCACGCTGTGGCTGTTGCAGCTGTAGCTAGGTAGGTGGGTAGGTAGGTAGGTGGGTAGATGACTGTTGCATCATTGGTGCTATTTTTCCTGCTCACAGTTCCGTTTCACAGTAACCTATAAAATTAATGGTGATTTTCACACTTTCACCCTTTCGCATTTCATAATAATCTTGAATTGATATTATTCCCACTTGCACTCTTTCCATCAGATGATTATGATCGTAACTTACTATCTATTGTAAGTAGTCTCTGTGTGATATTTTACATGTATTTCACTTTCAGTGTTGATTCCGCCACCTTCATCCTGCACTTAATACACATCTTTCTTACAGTACCCTCTTTTCCAGCCTGCATCCACCTGGTCAACAGGTAGTAAATGTAGTCGTGGAAAGGTGAATGTCTAGAGTCCAAAGTTAATAAATAGTACTGCTACGCATGCAACATTGCTGGTAATCAAGACCAATTAGCTAATGATAATGCTGGAATGTGGCATGAAATATTCTGGCTGCATCAGCTTGCACTTTGAACCAACATGCAGAGAGTTTGTTTGACTGAGTGAAATGGAGCTTTGCAAGTTGGCATGCTTTCTGCTTGGTGCATACTATCAAAACATGGAAATCAGAGAACCAGTTCATAATAATGTAAGTATTCGATCTTTCACCGCTGTGTATGTCTATTGGTTTGGGTATTGAGCACGCTTCCTAAGGGATAGCCTTTTCTGACACCAAAACTCCCAGAGTTTAGTACATTGCCTTTCAAAGGATTTACAGTCCTTACCTGAAGCTTTTCTTTCATCACGCCGATGTCAGGGTGGTTCTCGCTAGCAAGCTTGTTCGCAATGTTGTGGACAGCCTCAACACTTGCCGAGTTTGCCGCCATGTCCTACAGCAGCAGCAGTGATAGCCACACGCACGTAGTGCAAACAATTTAAATGCTCAAGTTCACTAGGTCCTTTCATTGAATTTCATTCAAATCCCATGCCAGATGGTCCACCTCGCTACCGCAGTGTGTCACGATGAATTCATGCTCAGTGACAATAATCAGGTGTATTCAGTATGATGTCATCCACTAAACACTGCAATGCCACTCACCTTCCTGAAGTCGTTGAATTTCTTCTGGTGTGTTTGCACTTCACCCACAGTGTTACCGTATGCATCTGATGCGGCCGTCGGCTCCTAATCACAACATTGTCCAAAAGTTAATAACAGTTATCAGTGTAGGTGCCGTGCTAAGTGCATTAGAACTCTGATCACTGGACGCATCCCCATGGGCAGTGGGGAAGTGTACTTAGTTAGTGTGCAAGATACTTGAGTACTTCTTATCCAAAAATTCTTCAGTATACATCTGTGCTCTGGACAATGTCCATTCCATACAAGCAACATTCTGTCTTATCTGAGTGTGTCCTGATTTAACTCCATTGTACTACAGACGTCATCATACTAAACTTTATCTAGGGTCCCCTGCAATATGACACAATATGACACCGCATGTTGGGAGCACACCCTAGCAACTTTTAAAACTGTCAAGTAAACCGAGGCAGAGATGTTGGCACGACATGTTCACAACCTGCCATCTGCAATAATCACAGCTACGTGTACATTCACAGGGACTGCCCAGTAAGTAACCTTTGTCACGATCCATTGCCGAACTTCATCCACCTCCCTCTGAAACTGCACCAGTTTCAATGCCTCGTTGAGCTTGATGCCGCGCTCTTTGGCCTTCTCCACCAACAATGCATACTGAGCTTCAGCGGACGTCACACGAGTCTGCCAGCAGGTGAACAGAGAGAAGAATGTGTTGTGAAAAGTTGACCTGAGATATATCTGGCATTCCCTAACATTACCGGGATGACTAAGCAGATTTTTCTGCGTCAATGCGTCATATTCAGGAATTTTGTGATGATGCAAATACATGCCATTGTATCATAATTTGCATCCAAGGCACAAACGCGTGCGCAGAGTTGAAAATTGCACATTGAAATTAATATGATGAATCCAAAATTTAGAATGCGGTGGTTGTAATTAGGGGAAGGTCTGAAGGAAGAGTTGGCATTCTCCACAAGTAGATGTACTATAGTCAAGTACTCGCACTAAAGACGTGTGGCACTCTGATCACCAAGCTGTGTCATAGCCATGGGTAAACTCCCAGTGGTAGCAAGCCATATCAATCGTGTCCTGAAAAAATAGATGTACTTACTGATCCGCGGGTGGGCACCAATCAGCCACTGTACTTCTCCATGCCGCTTACCTGGATATTTTCCGTTTCGAAGTGCTTCTCGTCGACCAGCAGTTTACCAGCATCAGTCAGTGCTTGCACGGCATTGGCATGCGCAGTGACTTCAGCTTGGAAGGCTTCATGCTTCTGGATCTTGCCCTGAGCACACGAGTTGATCATACATAATCGTGGACTGATTTGCGTCGTATGCGGAATTTAGCCGGATGATGACGATTAGCACTATAACTCAAACTCACCGCCGGAAAGCAACAATGCATAAACATATTAAACGTTGCTTCAATGTTGCAAACATCTTGGTTATGATTACCACATCGATTTCCGGATAGGACGGATGTGGGCACTGCGGGACAATCCACACTCGCTATTGCTATCATGATTTCAGAGCCCTCGCTGAGAGTCCTGGGGAGTCGCTAAATCAGGAATTCTTCACAGCGCAGCTTTGCTCTATATGTATATGCCTGTCTGGCTGTTCCCTTCGCCGCTCCCTTCTCTCGATATTGTGGCGACATGTTTGCACGTATTCCTTATCAATGCTGCCTGGGCACCTGTAGCTGTGCGACGTACCAGTAGATGTTTCCTTGTATCCATTGTGTAGAAATTTGCCCCGTGCTTCTAGTAAATTAGTCCTCGTGGCGGCCATTACTGGCATTAGAAAAAAAAGACATCATAGCCAAATGACTACGAAGAGACGACGACAACTGCTAAATGCACGATAGTGCTAGGCCCTAGGCTAGGGTATGAACAGACTTGCACAGTTTCCTGTAAGCTGTGGAGAGGACTGGCTCTTGAGAACGGTTGCTGTACTACCACCAAGAAATCAGGCCAACATTGGAAGACGACGAACTCGGAAACAGCTTTCTTACTCGACCTTCTCCAGTCTCTGGCCCTGGGCTGTAGCATGTGGTCGTTAGAAACTGATTTGCGAGCTCATGTGCTCGCACACGGTGAAGTCACACACAGCCTAGACCTAGTCTCCACACACCAAAACATCATGACTATGTATGGTGTAGCTTCCACTTCCAGGAACGCAGTCAGGAATGAAAAAGGCGCGCGACTGGTGTATACATGTAGGGCAATGAGACCAGGGTGCAAAGGTCAACCATGGTCAACCAAGCCGCGCAGCTCCCGTGAATTATCCGGTTATTTTTTTACCGGTATCCACTTTTCGGTAGATCTATCCTGGATTACTACTGCCGTGCCGGTAGATGACTCGATGAGTATGGTCGACCCGAAGTTCTGATTATCGTATATTCTGCTGTAGACTTTTATCCGCCAGAGCAGAGGAGACAACCAACCACCGGTAGATTCTACATGTATGATGTAGACCTACTAGTAACTAACTAAAATGTTACTTGAACTGTTGAGGCCGTGCCGGGTGGAAGTCGTGTGCAGCATCCTGATTTTAGTGATTTAAATACTTGGTAGCATGATGTGTTACATGATTGTATAATTATTATTATCATTTTGATTTCAGACCCGTACAGAAAAAGGATCAACATGTCAGTAATTGTGTATCGGCCAATCAGGGATTTGTATAAAGGTTGTACAAAGACAAATCTGTGTTGCGTATTTACAAGTTGATCTACAACAACATCCTCGTGCCATGGCTGTGCAGTGTGGAAACGTGAACGGAAATGGTCAGAACAAGATCAAACTTTTCATTTCCCTATTTTCTCCTAGTGCACATGTTCGCAATAGAATTCAGATTCAGGAAGAGCTAAACTAGTAATAGCGGCTTATACTAGCCGGTGGCCAGACACGACCGGCACCTGCCAGTGCACTGGACCAGGTCCAGGGAGTGGCATCGTGCATTGCCAAGGGGTGGATTTCACTTCGCAGGTCTACAGTTTAGATGGTGGTGAATCTGTGAGAGGGCTCAGAGATAACATGCCAAACTACCACTACCAGTACAAACCTGAAGGTTGCTCGTGTCTCGGAACGCTTCGTCTGTGGCCGTCTGCAGCTGGTCAGTTATCCAGCCGTCTAGCTCATCCGCGTCGCGGCGGAACTCCTGGTAGCGCTTGCCATCCCGGAGCTGCAGCTTACGCTTCTCGGCAGCCTCCCTGAAGCGAGTGTAGCGCTCTTGGACATTGGCTCGACGCGCCTGGATGTCGGCTACGGAGTCCAGGCTGTCCGCCATGAAGCGGGCGGCTCGGTGGAGCTCACAAGGAGCGCCGCAATTCACGTTCAATGGCACTGGGCTGTGCTCTCTTAGTACTAAGTCAGAATAAATAGAGCAATCCTTGAAAGAGGGAGTAAGTTAGGCGCCTCACTTGCCCTTTCTAATTCGTTGAAAGATGAAGACGGGACCCAGTGTAGACCGTTCTTCTGCATGCGTCCCTCGCTGTCTGTAGAATAACAGAATGGATGCAAGCTGCACGTGCGGAAAGCGGTTGCTAGTGGAGCCGCGCCGTTTGTTTTGGATATCCTGGATTTTTACATTATTGCATGCTCATCACGGGGTGTGGCGATGGATTGTCTCCAGTACTCCTCACCCATATGGTGACTTGACAGCCATGACTCCATGAGTGGAGTGGGGAAGGGAATCAGAACGTGTACGATACAATAACAAGTCATGTAAATAATTATTGCTGACGAGTGGCTAGTGACAATTCAGCAAGCATGGTTGGTAGCGAGCACAATTGGGCGAGAGAGAGAGAGAGAGAGAGAGAGAGAGAGTGTGTGTGTGTGTGTGTGTGTGTGTGTGTGTGTGTGTGTGTGTGTGTGTGTGTGTGTGTGTGTGTGTGTGTGTGTGTGTGCCAGCTAGTTCGGTTGGTGGGTACAATTATGCCAGATAGTGTTGGGCCTGTTGCCAACGGGCTCGGCTGCTTGAAGGTGTATTGTTGTACCTACCACCTTTGTTGGTTTCAGGGTTCATATACTTTCTATTTGAAGTATACATACCTGTTAACCATGGACTACTTCTGGCTAGATAAACTCTTGTGTAATCAATGGTGCTAGTGAAGCTTTGATCAGATCCACTCTGATTTAGCCACCCACACTAGTACCAAGTATTACCTTCACTGAGGGCAGGGGTACCTGCAGTTGGATCCCGGGACGGATACCCTGATGCCGTCAATCCTTTTTCTGCACCTTGTCCTCACCCACTTACTGAGGTGTGGTGAGCCCATAAGTGGGATCATTTCAAGTCCACCCTAGTTTGGGGATTTCAGGGGGTGTCGGCCGTTGGGTGGTTCAATGGCCAATTGAGTCATCTTTCCAAGATTCCTTTTGAGTCTCTCTCCCCTCTCCCGGGGAGACCCACGTGACCAGTTTTGGCAGTGAGCAAGTACAAGTACAAGTGTGTGTGTGTGTGTGTGTGTGTGTGTGTGTGTGTGTGTGTGTGTGTGTGTGTGTGTGTGTGTGTGTGTGTGTGTGTGTGTGTGTGTGTGTGTGTGATAGAGAGAGAGAGGAGAGAGAGAGAGAGAGAGAGAGAGAGAGAGAGAGAGAGAGAGAGAGAGAGAGAGAGAGAGAGAGAGAGAGAGAGAGAGAGAGTGAGAGAGAGTGAGAGAGAGA